CTCGGTCGAAGCTGAATCTATGTCATAGAAGTATTTCGGATCAATTTTCATTCAGCTCATATTTCCAAGATGCCAGAAGATATTCTGGATTTGTTGGTACTTTCTACTTGTATTCTACTTGCTTTCGATTCTCTTCTCTGATAACCGACTGCGAGATCAACTGAAACATTTCTTGAGTAATCTTTATTCGATGAGCAACATCGTCTTGGGAATCTCCGAAGAAACCTTCGAGTCTTCTTTCGAAGTAACGTTTGTTGATTGACATTCATTGTACTTTAACAATTCGTTGAATTTGCACCAGATGTCTAAAGGCAAGACAAAGAAAAGTGAATCTATAGCATAAGGGTCGACTCAGCTGTGCGCAACGTTTCGCGTTTTCATCCATAATACACAATTTTGCACAAGAACCAGTCTATTAAGTTAGGATGAAAAGGGTAGATTCTTGGTAAGGTCTCACTGAAGCAGTCAAAATAGCTCATGCACGTTAAACGTGCCTACTTTTTAGCCAATCGACGCTATATATAGTCAACTCAGTCCCTTTATACACTGTAGGATCTCAAGTTAGTGTCCTTATTAGCGAAACTCCGTAATAGCGGGAGTCTGTTTCAGTCAAACGTCTGTAATTTATTTTTCCCTGGGATTTAGCTGCTGTCCGTATTATCGGGGTGTCCGCAAGGCGAGGGTTGACGTTTAATTAAGTATCCATTGAGCCCCCTTCGCCCTCTCAGCCGCGTTTTAAACTTGAACAGGACAGAGTTAACCGAAAGATAACCCTATTATCCCTCCCCCGTCCTTTCTCCCAAGCCCCTGCATTTTTTCCCACCGGTTGTCACGATCGCTGCACGTACTGTCTTGGAGCCCCTGCAGGAACAAGTTAGGTTTCAGTTGACTTGGTATACAGTATTTAGAGACTACGAACCAAACCACACTATCTTATGTCATCTTGGAAATTTGAGTTGAGCCGAATTCCGATGAAATTGATTTAGCCTCGACACGGTAACTTTGTTTTTCATTTTTCACTCTAAACATTTTCAGAGGCCAGAGAAGCGGAAAAGGAGGATAATAGTAGTGGTTTTGTAATCAGATTGGATATGGTGAAACCGTGTCAGTAGAATAAAGTCCTAGAGGCCTTTCTCTTTTCAACGATGACGACTTATATGAACCTTACTACACCAATTTTTGCGGGATTTTATTTTTCAACTTTTAACAAATTATTGTAATTAAAGACCCCCAAAAAACAGTTGTCGAGGAAAAGTAAGGAGGCGAACCTTTTTCTCGGCTGCTCTCCCTCCAGCCGATCCAGTTTGCAGATATTCAGTATCGATATCTTTTATCGATATTTATCGGAGTTTTCCCGCCAACCCCCTACCCTCCCCCCCTATTTTCCCAGATCACGCGCGCGTCTTTTTCTCGCTTGACTTTGTTTTCAAAATGTCTGTGGGATTAGCGCTTAATCCTCTTACTTAGCAACCGCGCTCGACTTATATATCCTGATATGATTGTACAAAAGTTCAGTTGACCTTAGGCCTTGCTCATGTAATCTCCTTTAACCATTAAATTGTATAACCTTGAATATATACTTGGCCTCCACTCTTTGTTTCTCCTCCGATAATCGCACAATGTCCTACTATCCAAGAGCCTGGAGCGGGCTGCTGAAGCCAAAGGCCTCGAAAAAGAAAAGCGGGCTCTGCGGGGCTCACGACGTGACGTAACCTAGTCTTCTCTCTCTTGTTGTTTTCCTCTTGTTGTTTGTCTCTGTTGTTTTCTCTTGTTGTTTTCCTTCCGCGCAGCACGCGCGTAGACGTAGTGGTTGACGTGAAGCGCGAGGTGTTGATCAAAAATGTCAAAAGACTGAGAATAACGTCTACCGCTGAAAGTGTACAAAATAGGGATTTACTGAGATGCACTATGCTGTGAAGTCATGCAATGAGCTACTAAGTGCCAACACAAATAACCTGAAATCGTCAAATTCCCTGTGCCACGGTGCAAAACCGAAGCATTTAGAAGCAGACTCGGCAACTGGATCATGGACCCCCCGCGTGACAACCGAAGACCAACCGGGCGACTAGACGCAGACACATGGTGATTAGAGATCCTGACTCACTACGAGATTCATCCAGAGCTTAAGGCTGGAATATAATGTCAAGCTGGAGAATCTTCCGCCATGCGAGTAACCTTTTCGACTTCCAGGAGCGATTATTAAGCCTCAATGTGAAGAAGAACCATCGTTCTGCTCCCCTCGTTGGCACGTTACCGTAAAGTAATTGCAACTCATGTATATGAACCTTTCTTCAGCTTATGATGTTAGGGCAGAAAATGTGTGAATCTATGTTTATGTTAAATCTTCCAAACGCGAATTTCAGCAGTGAAGAATGGTGTTATGGAGCGCGTTTCGACGTGGAGGGGGGGACGAGGCACTCCCTTATTTGGCTTATACAGGTCAGGTATGTGCTGCTGAACAGAAGGTCTTGAGTATTAAACAGGGTGTAGAATTTTACTATTTTAGTAGTAAAATTCTAATTATTTATTTCATTATTTATTTATTATTTTTCGCTTAAAAGAGTCGTGAACAGTGTCTTTTTGGGCTGGAAGCCTTAAAAAGACTGTGAGGGCTAGCGATGAGCAGTTTACATTTGCAATACCAAGAATTTTTTCCATAGTATTTATTTCTGTGATGTTAGCTTGAAAAACTATTTGATTCTTCATGTAAAAAAGAAAAAACAAATCAATGTCAGAATATTAAACAGTGTCGAGGTTTGAAGGTCTCGGCGGCACAGCTCTTTCAAGACTTCCCTTGAGTCCAGGCCCCCCTTGGAGCATGTTATCTGCTCTTATTTGTGCCTTATTGCCTCTTGGTAGAGGTACTTGCCGTAGAAAACGAAGCTACAATAACTCTAAACATGTTCTTCTAGCATTGCGATCCTGACAGCCTTAAACCTTCGACTACTGCTTTGGTCGTTATCACTCCATATGGAACGATGCATGATCATGCATGTTTTCCTTCCTAGACCAATTTAGCTTTCAGGTTATATAAGTTAATAAATTTGTAAGCAACAACGTCACAAAATGTTTCCAGCGATATCTCGTTTTGGATATTCTGACTAATCCTAACAACGCTACACTCACAGAAAAGGTAACATTTTGAGGAAAAATCCACTGCCAGTGTGGCGGTTTATCTGCTACTCTTTGAAGATTAAATATTTTCCTTTCCTAAAAAGTTGGCTAGCCACAATTCTACAGAAAAAAAAAGACGATAAAGAGAGCAAAACACTGCTAATATAGAAGAAAGGCAAAGAAACAAACAGAGAGATAGAGAAAGATCGAAATAGATTCGCAAATAACCGAGTCAAAATTTTGGCTAGAGCGCATGCGTGAAAAACAAAAAAGCTGTTTCAACGCGATTAGTCGGAAAATATGCCTTTATTTAATGCAAAATTAATTTTTAGCTATTCTTTTAGCCATGCTAATTAGTCGAAAACCAGTCCAAAGAAGAGGAATTGGTGAAAAATGCGGTTTTTCCATTCCTCGCCGGCCGTCACCAAAGGGTTAAACAAAGTTACCACTTTGTTTCAAATTGGCCTTTTTCTGCATAAAAAGGGAAAATTTGCCCATTTCGACACAAAACAGGTTTGTAATGTGAAAACGAAGAACTTCCAATGTTTAGTTTCTGTTAATAGCAATTTTCTTATTTCGATGATTGAGATATCAGTTGAATAGGCTAATTTTAAAAGCAAAATGGCGATCACTGTGACGTCATACATATCTCCTAATATCATAATATCTCAGATACCTAGTTGTTCAAATCTTCTTTAAAAAAATCGTGTGTTTAAATTAAGAGGGAATCAAAGGTTTGTTTATATATCCAAGATGGCGACCAGTGGCAAATTTAAAATTCGATTTACAAAGTGAAACCTACCGTTCTATTTTTGCTATCATGCATTTTTGTGATGCTTTTTACTCAAAGATTTAGATTATACATGTTTTGTTTGTTCCCCTTAAGTGAGCTATACAACCCCCCTAGCTGATGGACTAATATGAAAACTTCTACAAAGACAACCCTCCTATTCCTACCAATATTTTTATGGCACATATTGAAACAACAATTCTAAGCAGAACCGTTTTTAAACCTATAGTTTGGAAACGCTTACATTGTCACCGCCGAGTGTTAAAAAAGGATTTGTCAAAGGAGAAGCCTTGAGAATCCTACGAACAAACTCCTCAAAAACTACATTTGCGGAAAATATTTCAAATTTCAAAAACCGCTTGATTGACAGAGGCTACCCACAAACAGAAAACCTTCTATCAGATATAAAGTTCACAGAGAGGGAGTCTGTACTCCTGAAAAACATGAAACACAACAACAAAGAGGAAAAAGAAATATTGCCTTTCGTGACACAGTACCAGCCTTCAGTGTCTACTTTAAAAGAAGTTTTAATGAAAAAATTGTATCTTATACAAAACCAACCGTTACTTCCCCAAATTTTTAAAGAACCACCTATCATTTCCTACAAAAAAGGAAAATCCCTAAAGGACATGCTCGTTAGAGCTAAAATATAAAAGGTTAACACAAGGTTTCACGCCGGTATAGATGTGCGACCTGTCACCCCTTGCATTTTCTCATGCCGACAACAAAAAGTCGTGCCAAAAAAAAAGTTGTGCCGATAAAAAGTCATGCCGAAAAAGAAAGAGTCGTGCCAGAGAAAACTAACATCGTGAAAAAGAAACTTGATGCGAAAAATTAGGTGGCACTAACTGGGCTCCGTACAATTGAATGCAGGAATTACGCAAAGTACGATCCTTCGGCTTTCTGTGATGATCTAAGGGATATCCCTATAAGGGTATATCTATGACAAAATTCAATAACCTAAAAGTGAAAAGGGTTAAGTCAAATCTGAAATATACCGAGTCAAAGTTGGTAAAAAAAAAAAAGACCACGCTAAAAGGAAGAAATACTAAAAAAGCCACTATCATATTGGTATCACGCAGAAAAAGGTATCAGACTAAAAGGCAACACGCAAAGAGGCATAACGCAAAGAGGCAACACGCAAAAAGGCATAACGCAAAGAGGCATAACGCAAAAAGGCATCACGCAAAGAGGCATAACGCAAAAAGGCATCACGCAAAGAGGCATAAACGCTAAAAGGCAACACGCAAAAAGGCATCGCAAAAAAGGCAATTTGCAAAAAAGGACAATTTGCAAAAAGGACATCACGTGATAAGTTCCCTCATATGGTGGGATCATCCTCAGATTGACAGCAATTTTCCACTGCTGTTAACGCTGCACGAAGAACCGCTAAAACCTGAGCGCCATCTTGGTAAGGATGTGCCGATCTCAAAAGTAAATCAATTAGGTTTTCTAGCCGGAAAGAAATGCAATCGCTGTCAATTCCGTTTTGGACTTGTTGTGATTATCAATCAGGGCACGCCTAAGGTACCGAATAAGCACCTCACGAGGTGAGCAAGATGGAATGTCTCGTTCGAATACCATTTCGGTTTGCTTCACGCAGTATGTACTAAATACCAGGAAGTCCTTAGATAACAACGACCGAAACCAGGTTGAGCCTGCGATACCAAAAACGTCATGCGGTCTTGCCCATAGTTTTGTACCAAAATGGCGGGCTTGATGTAGGCCACGGAGAAGGTTTTGTGGGGCTAAGAATGCAGTCTTTCTTCTAGAGTGTTTGTCAGCTAGTGCAGAGAATAATTGTAAGGACGCAAGTAAATAAAATTAATTATGTATAATTGTTAATAAAATGAACTGAACATCGTATCCTTGTGTGAGTTCCTTCTCGTAGCCTCGCTCGTTGTTGTTTAAGAAATACTGTGAGGAATATTTAAATAAGAACGACTTGGACCAGGTTTGGAAGGGTAGGGTGGGTGGGTAGAGGTCTACGACAGTTTGTTATGTCTGCGGCTATTCGGTAAAATATGCATATATTCCATGTTAAAAAAAGTGGCGGTAAATTCGAACACGTGGAGTGATCTTTTTACCAAGAAGTTCTCGGATTATTCTGGTTATGTCTCAAGCCTTGATGACGCCATGAGGGTTTTAAACGCAGGCACTGTATGAAGTCGCAACCACTTCAACCTTTACCGTTATTAAGCAAACAAAGGGATTTGGAAGCACTTCTATTACAAGAAATCTTAAAGGTATATATGTCATATATCTATAAATGTACTTTTTAATGAGCATTCTTATTTCAATATAAATGTTTTAATAATGCCTCAAGAATGAGTACTGGGGAACAACTTGATTAATGCACGAAGAATCATTTGGTTGAAAATCACTACTTTTGCATTTGTATAACCTGAAACAAGAAATTGTTATTATTATTTTTTTTTGGGATCGAGGGACTATGGAAATCGATGGAATATGCATTCCCAGGTTGGAGGGGGGGGGGGGTACTTTAGGAATTTCTGGGTGGGGATGTGTCGCTGGGACCCTGGAACCCTTAACCTATACCAGAGCTAATTGAGCTAAATTTTGCTACCCTATACTAGATTAAACTCCCCAAATCCCCCTATCCTAGAGTAGCTGTTTCCCTAGTGTAGATAAAACCTTCAACCAATTCAACCTCATGCAATGATATTGTTTATTAAGTGTGGGTTCAGCCAATGACAATACAGATATTAAATGCAATGTACCAAACAAAGAATTTCTTGTCTTTATACATTTAGTTGTATGTCTATATCTTGACTAAGAGGCTTCAAGTTCTTAAAAACGTATTGTGACTTTTTCTCAAACATTTTGATGTGATACCCCTTTGTTTTTCAAACCTGGTTCAGGTCGTTGTTAATCGTATAACAACGACCTGAACCAGGTTCACTCATTTTGTCAAATATTTCGACTTTGAAGCAAATATTATTATTACAGCAAAGTCATGGATGGATCAGGAAAAAAACTCCTTTTGTTCGTTGAATAGACTCACCTTTTTTAATCTTGAACATGCATGTGCAACTTCACAGCTCTGCAACACTAGCGTGGCAAAACGGTTCCTCTGAGTGCCATTTTGGTACAAAATTATGGGCAAGACCGCATGACGTTTTTGGTATCGCAGGCTCAACCTGGTTTCGGTCGCTGTTATCTAAGGACTTCCTAAATACCAGGCCTAATTCCTAAGTAAACTTCTCACGTGATGCCCTTTTTGCAAATTGCCTTTTTTGCGATGCCTTTTGTGTGTTGCCTTTTAGCGTTATGCCTCTTTGCGTACTGCCTTTTTGCGTGTTGGATCTTTGCGTGATGCCTCTTTGCGTGTTGCCTTTTTGCGTGGTGCCTCTTTGCGTTATGCCTTTTTGCGTGTTGGCTGTTTGCGTGATGCATTTATGCGTGTTGCCTCTGCATTATGGCCCTTTGAGTGATGCCTCTTTGCGTGTTGCCTTTTAGCGTGATGCCTTTTTCTGCGTGATACCTACATGATATTTAGTATTTCCTCCTTTTAGTGTGGTCTTTTTTTTACCAACTTTGACTCGGTATATTTCAGATTTGACTTAACCCTTTTCACTTTTAGGTTATTGAAATTTGTCATAGATATACCCTCATATATCCCGTGGGATGATGTTCTGAAAGAAAGAAATGTAAACACTGCCTGAAGTAACTGGAAAGAGACAGGGCTTAAAAACGGCTGATTGGTCGCGAGGTTGTGACGTAAAAAAGTGATCTCGTAGTTACTGTGCATGCGGTAAGTTAAGAATGATTGATTTTGTTGTCAATATGGCGGACGATCGGGAGCTGTATTTCGGCGCATTTTTCAAATTTCTTACCATATCAGGACGTGTTGCTACAGTAGCTGAGATTTATCAGTTTGTAATTCCTGATACACAAAACATCAGTAGATAAAAGAGCAACATGTTTTTATGCAAGCAAGCGTCAAGGAAATCAACCGTCAACAACGTACAGCACAAGTAACCTGAGATCAGGCTTAATTTTCGTTTCGCTTTGTAATAACATTCCGGCGGGCAAGGCGAAACGAAAACAGAGCCTGATACAAACCTTGTACGAAACGTCTAAGGTAAAACAGTTACGGAATTTAATCATTTCACCATCCACATATAAATTAAGTGTCTGCTAGCTATATCTCATGACCAGAAATCTCGCACATCAAACTTCGTGCCACTTACATTCAGGATGTCACGCAATGGTCTGTTCTAAAGAACTGTTGTAATTTTTGTAAGTGTCCGCTGCAACCGCGCGTTCGTGAGATTTAATTTTGGCCATGTAAAACCACAAAAATATGGGTAGGTTATCACAGCAACAGCAGCACTGTAACGTCACTATAGGTACGACGGCAAAAGGTCCATCCCCAATACAAAATACATTATATTAATACATTTCTATTGATATCATTTACATCATCTATTTTCATCAATGATTATTATTTTAAACGTAATGAAAAAAAGCCTTTTTCCTGTAAATCAATATAGATCACTCAACCGTAATACTTGAGATTTCTTCTGCTTATCATGACTTCTACTTTTTAATCACTGAGTAGAAAGCAAAATGAGGGCAAAATAGTAGCCATTTCACACAGTGGGTGTGACTTGATCTCCAACACTCTCTTGTAATGAGCAAGCTTAAGGGCAATATAAAAAAAATTGTATATCGGAAACGACTAGAAGCGCTTACAGTAAACTCATGAAAGCTAGTTAATTATCATAAAAATACACTATAAAACTATAAATCACCACCTTGATTATCTGTACAAAAGTTGTCGCTGATCACAGTAAGCGTATATTAATTCATAAGCGCACTCATATTAAGACACCCTGCTATGTAAACGAGCATGAGCGAGTCAAGACCTTTTTTCAGCGATCACTGCTACATGTGAGGGTATCAAAGATGTCTGAGTCCGGTTAATAGAGGTTCTATTGTCTCAAGATAGTTACTCTGATTTATTTACAAACTTCCTTTCAATCTACATGTATTTGTTTCTGGCTGAAAGATCATAGTTAATCCTTGCTATCTGGGCTGAGGTGATAGAAAGACGAGGAAGCGAAAGGAATTTTTAAAATGTATATGGTGCGTTTTTAGTGCTGGTTCCCAATTCCCTGCTAACTCTTGACATTCATGCTACTTTCAGAGGGCACAAGCAGTAATCTCTGACTTATGGACAGGCTGCAGTGACAGAAAAAATTAATAATAATAATAATAACAATAATTAATAGTATTTAAAGAGGGAGCCCAACTCGCCTTGGCGGTTTTCAGTGGGGCCCACAAAAATTAACCATGTTGATTAATTAAGTAATTACGTAATTAACAAAAAGTGAAAAAAGCTTACAGTGGAAATTAAAAAATATCTAAAACTCGAAATTTAAAACTAGTCAAGGTCTTTTAGGCGTCCCATGGGACAAATGTCAGTACAAGTCTATGACATTGCTTGCTATGCGGTGATCGTCACTTAAATACAAAAGTAAAATAAAACCAAAGAAAAGTTTAAAGAATAATATAAAACAACAAAGCCTGTAAGTGACTCAGTACCTTGTTACATTTGATATTGTTGCCTTATATCTAATGCTAGCAGTAATCAATTGCAGCACTGATAAAAGCAACTGGCCTTTCATTTAAAACTAATTTATAAATTAATTCGGGCTTCAAGTTTTATGTAAATAATACAACACTATTGTTTGCCATGAGTTAAATAATAGTTTCTTAACGTGTAAAAATAGCTGATGGCTCCTCTTCTTAAGCTGCTGACTCTGGTGGACAGTTTGCTATGTTTCTTCCTTCCAAGGCTCTGGTGTTGGACTGAAAGTACAAGATACCATTGACCTAAAGAGGACGATAGAAAATTGACATTAATTTTGACAGTTGATTCAGCGGAGAAGGGAAAGAACAATGTCACTGCTAGTTGATGACCTGCAATGATTACTATGGTAACAGGAAACTTAAGCAACGGCGACAGCGACGGCAACGAGAATGGCAATAAACCAATAGGTTTCGATTGGTAAAATAACAACTTTGCACGACATCACGCTTTTTTGTACATTTCTTTGCCGTCGTTGCACGACTACGACGTGAAAATGCCTAATTTCACATTCTGACGTTTTGTCGAGGACGGGAAAACAAAACAACAATTTTCTTTTTCTTTTCCCGAATAATGAGGATACCTTTAGAATTTAACTCCAAGGAAGTTTGCCGTCGCCGTCGTCATTGCTTAAGCTCCTTTTTGTTAAAACAAAAACAAATACTATAAATACTATTTACCCATAAATAAAGCCTGTGCCAGCCTCTCAGATAGTAAGGACCTTACCTAGTTCCTAGGCCTCATTATTCCGCGCGGCCAAAGCGTTTCGGGTCACGTGGTCCAAGCGAAAATATTTCTGTTTTTGTCTAGGCATTTCCAGCTCGTTCGCCTCGGATACGTCACCGAGGTGAATTGACCGAGAGGGACTGGGAAAACGCTGTACAGGGACTAGGCAAGTTGGCAAGTAAGGCAAGTTAATAAGGCAAGTAGGGACCGACAGTGCGAGAATAAAACAAGCCACGCGAAAATAAGACGCCCACGATCTGGGGAAGGGGTATGACCGCACTAATATCTTGGAGCCTGGAACAGGCTACCATAAATAAAGAGACTGCAAAGTAATCACACATACCTCCAACTGATTAATGCAGCCGGAAAAATCCTGTATTGAAGCAGGATCATTATCAACAGCATTAGGATTGACAGTGGATAACTTGCGTACCCCGCCCAGAAAGAAATTGGAATTAACATCAAGAGCCACAGCAGTTCCTGGAGATACAACACTCACAGGTGGGTTCCCATCCAGACTCAGAGATGCGTTCTTAGCATTTCGACTCACTGTTACACTGTGCCACATGTCAAGGATTACTGTTGAGTTACTCTTGGCTTCACCAACTCCTTTGCCGAGATCATACCTCAACTTGACAAATCTAACAAAAAAAGAATTCACAAGAATCTGAATCAATCAAATGTCCTGAATACTGTCGATAAGGCCACGACTTTTTTTTTCCAGGTTTGGATCAGATTTTTACAGTTCAGACGTACTTAATAGAGATGCGGCAAAGGGCAATATAGACACCTTTATATTCAGTACATGTAGGTAAACGAACAAAAAAAAACTTCATCAATACTTTAAAGTTCTGCCTTTAAACAAGCCCACAACTTACAAAAAAAAAGGACGGAAAAAAGATTCTACTTTTTCAAGACACTGAGCGTCGGTTAGTTAAAAGAAGTCTAAATTGGACCGTTCTTTAAGAAATCATAGAACCTAAAGATCTCTTTTTAGTCGGTCTTTCCAGTCGGTCTTTCCAGTCTACACTATAGTATCTGCTATAATTTATTCAAATTGTTTGCAGGAAATGGTGTTTAGATAGAAGTGTCACGGGCAAACTAGTAATGGCTTAGTACTCAGTTTTGTTAAAGTCCGCCTAAACTCGACTGTTTAACTGGCCCATAGAGTTTACTTCCAATAACTAAGACATTTAATGGAAATTGAAAACTTAGGATTGACGGAAATTCTAGCAATCAGGAGTTCGAGATACTGAGAGTCAACTGTACAATGTGAAAAAAACGTCTTTTGTTACTTCACTGTTTTACTAGCACATTACTGAACACTAAACCGTTTTAGCCCACATGCATATACATGTATAAGCACCCTGGTTTGATTCCACCCAAGACCCTTGCAAGGCCAACTTAGAGTTTAAAAGAATGTTTCAATAAGCAAAGTAAAAGGGCAGTTGAATCATGTCTCAGTAATTGACAGAGTGTTCTTCTTACCCATTGTGTAAATAGATGGAGAGGAAATCTCCTGTTATACTCTGCTCATCATGTGCAACATAAAACAGGATGCCATTCCTTACTGCTGGTTTAAATCTGATGCTGATCTGCATTGATGATCTGACATTTGTCTTGGTAAACATCATGTATGAAAAATTCTGGAACAGCGGTGTTTGTATTGTTATATCTACAAAATAAATACCGGCAGAAAAACAAACTCAATATGACATATCAAGAGAATTGTCAAAAACAAAACTTGTGCTTTTTTTCCTGTGAATAAAAGAAGTAAGATTCTGAGGCTTTCAAAAAGATGATAACGATGATGAATACATATTATAATTCTCTGTAAGTCTTGTTCTTCAATTTTGAATGTTTATATTTTCGACATAAAAAAAGGATAGACGTTATAATGGAGTTGTAACTCGGAGTTTTACGCACTAACCGATCGTCATTTTTTTATATATTATTTTCCAAGATATAGAGGGAGTATAGATGATGAAAAACTGTTGTTGATTTGTTGAGAAGAAAGAGTGGCATAAATTTGGCACACAACTCAACACAGCACATCTATTTCTTGTCTTACATTAAGAGCCAGTCACACAGGGTAACAATATCACAGCCAACATTTAAGGATCTCAATAATAATACACACATCAACTACACAGGGTAACAATATCACAGCCAACATTTAAGGATCTCAATAATAATACACACATCAACTAACCTTGATCACAGTACTGCCCTGTTTTTCCCAGCGGACAGTCACACTTGATGGTTGAACCATCAGGACGGCATGTACCAGTAACACAAGGGTTGTAACTATAACAGGGAATAAGCTGAGTGTTGCAGTAAAGACCTGCCCAGTCTTGGGGACAAGAACATAAGAATGTGGCTCCTTCACGAGTACAGTTGCCTCCATTCATGCACGGTGTGTTACTAGGTACTGTACATTCATCATAACTTTCATTTCCAACATTTCTCCCTCTGACTACAGCCCACGCATTGGAGGCACCCTGAGTTGATAACTGGATGAAAGGTGTTTTAAGAGAAAACTTAATGGCTACATCATAAATGGCACCGTGAAATCCTCCACTTTTGAAGTCAAGAACACTTGGCAGCTGCCGTATATCTGGGACACCACCAATATAAAGTGGCTCAAACAAGTTGAGTCCGACGAGGGGGCCAACAGACCTGCCCTCTTTGCGTGACTGATCATCAACATAAAGGTAGCCATCACGATCATCACGCCCTGCTACCACCAAATGCCAATCTTTAGCTGTGTTAAGGGGCTCACTAGAAATACGTGCAATTCCACTACCAAGGTTGTACTGCAGTAAGACCATGTTGTTTTTCAGTCCAATGGCAAAGAAATCATCTCCGCTACCTTCAAATTTATTTTGTGCACTGTAAACCAACAAGCTGTCATTCCAAGATGGTGATGAATCATCTACTCGGAACAGAAACGTCACATGAAAGCTTCGAACTGCATCCTTGGGGACTGGGTACTCCAAAAATGATGGGAAACTTTGGACAATGGTGAACAATGGAACTGAAATGCTGATGACTGAAAATAAAAAGCGCATTGGTTAGAAAAATAATCACAAATGTAAAATGAGTCAAATCAACATTGGAAAGTTCTGAAAAAAGGCCATTACCAGTTCCTTACAAATTATTTATTGACTGAAAAAAAAAACTGAGAAAACCTGACTAATAATTTATTGCCACAATGATCAACTGTAATATATTAGAAGACAACCTGAAATACAACACTCATTATTTTAGGGTCTCCACAGCAGCCAATGATATCAGCTAAACTGACAAGACAACCAATAACATGCAAGTTATTTTCTACCAATCAGGTTGCAAATAACAAGAGCTTATTACCATCAAATGTTAGACAACCCAATTTGACCCTGATGATGACTACTGAGTAGTCAGTGACACGCCAATCATTAAAAACACCAGTCCTATTCAGGACTACACTCACCAGATCAGTATGCTGGATATTTAATTAACAGTGACAGCCTACATGTACCTGTTTCACACTGGACTCCAACTCTGCCCAAAGGACAAAGACAAATGAATGCTTTAGGATTGGAGTCCTTTGCTATGCATTCTCCTCCATTACAGTTTTCAGATTCACAAGCAGAATGAGTCTCACAGTTCTCTCCAGTGTATCCTTTTGTGCAATTACAGCTGTAAGCATGCACATTATCTTCATGTGGGATACACACTCCATTGTTCTGACATGGCATTCTCTCACAGGGTGGCATATCACCTTCATTGATATTGAACCAGTTTGTTGCATCTAATAAAAAATATTATAAAACCATAATTTACCCCGAAAAATGTATTTTTTATTTCTTTTGCTTTATTCCCCTCAGCCTTGGTAGCAAGAGCAACTGGTCTATTAAAGAAAGAAACGCTGCGTGCCATGCAAAAACTGAAAAAAAAAACACACAAACATACAAACAGTAAAAAACAACAATGACTCTTCCCCCAATTTATGGAACAATGTTGCAGCCTCATCAAAATGAATAACAGCAGCATCATCGATCAGTGATGAAGGGATCCTGATGGGTTCCGAAAGTTCTGCGTTTCTTTCAACAAATTGTTGGTGTTCAGGAATATTTTTTTCGCCAACAATGACCAAGATAAAAACAACAGAGGATGAATAAATTATTGAACCATGACCTTTAATCCATCAATGACCTACCTGCTAAATTAATTGCCTCTTTATTAACTTGTACATCTTTGATAGCTCCCACAAATGATGGCACTGGAGCAGCATTACCTTTTGTTTTATTAAGCATACTGAATCCAAGAGGAACACCTCCTACATACCAGCTGTCATACAACTGTATTCCTTTTAACTTCCCTTTAACTTCACCTTTCAGCTGTGCTCCATTACCAATTTGAAGTGTTCCAAAAGGGGGATCTGCTCTTGTTACATAGCTACATCAAGAACAAAATAGCATCTGATGGTTATTTAGAGAATTATCAACTAAAGACTGACCAACTAGGCATGAATAAATGGTGAGAACAATCTGTTGTTGTGTGAGAAAGAGACCATGGACATGTGGAGTTTCTCTTCAAGAGTTAAAAAAAAATTTAATGAGTTAGGGCACCAAACAAGTTGAATGCTTGACAACATGAGAAGAGAAATTTTGTATCTCCAGGTGGTCATGTACATGTAAATATAATATTAAATGCCAAACCACCAAACCATTTTTTATATTAAAATGTTTTGCAGCTTAAGGTAAAATTTATTGTGTCACCATAGCAACCACAACCTTTTCACATGGGAAGATATCACGTTTTCGTGGAAAAGCTCAACAGGCATTTCTTTGGTGTTTACATAATAGATTTGGTCTTAATACTATTTCTTAATACTTTTAGGTGGCTGGATGAAAAGTGCCCGCATTCTCAGTGCATAAAAGTGAAAGAGAAGAATGAACCATTACTGTATATACAGCCATGGACCGAACATGAAGCTTGTTTAATTACGCCAGGTGAAGTTAATTAAACAAATGGTTGGTAAGTGGCTCAGTACATAATGGGCTCATTCTTCACACTTTTTAGGCACCAAAAGTGCGGGCACTTTTCATGCAGCTATCTCACAGGAAAAACTTGGCCATTACACCAACTTTGAAAACTTAAAGCTAAACTGTTGACTATTATGGTATTATAATAATTATTTAAAAGATAACTAAGGAGCAGTAAGGCTGTAAATTAAGTATGATATATTTATAATGTTACACGTACGTGGCTGTCGCTGTGATGGTCTCTCCAGTGTTAACATTTTGATCACTCCTGATAAACACCAAGCTGTCTCCAGGATCAAATCGAAATTCCAGTTTACCACCAACAACACTCAATTGAATAAAATCTCCACGTTCTTTGTGATCGGCAGCAAAAAGTATAAGCCCCTCAGTAGCATTGGTCTGAAATGTAACATCTATGGTGTTAAGTTCGTTATTAAACGAGATGCTCTTGTGTTCCAAGAACGAACCCTGTCTGAAGCCTGGGAAGTGAAGATCACCATTCTCTGAAAAAAAATTTAAAAAAACAGAATTTAAGAGATACATGACTTGTGAAACTGTTAATAAGTCCCTGATACACTGTTGAAACATTTGGAAGGTGTGAATGCACAAAGACCAAAAAAGCTACCAGGGTACATAAAGTCGTCAAAGGCAGGTAAGCGTTATTGAATCAGGGTAAAATTTTAAACTTAGACAGGGTTTACTAATGCTATGGACCATTTATTTCTCTTTAACTTTAATTAAATTAACATAATAATAATAATAATAATAATAGTAATAATAATTTATCATTTATAAGGTGCAAAATAGCATTTAAATATATGATCTAATGCACAACATTCCACCTTAATCTCCAAAAAAGGGTTTAAAAATATGTTATTACCTGTTACATGTTCCTGGACGAGAAAATTTTGTCTGAAATAAATTATTTCTTACGCCAAAGTTGAAGTCTACCAACTTCCAAACTGGGGAAGCATACTATGTGAATGCTGTCAGTGGAACTTATATACTCTACTAACCTTGTATACTATTGCATTTTGGTCCAACAGTGGGGTAAGGACATTCACAGCGGAATTTATAGCTTGAGTATGGTTCATCATAACATGTGCCATTGTTCATACAGGGATTGTGAAGGCAGGTTTGGTTTAAGGGTGGTAAGGTTGGGGAAGGTGATGATGTTGGCCACACAGAAGACAAAACAATAACTGTACTTCTTGAAGGAGAGAGTGTCATAGTTGAAGTATAAAACACAGTGGTCGACAATGGCACCGTGGTTGTGATTGAAGAAGTAGATTTGCTTAAAACAGTGGCTGATGAGGCGAGGAATGTTGGCAAAGTACCAGTTGAAATCTTAGATGTGGTGATAACTGCAGAAGAAAATGGTAGCCTTGAAAATAATATACTGGATGATTGGATGACAGTTGACATTGCAGCTGGTGATGATGCAGGTGTAACTGATGAATAGATTGATGTTGGTAAGCTGGGACTTATTGCTTGAGATGATGAAGATGACTTGATTGTTGAACTTGCTGATGATGATAAACTAAACAAAACTGAAGTTGTCCCAGAAACCACATTTAAACTTCTATTTTGGGAAGCTGATGCAGAAGAACTTTCAAAAACTACTTGTGTTGATGATGGAACAAGTGGAGAAGAGGAAAATGGGGTAGCTGATGATGAGACCACTTTCACTAAAGAACTGAATGTTGTTAGCGAGCTAGATGAGGCTTCTACTGGTGATGTCGCCACTGATAAAAGACTTGTATTGATGGTCGATGAGGAACTGAATTTTATTAGTGAGCTAGATGAGGCTTCTACTGGTGATGTCCCCACTGATAAAAGACTTGTATTGATGGTCGATGAGGAACTGAATTTTATTAGTGAGCTAGATGAGGCTTCTACTGGTGGTGTCGACACTGATAAAAGACTTGTATCGATGGTTGATGAGGAACTGAATTTTGTTAGCGAGCTAGATAAGGCTTCTACTGGTGATGTTGATGCTGATAAATGACTTGTATTGATTGTCGATGAAGAACTGAATTTTGTTAGTGACGTAGATGAGAGTTCCACTGGTGATGTTGACACCAATAAAAGACTTGTATTGATTGTTGGTAAAACTGACTGCTGTGAAGACAGAGATGCTGAGAAAGTTTTGTGTGACTGCAATGGAGTTGATGTGGCCAACTCTGGTGTGCTTGCTATTGTTTGGGTTAATGAACGATCTACTAGCGAAGATGTCAATACCGTAGATGTAAAACTAAATGAAGAAGAAACATCTTGTCTAACTGAGCTGGAATTCACTACCAGTGTTGTTGACAGTAGCATACTTGTTTGAAATGGCGTCCTTGAGGAAAACGGAATTGAAGAGGATGTAATGTTTACAGTGCAGTTTCGCCCAGTGAAACTTGGTGGACATGTGCACGTATAGTTTTGTCTTTTTTCTCCTGACCTTTCACATGTTCCACCATTTTTACATGGTTGTAATGAGCACATGTTAAAAATAACAGTTTCACAGTTGACTCCTTCAGTATCTGGCTCACACAAACATGTATAACGATTAATGTAATCTACACAGAATCCCTTATTTTGACAGGGTTGTGAAGCACATTCATTGATATTTGTGTCACATAGATTCCCAGTATATCCAGGCAGGCAAGTACAATTAAAACTATCAGCAAGACCATCTGTTATGTCTCTACAAGTCGCACCATTCTTACAGGGATTTCTGCTTGAGTGACAGCTGTCAAGTTCTTCACAATAATTTCCTAGATATGAATTGGGACACAAGCATGTATAGTTCCGTGTAAAAAACTTACTTGCATTACTGGCACAAAGTCCCATACCACTACAGACACCTGACTGAGGCATTGCTGAGTTGATGCAGTATGGCTGCTGACGGCTGCGTACATACATTTCTAGTTTTATGCCAAAATTACAACTGAAAAGTGAGGGATTATCATCAATAAAATACTTGACTCCCACTGGGTTTAAAAACTTTGATGGAACTTCAAATGATGTGGAAGTTGCATTATTGACTAACTGACCAGTGTTCAAGATGCAGTTGTCATAAGCATTTTTTGTAACATTTCGCACTCTAAAAGTAATCATTTCGGGCTTAAATATCACTTTATCCCCCTGTACAACAGTTTGAGGTTGCTGTCTGGGACCCCTGACGAACCCAAAGGGATCTTTTTCACCATAACATTCTTCTTCAAACTGTCCATCACATATGTGTCCATTATGTCCCCATTCAATGGTAACCGTTCTAACTGTGTTGTTAAAACAGTGAAACCCAGAAGGGCAGAGAAAATTTGGAACAGAGCCACGCGGCTGAGAAGTTGAGTTTTGTGCCGAAGCAACATTAAGTCGCGAAGCAATCAGCAAAAATGTCAAATATAAAGCAGATAATGTAAGGCAACGCTGTGACACTACGCACATCTCATCTGTTGAAGCTTCTACACTTGCTGCAAACTCTCATAAGATTTGCGGGATTTACGGTTCAGTGATGGAACACACGCGCCACACTTTCTTATCACCGTTGGTATTTATATAACATTCAAATCTTTGTGGTACTCTCGCATTTGCTACCAGATCGAACTCACTAGATGAATCAGCTTTGGATACATGACGAATTCAAACTCCATGATGAGAATACAGCTGTCAAAATATCACCTTGATCGAGCGCCAGTACTCTTGCAGACTGCAGACGATCGATTCGTAGTAAGAACTGTAAGAACTGGCTTCGATTGCTGTGAAAAAGTAGTCAGCAGTTACTTGATTTAGAGGCTTCTAAACCAGCAGGAAAATTTCAACGTCGTAGATAACTACAAGCAAGACCAACTGTTTAAACTGAACAGCTGTATGGCGTACGTGTTTCGAGTTAACGGCGTTGCTCGAAAGGAGATATTCAACAGATCAAATATGGCGTCCACAAGTTTCTGCCGGATCCCTGTAGCTTAAGAAATATCCAGGCTTCTAAGAATTAACAACTTCTCTATAAATCTTAAATATTTTATATGTTATTCCTTCTGCGGTTACCAGACGAAGCGTTTTAAAACTCAAATATTTCTCTCAAGGGAACGCTTGGCGACCGTTTACCCCCCATTTCAATAACAATGGTTGTTAGGGTTTTGGTACTTTTGTGCCTGATTGATCTTGCAATGTGATTGGTTGGCTCAGATGCAACAAACGTTCTAAACTTAGAACTCACATCACAGCGTCCGGTACCGTACCTACATGAAGCCCTCTTTGCAAAGTACTTTACATATTGACAACTGCGATCAGGCATTCTTTTTTTCGGGAAAGAGCGACGGGCTTCCCTAACAAAGGGGAAGAAGGACCGTCTGATAACACGTCATGCTTTACACAGTCTGATGATCATGTTATCATCCCCTTTACAAAGGCTGGCATGGTTGGCCGAATTCCAGGTACCGGATTCCTGCCTTTATCAGTGGAACTTGGATTCTGGATTCCAGTCGTTAGTGGCATTCCGGATTCTAATGCCCAGGATTCCAGATTTCACAGGCAAAAATTTCCCGGATTCCGGAAATCCGGATTCCCTAATTATTAAAGTGGGGCGAAAAGCAGTCATCATGGATACTTCCCAAACTTTGAGGTGTAGGTGTTAAGCAATGGAACGTAAGGAAATGTTTCTCTTTCTTAAGACTTGGTTATTATATTGTAGTTACCAGGGTATTTACGCATGATTCAATTTGAGCCGTTACCATGCCCCCCCGGGACATACCCCCGGAAATTTGCAGTTTTTTTCTTTCCTGGTGGTCTATTCCCAACCCCGGGCACGCGTGAGACAATTCCCCACCCTGAACCCTCGATCAAACTCATATGCCTTGTTTTGGCTACATCTTTTTTAGAGTACCATTGAGTTCTGTAGAATAGCAACACGATTTTTTTAAACACGTGAACAATACATTCGAAAGCGAAAAGGAATAAATGAAGGAAACTCCTCGCTAGAACACTTCAGAAGAACACTGGACTGAATCGCTGTTTATTTATATGTATTTAAAATCTTGTGTCCTTGTACATATTTTGAAAGTTGTCTTATCACTGTAGCTGGGCTGAAGAAATATTTCTTTGTTTCTTTTGCAAAAAATCCCATTCGAGAACGCATCATACCCATATTTGTTTAAAATTTCAAAACATAACTGCAAATACAAACTTTAATTTTGATAGGCAGGAGGCTATCATATGCTCCTGTTATAGGTTATTCCTCTCCAACCACTCTCTGACAAATTGCTGCGTTTTCCCTTGAAAGTATGCAGTCTCAGGAGCCCATGACTATGAGTCATAGGCTCCCGGTGTAGAGAAATAACACGTCCTTCGCAAAATCAAAGAGAGGTTATTTTTTATTTGCCCTACCCCCTACCACAGGGAAAGGACTCCTTCAAACAATTTCCCACCCCCGGCACGGAAGGGCTGGACTACCCCCGGGGGATGGTAATAGGTCAAATTGAGCCATGCATTATCGAGGAGCTAAGGTTTCAGGTTTTCAGACTTTTCAGGCGAGCGAAGGTTAGTGTGAAGCGAGTGAAGAGGGCCAGACACGCGCATGAAGAAAGACGGGGGAAAAAATATATCGCGTTATTTTTTTTGTGCCTTCCCCCATCGAGCGTGTCTGGCGTTCCCCTCTCGCTTCGCGTTAGTCTGCGTAGATGGCGGGATTCTTGTGCCCGGGGTAAACTACAGCACTCCCACTTATCCCGTCAGCTACGCAGGCTAGCTCCGCGCTTACCTCCGCTCGCCTGAAAACGCGAAAAAATAACGCCTTTTATGTAGGCTTAAACAGGTTGGGTTTGGTCTAAAACTGTATGGCGGAGTAGCGCCTGGGTACCCTCCGTAGATCCACCATTGCTGGCTCGTGACATTGCAAACATAACATCTTTCTCATGTATTCACCATGGCACACGAGTCATCACGCGATTTTCCCTTGTTCTCTAACTGCAGCCTACATTAACTCGATAACATATACATAGCGCCCTGGTACCGTTTTCGATATTTTGGATGCATAAAGGAACTCCAAAGATATGATCCAAAGCTCCCGCACCCGACTAACGAGCAGGTGCCGAGTCCTCCACGTGGAAATAACAAAGAAATACCAGGTGAAAGCTCGGGAGTGGAAGAAAGGAAATCAACCCAATAAGTAAAAAGTAGTGTTGCCGGGGATAATCTTACGACGAACACGTAGAGAATCCTATCTACGAAGGCAGATCAAGTTAACATAGGTACTTTATTTTTGGTTGCCACTATAGTGCCAAAGGAAAATAGTCATCATCTATCTTTAACTTTCAAAGGTAAAAAATGTTTATAAAATCACTTTTTTCTTGCTAATTACATACCAAGAAAATAAAGAACTGACCGCTTGAAGTATTTTAACGACTTAAATGACGCATTCGTATCACGGGGACGTTTGTGCATTAATTCCAAAAAGTGGAGTAATTCCTGAACAAATAAATGAACGACAGAGGCCCTATCTGCATCCGCATTTAGAAACTGGCATCTGAACATCACTGAATCGAAAAGCTGGAATTAGAGAAATTTCAAAAGAGTAGTTTTTATTACTATTATTTTTCAAATCATATGCAAGAGGCTGATTCTAAATTGTGTGTACTGAAAATGTATTTCACTGCTGAGGCCATGCAATTCAAAATTTGCTTGCAATCCATCTGCATTTATCCAAGAGATTCACTGCTAGTGGTCACAAATGTCTTGCCATTCCATACGCTCTTAAACTGTTCAGGCAGGGAATATTCCCCCTGTTGAAACAATAACAAAACAAACAGTAAGACTACAACACAAATGTACTATTCACCACGCAATCTGCTGTGAAGGTTGCACAACAGAGAAGAATAACTAGACACACTTGATACCATTTGCTCAGTACAAGAAAGACAAAGCAGTTATAAGAGTGATCCAAGAGTAGCACCCCATCCTTTCCCTTTTGAATATTGTGTTATTTTTAAATAAAGTAAATAGTATCTGTGTAGCTGGCGTCCCAGTTTCCCCTTTCTGAATTTTCTGGATCTATCCCTGCCGACTACCTTGATTTGGTTAGTACATAAGAAACTTGCCTGCACAAATTGTATTTAATAGTTAAACATGGCGTAGTTTTTTTTCCATTTTTTATTTTTCTTTCCTTTCGATACATTACATTACATTACATTACAATATCAACATTAATTACTTATAGTAGATGCCGGACAAAAACCAAACTAAAGCTTCACACATTACATATTCAACAATAACAACGACAACAAAAACATACAACAAAAAACATAAGCTGTTAAGGTATTTATAAGAAAAAAAGAGCAAGGCCAATATTAAGAAATTAACAATGAGAAAATGCAAAAAAGATATACATTTAAATATTGCGTATATTATGTACTGCGCGGCAATAACGTGTTGATCAAGTGATGTAGTAATGTATTAGAAACAGGGATTAAGAAAGTATCGAAATATATGCATCCCATTTAGCATAATGCGTTGAAAGAACATCATTTTTTTTGGCAACACAAAGTTCTAATCTGTAGTTAGCTTTTAATTTAGCCTTAACAACGTCAAGTGATGGTTCTTTTTTATCTTATTTACACATAAATAAAGAATTTTGCTAATAAAAGGATGTGATTGATTATCGTAAAATCTTTATCGGTATTGAATTTACCAAAAAAAACGTCTGGAAAGGAAATAACCTTTACTTCATTACTACAAAGGGCTATCCACGATAAAACCTCTTCCCAAAACATATCCACTACTTTGCAAAAATAAATAAATAAATGCTCTGAGATTCCACCTCATTCTTACAGAACATGCAGTACAGGGAGTCTACAATTTTGAAAGCAAACAGTTTATCATTACCAACATTGGGTAGTAACAAAATACAATAATTTCCTGCTAGCAGTGAGGAGTTACGTTTGTACTCACCATGTCCTGTTCACCATCTTTGGGAAGCATAATGTTCATCTCTGAAGACTTAGCAGTAACTATTTCCGTTGAACCAATACCATTAGGAAAGAACACTTGACAGCCATCAGTTTTGTCAATTGACACTGTTGGAACCTTCTCATTGACCTGTAGGAATACAAACAAAACTTACAAACAGATAAAAACTTACGTGAATACATTTACCTACCCACAACTGGCATGAGGAAGGTTATGTTCCCCATAACACTATTTTGTCATATGACAAAACAAGTAGTTTGTTTTTTTTCCTATGTGTTTTGTATGTGAGAATGTTATGCTCTGTAAATAAATCTAAAAAAGTAAATACTGCCAGTCGCAGCTTACAAGGGGGATGACCTGGCAGAGTACAATCAGACTTTTGGGCATTCACTTCATGTACTGGACACAGACGATAACGTAAAACAAAAGAACCAAAACCATGAAACAATACCAAGCAGAGTTTTCCCTGAACAGAAAACAAAGAAGTCTTGTTTTACATCATCTTTGTCCAGTTCATAAAGTTTTGACCGACTTTTGGTATTATATTTGTTGAGCTCATGAAGAAACAACAATAATAAATTACTGACAACTAGGGTACACACTACAAGATTAGTGCCTGAATGTGTAGACCATCAACAATATTATTGCTACGATGAAATTGTACATTGTTCTTGGTATTATTATAAAAATTACAAGACACAAGTAAACCACTTTGGTTGTGATAATGTTTCGCTCCTGTGATTGAAGGGCTACTTTATGTTGAAGATTTCACCACTAACTGATTTTCGCGTACATGACTGTACATGGAATTTATTTGCACTTGTAGTTGTAGAAGAACAAGAAGTAGTAATCAACTGAAAAATTAAATTAATATCACAAAGAAGGTTATTACACATGTCAGTTTTGGTTGAAGCGACGGGCAAATATTATACTTACAATTTGTGTTCCATATGCGGCTAGTAAGCTTCGATATGCGATCGGTGATGACACTTTTGAAATGTGAGTTGTGTAACGAACTTCTAGGTTTTCAAAATAACTAGTCACCTGATCTATTTTTGCCCCATTGCGCTAAGATAATTAAATATTCACAAAAAACAATTAAACGGCTTGAAAAAATGCAAATCAGATAATATAAGTTGGTGAAGACTTGCAAGTAAGAAGACTTTAATGCAAAAAAATAGAAAGAAAGAAAGAAAAATTGGAGACATTTTCATTTACAAGAAAATAATCATCTGACCTGGCACTGGACACTTTGACAATTGATAAATTCAACAGTACCAATTGCTCCATCAAGAACTACTGCTGTCTTCTTACAGTTATCTGACAAAATCAACAACAGACATGTCACACAGCAAGTGAGAGACACTAATCTTAACAATGGATTCTTCTACAATACTATCTATTGAACATGTCTTCAAACCTAGCAGCCCAACAAATGCAGATTTTTGACAAGGTCATGCTTTTAAAACTCCAGCACAATAACAATTGAAATTGATACTAACCTACAACCATGGAATTAATTTTTCCCTTGACCTGAATGGTGCTGTTCTTGCAGCTATAAACGTACACCGTATGTGATGAATGTGCATCAGAGATAACAACTTCTTTGTTGTTTTCTTGATACTCCTGCAGTTAAAATCAATGTGTCATTCAACAACCTGATAAATCACTCATAATATTAACCCGTCCGCCTGTTAGTAAGGTCTCTTGGCTGGGGGGGGGGAGCCTTAAATCAAGAGACCCAAACAGAGAGAGCTTGATCACAGGATTAAAGTAATATTCTTAGGTCATAATCTCAGATCCTTTCCCCGATTGTTGTTGGCTTCAATTTGTAGAAGTTAAGAACACATAACTTCTATTTTTTAACTCAGGTGTTGTACATACCACAAGCCATTTCTTTCCTTGCAGCCCAAAGACTGGAGGCTTCTTAACAGCTTGAGCCTTGGGAGCACTGACAACAGCAGGTTTTGGTTTGTCTGGAACTGGACCAGTTTTCCTTAGATCTTTGTTCTTGTGGGTCTTTTGATCATCTCGCACTTTCCGTAATCCTGCAACAAAATGTCCAGTATTTTTTATTGACTTCAAAATGACAAAATGAGCTGTGATGGCCAGGGGCTCATATAGGGTAAATATATGTATGTCCTCTTCCCAGACTTTTTTATCACTTTATCCAAGAGTGCAGTTCCATAATTAAATTTGATGGTCCAGCACAAAATACAGAGGGTCTCTTCACAGTCTAGTTTTGAATATGTACTGCAGATATGACATACCTGAGGAAATGTTGGTGCCTGCCTTGTTTATTTCACTGAACAAAGCAGCTGCAGCTCCTCGTTGGGTATCTTGACCAGAAGGAGCTGGTGATGGTGCTTGAATTGGGGGAGGGGGGGGTGGTGCAGGTCCAGGAGGAGGAGGAGGTGGTACAGACCCTGCACTAGCTTTTGCAACTGCTCCCTATTAAAAAAAATATTGAATGAACCATCAATACTTAGCTTTAGAAGTTAACAAAAATATCCCTAAATAATCAAGAACAAATATTGCAGTGGTGTGTGGATGTTTGCAGTTTTGTTTACATATTGTTAAAATCAATAAATTCCTTTCTCCCAGTGTTGAAGATGTTGGAACATCCTACTTTTTGATTCAATCTGCAGGTACCAAAGAGAACAGAATACACAAAATAACAGTACAACTCCCAAGCAGACATTCCCGCCTGGTTCTTTTGGCTCTTGTAGTTTGTCAGTACTTACAGAAGGACCCACTTATCTATTCTTAATATATCAAAACATCAGTTATGATCTGCAACTAAACAAATTCAACACAAATTGTTCCCTGGTAGCAGAGGTTTCTCACAGGAAGAAAAGGAGAGGAAAGAGAGAGACCTCTGCCGGCACCTGAAAAAACTGGTTCTGTTTAATATGGAATGCATGTGTCCTGTTGAGACTGCATGCTGCATGCTGGAAATTTTTGAGCCAACCGTTTTTATTATGCAAACGGGTTCAATAAGTTGTGTCGCTTGTAAATAAAATGTTACTGGTTGTTTAGGAAATGTCAGTGCAAGCAGGGGCCAGCAGAGGTCTCTCTCATTCATATCATTTTTCTATTGCAGTGAGAGACCTCTGCTAACAGGGAACAAAAATTGAATCTACTAGATAATGTGAATGTTATCTTACATCAAAACAATATCGACACTACTTACAGTTTTACTCCACACCAGGCCAGTTGTGTGGTGTGCTTTTACATAAGCTTGGAGGTCAGTCAAAGCAGCTTTCAGACAATTCACCCAATTCACATGCTTCTCATCTCTGGTATGAAATCACACAAATTCAAGCTGTGAACTGGCTTGCAGTACAATCACAACCCAGCCGACACTATAAAAGGCTGCTACTACAACATATGCCTTACAAGACTTAAGCCAGGCAATTTTTTCTTGGATTACATTTAAAACAACTGTGAAACTGCTGAATTGTTGGTGGTTGATTAACCTCTGGCTACTTTTATGATGTCATTTTGCTGGCTATTTGGCTATTGGCATATTGTACTTTAGCGACAGGCTGGCTGGTATTATCTGATTATCAGAAGATAACTTACTTTCCTTTAAAATCCTTTAAGACTCTGTTCATGAAGAACTGGGCAGCATCTAACATCTCCTTGACGTATGGTGCAGGTGTAGGACTCTAAGTGAAAGTACACATCACTTAAAAAAATACACAGTGAGGTGAAGACAGTAAGAAAGGTCAGTTATATTTTGCCTTTTACACTGTCATATTTATTGATTTTGGGCATCAAGAAGGAACAACTAGCATACAATAATGTATTTTTATGAACAACAGAAATGACATCATTAAAAGTTATAATTTTAAGTGAAGCTACAAGAGAATGGCCTGACCATTAAGCCACACCACCACTGAGTAACAAGTTCTGAATCATTCTGATAGTAGACTGTAAGAAGAAACAGTAGTGACTGATAATCTGCTATGCTTTGTAGCTGAAGCTCTTATTTCAGTATTTATATCTTAAGTAACTCTGGAGTATAAGAGTATAAGAAAAGACCAATTAACTTACCACTGATACCCAACCTAATGCTGGGATGGCCTCACTCACAGCTGACAGATTGTTGAACAATTTACTACTACGATTCTTCTCACGGAAGCCCTACAAAAAGGTAAAATAAAAATCGACTGCCTTTTGGGTTTTACTTCTAATGGAGCAACACTGGTAAATATATAAGTTATCACAATCCAATCAATTATGGGACAAAGAACTCCTATTTGAAAGAAATATTACTTCTACAGAGTTCTGAAAGTGAATGTCATGGGTTGACACATGTTTCCAAATAATTTATGAATACAAACTGTAGCCAACAAAACTAAGGGTTTTTGTGTATTAGGGTAAAATGATGGCTGCAATAAGCTCTAATTAGTTAACTCTATTATAAAAGTAAAATATCCTTTAACACTGTTATGTACCTGTACTTCAGAAATAGCATCACCTAAAGGCTTCAGTATCTTTTTAAATTCATCCTATAATACAAAAAAGAATGGCAAATCCATATATATACAAGTTTAACTAAAGACAATCACTTCTTTTAGGACTTGATCACACATTTGATTTGAAGATAGAGGTGTAAATAGATGTGCCCCAGATAGGACAATAAAACATACTGTTAGGACCAACAAAAATAATAGAATAAGCTAATTGCACGATGGCGTCATTTTACTACTACTTCTACCAGAATCCTTCAGGGTTTTGCTTTCTTGTGCAAATTAGGTAGACTGAATTTCAGACATTCCTTCAAGTTGCCTACTCCTCTCAGCAATGTCTGAATCAACAAGCCTAAAAACATGTTGTTGATAAAATAGAGAAAGGACATGGCAAATTTTTGCTGTCGGACTTGATATTTTTTCTCAACAGAATGCCCTATTACTGGCTACTTCAAGGTCACATGATGTCTGAGAAAATGTTTCCTGACATTGCGAAATCCAAATGACATTAAGGGGGACAACGCTGTGTTACTGCAAATGTTGATTGCTACCTTGTTTAATGTCAAATCCATAAATATGCTGTCACTAAACCAGTTGTGTAAGGGACATTACTGTCAACCTTATTTGTTATCTACGCACTATCTGGCATTTTCCCCCTAACAACAACCCTTAGATGACTGTCTTGATGATGAGGTGTGCAATATAACAAGCAAGGTCTAGCACTGTTGGTTGGTGCACGACCTTCTGTGTGGGCAGGTCAGAATTTGATTGTGTGGTTCCAGAAAATATCCAGACCCCCACCACGGAGGGAATTGGAAATTCCAGAGGGGTGGGGGGGTCAGAGGCCCAGGAAATTCCAGAAGGGAGGGGGGTTGGACCATAAAATCAGTTTCCAGGGGGGCAATATCATTTTGTTTTCGACCTGAGATCGAACATTGCTTCTTACCGACCTGGTAGATCATTTTTAGGACATAAATAACTTGAAATATATCACTTAAGATTGTTCCTTTTAATCTTAACCAGGTTTCCTTTCTTCCAAAAGCGTTTTGGATGTAATTTCAAAGGAATTAGACCGACTACAACTCGTTTTATCGCATGCTCGTATATTTGGCTGCCATTACTTGTTACCAGTCTTCCCAAAAACATCAACGCATGCAACACATCACGCAACACAACACGTTGCGTCAGTCGATCGATAGATGAGAAGAGTGGCAATTTTGCCTCACGAAGCACAAGCTATACATTGTAACCATTTTAGAATGAAGAGTTTTTATTCTCCTTTTCATTTTTCCTTAATTTTTTGGTTGAATGTGTGGCATGTTCTTGATCGAATTCTCCCTAAAAAGGGGTCGATTTCACCAAACATTTAAAGGGCCATCGCGCGTCACGTCGCATCAGTCGATCGAAAAACAGTAAATTGAACATGGTTTCCCTTCAAGTATCTTCAAGATGCAGGGGTATTCATTGTTGTCATTTCAGAATTCAGAGTTTTTATTCTCCTCTTTGTTTTGCATTAATTTTGTGGTTGTAACTTTGACTTGTTCTGCATTCCTGCACGAAATGGCGTTAATTCTATCAACATTACGCCCATGAGACGAATAACAAATCTAAGCTTGCCCTGATTAAGGTAAATTCACAAATATAACCGACTTATTAACTTTCTCTGTTTCATTTAAAGTAGGAGATGAGCAAAAATTACAGATCAGGTTACTTTGTGGTGGTGTAGTGTGTTTTAATGTTGCGAGATCACTCAAATAAATGGAAACAGAAGCATACAAGCTTCTAATGGAAACCGTTGGGTACTAACCATAAGTTGCCCCATTCATCTACTTTAATAGTCTTTCTTCGTGAAAATGAACTTTTCCAGAGGGGTTGGGGGTCATCAGTTCCCTGCAAAAATGGAAAATCCAGGGAGGTGGGGGGGTCCTAAGTGAAATTCCCTCCGTGGTGGGGGTCTGGATTTTTTCTGGAACTACACATTCCACGGTGTGACCTCAAATCACTGTTTCGACTTCTTTTCTTTCTGTGTAGCTTTTAGTAGCTTTAAATCTCTGTGAATGAAGCACTGGTGGAGAGAGGCACACAAAATGAGCACGTCATCAGCCTCAGGTCTGCTGTCAGTTTAAGCACTGTTACAAGTTGCTGGGAGAAAATAAGGACCTTTACCTTTAAACCCCTGAATCAGTTAGTTTTGACATCCCCAAATTGTAATGAATGTATTACTCTCTTAACTGATGATAACTACTGATATCCTTACCATACTTGGCTTCTGGCTCTTAGATGCAAGAACAATAATTCCTCGCTGAGCATCAAATGCCTTCTTTACAAGCTTAACCTGTGGAATAATCCAGCACATTCAAGCATGACACACATTACGTTTTTTTTGCATCCATTGACTTTTCCATACTGTAGAAAGCCCTAAAATAGTTTGTTGAAACTCTAAAAAATGATAAGTATGTTATCAATAGAAAAAGGTTTCAAGCATCACTTCAAGCTGAGACCATTTTCTTGGTCACCATGGCAAGTAGACTGGGTAGTGCTTATGGTTTTCCCTACGTTAAAATTGAGATAAATATTTGCATGAAATATTACTTATACTCTGATTTTTAAGGGTCATTAATGGCAACTATAAGAAATTCTCAAATCTGATTGGCTATCAGTAGCACTGATTGCAGCATTGATAGATCAGTGTAATAGGACAGTACATGTTATGCCTAAGTAACTGGATAGTTAGCCTCCCACGTAGACGTTCTCAGGGGTTCATCACGCGTTCCTACTCCACGAACGTCTGCTGAACTGAAAGATAAATTCCTTTCCCATTGTTTGCAAGTATCAGCTGGAAATCACATGTAAATTATCGGAGAACCAATCGGCGCTGTTGAAGTCAAAGTGTCGACAAGCCAAACACTTACGTACAAGCGCTGTAGAGTGTGATACGTGGCCAAAGATTTTTGCTCTGGATGAGAATCTAGGAGATAATCGTTGGCTTTTTGTATGTATTTCTCTCTGTAAGGGCTGGATTAGATGTTATTTGCTCATAAAGTTGTTCTTTGGGTGATGCAACAGCGGAGTCACCTTGTAAGACTGAACAAAAGGCAGATTTTTTTTCACACATTATTGCTTTGTAGTAAAGCCGACTTCCGTTGAGCAAATTTAACCTCTGAGGTAATTTTTTTAATGAGATTGTCGGGACAGCCACTAGTATGAATGCTTGTGAGTTAACTGAGTGGTTTGTTCTAAAACTGTAAGGTCCTCACCTTTCATGAGACCTTTCTGATCTTTTCTGGAGCTATAAAGTGAAGCGCAAAATTTCTCAAAGTGCAAAGTGCACTTCCCAAATCTGGAAGTCTGCTGTGATTGGTCTACGTTTTTTTTCCGCTCAAGTCAGCAGCATTCATGGGGCAGGAATGCGTGATGAACCTCTTAGAACATCTGCGTGGGAGGCTATTGGATAGTGTGATCACCCCCACATGGGATGGGATGGGATGGGGTCTTTTTGCAGAAACATTTTGAGAGAGAGCCTTTGAGTTTAACCATGATTAACTGGTAACAGCAGTTTGTATCGTCCAAACAGGTCTGTAATCTCGTGATCAAACAAATCAGACTCCCGCTCACTGGACTCTACATTACTGATTAAGATCGGGGAAGAGGTGCAACGAGCAGTAAGGAGATAACATTAAAAACAGCAACAACAACAATAACATTTCTAATAAGCTTATAAAGATTACAATAACATAATAATAATAATAATAATAATAATAATAATAATAATAATAATAATAATAACAAATATAAGCTTAATAATAACGTTGAGGAAGCTGTATGAAATGATACTTCACTGGTAACCATGTTCTTCATAACAAGACCAGGTTACTTGACATAATTTTTGAAGGTTCTTTTACCTGCGTGTCAACATCACCACCAATCTGGCTTGAAAGCTGATAAAATTCAGCCACTTTGCCGTTTAACACCTACGTGACAGGAAGCAATCAAAAAATTTAAGCTGAACTTGGCAAACTCCGCCAGGAAACTTTGTCGCATTTAACAAAACGTCTTATTATACCTCGTCGTAAGCTGCAACCAACACTCCAACATCTGCAATTCCAACAATATAAATAGATAAAAAGATAAGCACGCAAGTTAGAGTAAGGGAAATGTCTGAGCGTTAAATATATTGATCCAAGACTTCCCTCTGTTCGCAAAGATTCAATCATACCTTCTGGTGCTCCTCCACTCGCCTTGTCAGCAGCAGACTCCAGACGAGCGGTTACAGCTTCTAGACGAGCAACGAGGGCGCTTAGATCGCCAGACATTCTCAAAAGAAGCTAAATTCACAAAGTACGACACAAACGCCTCCTGTGCTGCAAGGAAACAAGCAAATGAAAGAGGGAGGGGTGAAAAGTATTGACAAAATATCGCCTGAGATTTTCCTTATTTGGTAGCTTTCAGAGCTGGACTCCAGTCCTCTTTCAATTATTCCTCTGATATAAGCTTCAATGAAGTGTCTTGCAATTAGGCTCCTTTTTGACGGCTGTTCAAACAGATCGAGGATCTAAATGGGGTAGTGACTTTTACGGTTATCGGCTGAAGTTTTGTCCCATTTACGCCTATCGGTTATTTTTTTTTCAGTTAAGGTTAACGAAAAAGTTAATAATTAATTTCTTTTGTTTCACAGAGTTAAATATTAATAACCCGGTATCTTTTGTATGTTTAAAGCAAGATCATCTCGGGATGAAATAAGTTATTCTCTTGAAAAATGTTAATATTTAAAAGATCATACTTTTACAGTATTTCTCTTCTAACATTATTTTACGCACAGAAATGTTAACTACCAGATTTTCACTAAACCCCACTTTTACATTTCCCATAATGCTAGCCTGAGTATCAGGCTTTCCTAAAGGGCTAAGGGAGATGAGAATTTAGATGGGAGAGGGAGGAGGGGGGAGCTCTCTCCCTTTTTGGCTTCCATCTTTCCCCTTTTCCCCCAGAAACGCCTGATACTCAGGCTACCATAATGCACCTTATTTGTCAGCTGATTTGTCCTCCAAAATTTTGCATAACCTTTGTTTTTCATTTCTCCTGGGTGTTACAGCCATCCCAAGAGAAATAAGGTGCATTATGGGAAATGTGGAAGTGGCGTGTGAAAAAAATTAGTTCCCGCAAACATTAGTTTCTGTAGAAGTATTATTTTGAGATCAGCAAGATAAAACTCCCACAAAAGTTTCGTACCAAACGGTATCTTAGTAAAACATTCACTACTTTATATTACTATTCAACTCGATTTCACCATCTGAGTCAAGCAACAGGGGTAGTTCTAGATCTAGCTGCTGGGTCGATAAAGAATAATTTTCTGATTTGCCGCTGTTTTTGGCGAGTCGCTGGGTCAAAGGGCCGTAGACCAAACTTCCTTCTTTCTCGTGTTAAGGTAAAGAAGGTCAATACCGTTTTTCATGAATGTTGAAAGTTTCCGATGCTCCTTTTCGACTTTGAGTCTTGCCTTGTATCTTTCGTTTGGTTTTACCTCACCCGTTCGAATAAATACTGACAACAGCTTTCAATACCGACCTGTTATGCAGGCAAACTCACTATGAACTCGTTGTGAGCTAAGCGAGCCGAAAGAAACGTTCTTAGGGGCCAACCATTTGACTTTTGACGGTTGGGGGGAATGAGGCTATGAGTGATTTGCTTTGGGTAATAATTTTTTTTCCAAACCTCTGGTAATATCATTTTTTTCCCTGACATACACAGGTGTAAGATTTTTTTTTTCCAGAATTATACACCATGAAAGATTTTTTTTTTCAGTGTAGGAATTTTCATGCGAGAAATGTTTTTCTTTGAAATCGGCTTGCAGGATATTTTTTTTCTGAAATCACCCATACGGTCATACCTCCATCAAAAGTCAAATGGACAGTCACTCATTAGGGCTCCGTCATGAGTTCCTTCCCCAAGTCAGGGAGGATTGCGTGACGAGTCAAAAGAACGTCGGGGAGGATAACTATAGCATAGCATGCGTGGCAGACCTTCGAAAGGGAAGGGGAAGGAAATATGGGCGCGAGACCACGCGCCCGGAACCCCCTTCCTGTTCCCTTTCTACCGGGGGTCCTGAAAAGGAGCTTGGCCAAACGTGCGTACAGAGTCAAAGTAGCCGCGAAATAAGAATTAGGCGCGACCCATCATAAGTGAATTTAGCACCTTCCTTAAATTTAACAAACCTAGGGAACATTTTTTTACGGTTAACTCTTTTTGCCCTATTTACGGCTAACGGTTAAAATTTGTCAATTTTTACGGCTATCCGGACTAAATTTTTGGCCGTTTTACGCCTATCGGTTAACCCCATTGAGACCCTCTTCCAAACTACATCACGGGAACTCCCATCACACCCCTTTACAAAGTTATAGGTTTTTTTATTGGCAGCAATTTATAGGTTACGATTGCTCGGGCCAGTATTTCTGCATTAAAGGAAGACTGCCTATTAGAAATATTTATCCGACTTTTGTGTTTCCGCAGGCTAATTCTGTATTTTCTTATCGGGCCTGGACGACTGAGTTGTGTGTAGCCTTTACATTTATACCTCACAATATCTGATCATAGAAATTTTTACCATAAGGTACTGTTTGGTTTCTTTGGTGACCTTGAACTACAAATAACTCATTTCGAACCTTTTTCTTTACTAATCACTATAGTTCTTTAATTGACCTACACAAACTGGACGGTAGGTGTCCAGCATTGTACAGCGTATTCAATAAGAAACGTGCGATAGACTTAATACACTACAAGTTATAAAGGTTATAAAGAGGTCAACTCCGGTCCAAAAAGCCGACGAGTCTGTCGTTAGAAGAAAGGAGAACTCTTACATATACTCCAGATACTTTTTTTCGGCGAGGACAGAAAGTGTAAACAAAAGCATTAAACTTCATTCAAGCGATATTCGGGGTACGAATTATTGGAAAAAAGTAGCACACCGCAAAATTCTTGAATGGCAAGTAATGAATAAGAACATAAATAACAGTGCAATGGAACATATACAACAACTACAGTTCAGTTTTATTCAAGAAAGGCGACTAGTCCGTCTGTGACTAAAAATCTTTTTAAATCTTTCTTTTTCTTTCGAGAAATGCTAGCGGCCAACAAGGTGAAAATGAGCGGCAGTGAAAAAAAAAGTGAACAGGAACAAAAGTAACAAAATTTTTTGTGAGCAAAGTTCCTTCATAAAACGTGTAACTAGGAAGTTTCTGTTACAGTCATGGTTCTCAATGCCTCAGCCCTGGTCTCTTTCAAATGAGTGGTAATCAGTTCCAGTTTTTCTTTTTTCAGCTTTGTTTTGTTCCGAAACTGTCCAAATGTCCAAAATAGAACAATTTTGAATTAAAAATGCGTAGAGTCGTACAAAATAACGGCAAAGTAATGTACTGGGGGAGGGGGGGCTATGATATTTTCCTTTGATAAAAAATGTTTTTTTGCTAATTAGACCACTTTTTCCGTTCTTGTTGCCGTCCAGTTTAGCATTACATGATTTAATTTTTTGGTTAAATTATAGGAATAGTAACGGGAGCTTCGCTTTTATATTATACTCAGTAGACAGATTCTGATTGGTCAATCATTTCTACAACCTTTTGAAGGAATTGTAGACAAAAAGCTCTTAAAGGGAGGAGGGGAGGAATTCGTGTACTCAGTCCCTCCCTGCCAGTCTGTACGAGCGGTTGATCGGACGTACGCTGACGCCATAACCAAATATTCTCGTATCGATAGGTTTCCAATTTCTATAGAGACGGAGGCTCCGCTATTATGGAAGTTGCAGTATTCTGGAATATTTATCTTGGCAAAAGCCTAAACTATAACAGGACTGGCCAAATAGGGTATTTTTTTCTGACGTAGTGTTTATTAGAGCCGCTTAGATACAAAAGAAATTGTACCCTTTCTAGCATTTTCGGGAATGTATAGCTAAGGTTTACCATTACAAAAAAATACCGCAATTAAAACTTTAGGCCACTTTTGAGCAACTTTTTATCAGAATCCCCTTACATGGGGCAGATCGAGAGTAAATCTTTCAAGGAAGTTTTTTAATCCTGCTTCCAGACGGGAATTTGTATGCATTTCATTTTCTGTTGCACAAAATCAAAATACATCAGAATCTGGTGAAATGCAAATCTGGGAGGATTATGAGGAATCAAAATAACAGGACTTGACGCGGAAATGTCTGACACTTCCTAGTGACCAAAATGCTATTATAAGAATTCAAGAGATAAGATAGATTAAGATACTGTTGCAGCATTCAAGTGCCCCGCCACTGATCGCCTGAAACTGTTAGGAAATATGTCAGATAAAATGTGTACGTGATCAAAGTCAGTAGCTCAAACTAGTTCCTGTAGACTGAGTACTTTTGTGGTCTACCCAGTCATTTTGGTGAATATAAGTGGGTGATAGGATTTACTTTATGAAAGTTACTAATTTCAAATATTCGATGCACTGTAATTGCTTAAATTACCTTCTTTACTGGGTTTATATACATCATACACATGAAACTAAAGATGAGAACGTTTTTTAATTATAGTAACTAGGTCAACTGAGACTTACAAATTCCACAACAATGTAATCCCCAAGATCCCTTATAGACGGGCGGAGATCAGTTATTTAATCCAATATTATCCTTCCACAGATTGCAAAGTTTCAAGTTGTTTAAACAAATAGGGTGTCTGTTAAGTACAATAATTACATGACTGTATGATTCTTTTAGCCTCAGTTTTTTTGCAAACCCTGTGAATACTGGTAACCAACCAATCCTGCTTTCAGCTGAGGGTCTTGAATATCAGCTTATCTCAGTAAAGTGATATAAAATGAGTCACAAACATTCGGGATATAAGAGCAGAGAAGCAAACTACGCGTTGTTGCTTCAGTAAACTGGTCTCAATATACAGGGCTAACAAGAAGCTAGAGAAGGACCTCAAGGAATTTTTTGTATCGCGCTCTTTTTGTGGACTACTTTTGAACTCCTACTATGAGCTTCATACCAATATGTTCCATATTTGATACCTTCTTAATGTTTTTTATCAGTAAAACTAAGTTTGTAGACTTCAGGGATTTCTACTGACCCTCTTTCCAACTGCGACCTCTCTATTATGTGCACATTGCTCTGGACCGTACACTGAGTCGGCATAATCCATTTTCGTCCCCCAAGCCACTCGGCTTGTGACCAAGAAACGACGGGTTCTTAAGACGAGAATGGGCTGAACCAGACGCGTGACATAAACATGATAAAACCTTGACGCCTTTATAGTGGAAGGGACCGTTAATCAGGGGCACCCATACAACGACGGTTTCCTCCTAAATACATTGAAAAAACTCTTTTGGTTATCCAGAGCACTTTTACCTCTCTAGAAGTGCATTCTAAGCAGCGCTATAGAATTTGTACCGGTTAGCTCATCCTAGGGCAACTTGAGTCTTTTCGAATTTAAAGGGCTTCAGTATTATTTCTCTGAAAATTTTACATGCAATTTCACGTATTAGGTAGAAGAGAATTTTACTGATTCCTCTATCCATCACATTTTTGAATCCGAAAACTTTAGGTTTCCTTTTTCTACGAAAATATGCCTAACATGAGGAGTGACATGCATATATGTGAGAAATTAAACTTGAGAAAATCATAGGCAATTTATCAAATGAACTTCGAAAATTGTTCATGAATAGAACGGTCATCTAGAAATTTTAAGCCGTCCTCAAATAGTAGAAAATTCTAGGGAACATCTGCTTCTGCGAACAGACATTTTATAGAAAACAGTTGTTGGATGACCCTGGTTAATTGAGCTTGTGTAATTCATGGTACTCCCAGGCCATTAAGGAATCAGTTTTCTTTACATATTCATTTTTATAACGTGCACTCCTTCCTGTTTCTTTGCTTTCCATAAACCTTTACAAATTTACTTAGTGTTTGCGGCGGTTCTCTTGGCCATCTCCTGTAATTTTCGGCTTTTGAAGGAATCTACCTTGTAAGTTGATGTATCCTTTCAAGCGGACAAAAGCCTCTAGTCTGTTCTACTTTTTCTCTTTAAATTACCGTACCAGTGAGACAACTGGATTACTATGAGAAGTAAATGAAATGCTCTTTACTTGATTTAATTTTTTATACGTTTGGCAATAAACGTACAATTTGAATTTTAGTTCGGGTAACATTGAAAAAAAGAAAAAAACAACAACAACAACAACAATATAATGGTTCTGTTCAACCCGTTGAAGCGGTTATGTTCAAGGTACAAAAAAGCCATTAACGGGACTAGTTTTAGGTTAAATAACTTATCGTGTGGTCGCCTGAAACATAGGAAGAAGACCTCAGGACTTGTAACTGGTTAAATAATGCGTGATTTCATCCGTACTATTAAGCAGTACAATCCGTCTTTTCTTGACTTGTTTTGCGATGAATGTCCGCTTAAAGTTGTTTGATGTAGGTTCTTATGTGTTATTCCTTATTTGACTCTCTCTGAGTGAAATGATGTACGATTGTTAACGGCTTAGCATAATGAAATTTATCTTCCTAGATTTTGTTTTAGAGTATCGTTTACGGAGTAAAAAATGTAAAGAATTATAAGCTTCAGTTACATTTTCCCATGCGAAAAAAACTTTGCTTGAAGTTAGGGCTAACCGTTAGTTAAACTTGGCTATCTCACTGATTAACATTTCCAAAAACCTACCCTCAACCCAGTCTCAGCGAAGGTAACTAGGTTCCATTGAGTTATTTGTCTCGGTTTAAAAAGGAGAGACGCTTGGAACTAGAGAAAGTTTATGGAGGGGTGGGCGTGGCTCGTGATCACGTGTAAACGCAGAGGCCGTATTTATAAAAGATCCTTCTTTGCCCTCGCCTGAGTGATTAGTCTGATATAAGTAGTCTTTGTTCAAGTCATCTCCAGTTTAGTTTAGTCAAGATATTGTTAAAACGTGTGGTAAAATCTGGGCAATATGCCGAACCTAATTTCCGTATCCTCTTTAAGCTTTCTCTAGTTTTAGAATAGTTCAGATCAACTCTTAAATTCCCCTTAAGAAAGCCTAGCTTCTAATTGGTTGGCTGTTTAATCTTTGTGCTGCATCTTCCCCAAATTCTTAGCCTGGTAACCTCCCTCAGGGACAGGGAATGCGTAGAATGGGCCAGTAAGGGATTGGAGTTTAGAGCGTGATATCCAAAGAGGCTAAGATTGGGTGACATTTTTAATCTCCATTCTCCATCCTTCCTTTCAAGCCTCTGGAGCTGTCTAAAGAGGATTTTTTGAGGAACCGGGCCCTGGTGTCCATTTCTTGTTATATAATATAATACCGACAGGCACCTGTATTAAACCATAGTTAATGGAATGGAATTTTTAGGAAGCCCGCCAGACTTTTGTCTGCAGTATGTTTTGTGAACAGGACGGTGCACAGCGTTCAAAAGAATTTTTCCTATCAATTTGATCTTATTGACCAATAACATCGTCGCATTAATTTATTCCGTCACAATTTGAGCACAAAATGCAAAGGATTGAGCACAGTCAGGGAGCCACTACAACTACAGGACCGTTGGTTAGTTATCTTTGATGTTTGCCGCCTATACATAACCAGTCTCCTTTATTAACCTGTATGATTTGAAGCGGAAATCATGCATTCGCCGCTGCTGACCCCAGTTTACTTCCTTTTGTTTTTAATATTTGTTTTAGAGTGGTTGCTGTAATATATATTTAGCGATGTTTGGATCATCAACTTAGTTAACTCTTAGTGATACTAAGATGTTATGATTAAACATCCATCTAATATGTTTTTGGACTGTTTTTACATTCAATTTCCTTACTTTTTAGCAACAGGTGTATTCAGACCGTAATAGGTTAGGGGGGTAAAAAAAGACAAAACAAAAACTTGGCTTCACTTGAGAAGGAAATAAATGCTTTCACTTGGTCCTTCGTCTTGTAACTTGCCGAACATCACCGTCTGTCGAAGAACAATGTGGTAGGCCAAGTTCACGAGTCAAGTAGAGGAAAGCTAAAACAAGCATGTGATTTTGTAGTGGTTATAAATACCCTGGAAATCAAATCAGGTTTTTACTTTACAAGCGTACTTCAGCATATTACAGATTAATGACCTGTGATCCTGCTACCTGTGGGTAATAATAACAGTACTTTTAAATTCATTGTCTTTTCTTGTCACTTCCTAGTATAATCTACTTTTTTTGTAAAATGTGTTTGGTTATTAAATATAACGCTGAGTTTTGACAATATTTTTTGAAATCGTAAATCGTACGTTGCAAGTTATGATCGAGCTTCAATTTTTTAACGGGCCACCGGGATTTATGTTCTGAAAAAAAAGGACTGGACTGGATCGTGATTCCTGGAGGGGGAAAACGTTAAGTAAAAAGGTGATGCCAAATGTTCCTTATACTTGAGTGGTCACAATCCAGGATCGATTCAGAAACACGATGATAAATTGCAGTGTTTAAGTATAGACTTAAAGGGACAATTGGGGGGTTTTGAAAGTAAACTTACGCCCCAATCATTGTCTGAACGCTCGTGACATTGTCATGGTTTGAGTGACACTCACAAGATAGTATAGAACGTGGTATGCATGAATGGCAACAATCTTGAGGTTCTAGCCAAAATTCGCACCTGATAAAGAACCAAACGTGTGACGGTCCGTAAGCAGGAAAATAAGATCTTTATCAACCACTAAAAGGTTCGAGAGATTTATCATGCAATAAATCAGATTCATCCAGTCATATGATAAGTACTTTTTAGTGGCTCGGTTACCTTGACAACATAGAAACAAAATTTCGCTCGAACAATAGTGATATTTCTGTTGAACGCCCCGTCAAAGCTGCCCCACGTTTAATTTGTTTCTATTCACAAGCTGTGTTGAACTATGACACGGTCTTGTGAACAGATAAACTCATATCGTGTTCAACTGCACGTTTTCTCTCGTAAGGAATGTACTAGTAACACTTTACAGGAAAAATGTCTATTACCGCTATTCATAAAAGGAATTATCATCGACTATATCACTATAAATATGTTAGCCAACCACTTAGAAAAGCTTCAAAACTTTCCGTGATTTATGAGCACCTTATATAAGTACAGGCTGTGATGAAGGTTAGACACGGCCCCGAGGCCAGTCGACTTTTTTATCAACCTTGCGTTCCTTGTTAGGCGTCAAGCAGTGAGAAATGATTTGCGGTGTTAGTGAAGAAGTTTTCTTCCCTCCAGCCGTTTCTTTTGTCCAGAGATGCCTCTAGTTGGCAAAATATTATAAAGAAATATAATCCCATCAAGATCTAAAGAGGTATCAGGTCTTGATATCATTGCTTATCTTGCCCTCTTAACTCGATTTCTACAGTTACAATGGAACATGAATGAAACTCGGTAAAATATTTTCACGTTCACCTCATCAAATATGACAATGCTTTTATTGTGAAAAGGCAAAAACTTGTCATTCAATTGGACCCCGACATATTTGTCTATCAATGTGAAGATGATAATTTTCAAAGGTGAACTGTATCACTTGGAATACTGCCGGGTTCACGCCGGCTTAGGTTCCCGAACTAGACATAGCTAGGAATTAACATTATTGCGATCAGGGCAGAAAGAATCGAAGTGAAGGGCAAATAGATCTCATTTGATGATTTTGCGTTAGCTTTATTGCTTTGACTAAAGAAAACACAAAAAGACAACAAAATGCGTAACATTTTTTATTTTCTATTGTGCTACTACAATTGATTGGAATCGCAGAGGGTTGTCTATTCAAGAGCTCACTTTGTAAGAACCTCCATTTTTGATGATGATTAACTTAACGTCTTGAACAGTGGTGATTTGTTTTTTATATATATTGAACTTGTATATGACTTACTTATTAAAAGCTTGTTCTAGGGTCTGTGCATCTTTGTACAAAAGGTTATTTCTGCATCTAGTCGACTGTACATGATTGAATTACGTAACATAAAAACCGTTACGATACACGGTTACGCCTAAATTAAAGCCCCTTGTCTCTTCTTCTTCTTCTTGGCAATAAATTAGAAAATTGATTAAAAATATCTCTTATTGTTCATTGCATAACTTTATGGATTCTGATATGTTCCTACAGTTTTTCTATAATACTAAATTTGTGTTTTAGGTTCACCAATTATCACCGAGAGCAGCGAGTAATTAGCAAAAAGACGCTGGTGCAGCATTCTTCTAAAGATCCCGTCTCTGGCTCAAAGGTTTTACTGACTAGAACATCTTTCCTATAAAGTCAACTTCCATAAGAGCTGTTTAGAACAGCATTTAGAGCTGTGGCTGTCCTATGATTTCCACATGTGTTGGAAAAAACTGCTGACCGTTTAACGAATTAAATGGCGGCGATTGAGGGGCAACAGTTTGATACGTAAATGACGTTGCTACCGAGCTTGGTGGCGAAAGAGTAGGAGAAGGCACATAAGAAGCTGGCGAGTAATATATGTGGTCGTACATTGTTGTACCAAAAACCAATGTAGGCACCCCGTTGTATTCAATAAGCTGAACAGGTCCGGTTGCCGTTGGTGGAATGCCGCCGCTAGCAGGTATATGACCATTTGGTGACTGGGGAGTCAGAAGGGATACTGTCTGGAGCGGTTGAGCTGTGATCGGTTGAGAAAAACCAGTTGAGAAATTACAAGGAAATTGCTGGGATCTGAAGAAAAAGAAATTTGAACAACAATAGATGAAACTCAAGTCAAGTTTTGATATTTTGTTTAACAAACTAGAGTTACTGTGACAGAAATGGAAAAAAAAAAAAAGAAAAACGGTCGCACTTTTTCGATTAAGCTCACTGATTGGATTCAGTTCTTTTACATAAAAAGAGTAAATATTTTGAATTAAACTTAATTTAAACTAGTTACCTTTATTGAGGTCTAGATCTTTTGTTTTTCAAAGCGTAAGCAACGAAAAATACTGAGAAACGTTAAGAACAAAGTATTCGGCGATCTGGAAAGCATGCGACATTCCATGAACTGTTTTTGTCATTTCAATAACCCGTGGATATGCCAGTTGACTGCTGAGTGGCGGATGCCTACGGTTTGAATACTTAGCGCTTAATAATCACGCTGTTGTTAAAGTTTGTGGTTATTAGTTGTTTTATTTACATGACCCTTATAACACACAGGCTGCTTAAAACATAAAAGTTATTATCGAGCCAGACGCCATTGTGCTTCATTGTCGATCTAAACAAGCAGTCTCTCTTCACTTTGCTTTTATGAGCGCGATTTATTCAAAATAAGAACATTTTGTTACTAAATGAAATGTAGTTTTACGATGAGGTTAAGTGATCTTGTGGTCGTAAAAGAAACCTTTTTTGTACCCCCTGAACATTTTAAATTATTCACAACTTTTATTCCTAATTGATTTAATTGATGAATGCCACAATAACCACATTCTAGTCGGACCCGTTTGACTTTCATGCCCAAAACACACTATAATTTGGATACCTTTGTGTTCTTTGTGGACTTGGTTGACCAGCTGTATAGCGGTGTAAAAGCCGGCAATATTTGGTTTTCAAATTACCCGGGGTAGCTGGGACGTTACTATTCACAAACTCTGCTCGAATTTTATTTTTATTAGAGAATCGTGCAAGGGTGGTAAAATCCATTCTGTACTTAAGATTACTTTACCAACTACAAAAAACTGCCCATTACAAAAACGTTGCTTTTCAGAGCTAAGTGGCGATTATTGTGATCCGGCAGGCAGGCGGCTTACCCTATCACAGTATTCTGCTTATATCCATATCCATAACTCGTCATGACATTCTTTCCACTTCCTAGAAACACAAAAAGAGAGGACACGTTCGCATGTGTAATCAAACAGCATTATTTACTCTTTCTGAAAGTGATAGGGTTTACGTTTGATTCAGTGTTAGTGAAGCGAAAAATGAGGCCATGATACGCCGCAGATTTCTCTCTTAGACGTTGTTGCGGCTTAAAACTGGAGAAACTCGGATCTGTTACACTGACCTTTAGTCGGTTTTACTTTGGCGCCAATGTAAGCCAAGTTTACGTTCGCTGTTCTTCCGTCGATAACCGGTCTTCTGTTTACGCACGCCTTTTCGGCCGATTCTTTGTCGTGAAACGTAACCTACAGATTATAAAATCATTTGTTAGAAAGTTGCCAACAAAGAACCAAAAAGGTTGTTAAACGAAAAGTTCAGATTCAGAGCGACAGTCACTTACGAAACCGTAGCCTTTCGACTTTTGCGTGTCCCGATCTTTAATGACCACAGCCTCCCTGATTTCCCCAAACTGTTCAAAATATTCTCTCAGAGTTTGATCATCGGTTTCGTATGGAAGCCCACCGACAAACAGCTTGAGGAGCTTAGTATCTTCGTATCTGATCATTTCCCGCTTTTTTTGCGTAACCTTACTGATAACAAGCGCTTGACTGAACTGACTTTAGATTCCACTGCTGTGACTGTCTGGTTACCGGCGCCGTTAGAGGTCTCTGTTAAATATGCAACCTACAGTGAAAATGTGTACAAATCAGTAATTTGCACGTGTATGACGTGGTATTGTAGTACTTGTCTAGCAAGCCTCAGAGGCGAGTATTATAAGATTAAGTTTTCAGCCAATGATTCTTTGGATCTCTTTCTTGAAATGGGTCCAATGGGACCACACTTGATTGATGGAGTGTCGACAACCAAGCTAATTAACAGTTCTTAAATTCCTGTTGACAACTTTGATTTGGTGTGAGAACCTAGAAGCAAGAGCGATAATTACCCGGTTGAGCGTCCGAGCTCACTGTTTGCTTTGCTTACATTGCATGATATTGCTCTGCTCGCATTTGTTACGCAATATTTGATAGTCCTCCTTTTGCCCCCAGGTAATACTGTCTAAGATTCTTCATAACACCACTCATAAAACAATTATTCCTCTGTTATGCTAATTCCTTTCCAACCGACCATTACTGAACTGAACGAACGTCATTCATGGCTAAGTCACTGTCGATAATTGGAAAAGGTGTTATCTGGTCTCTTGACCAAGCAATAAACGGCATCTTTAAAACAGCAAGTCATTTTTTCAGGAAGTCACGTTTCTAAGTTTAATGGTAAACCGTATTCCAGAAAAGTGAAAATCTAAAGCAAAGGCTTTTAAAATCCAATATAAACAGAAACCTTAATTTGATTACATGAAAGAAAACTGTTTTTTTTTTCAGAGAAGGACCTGGAAATAAACGCGACCTTTCTGACTTTTCTTGTTCGTGCGATTTTTCACGTAACCACAGCAAATAACGTATCACTTTAAGGAGTTGTTGACTTTACAGCGATCTTGATTATACACAAATTACTTAGCATACATTGTTTTTGTTTACAGTTTAATTTTCCAGAAGCCGTTTTTTTGTTCAAGTTTCGGCTACGTCTTCATTGACTGCGTTAAGTAAAGTAAGTTGTGGGTTCTAGCATCCATATATGGATGATGGATCACGTTTCACGATTCACTTGTGATTTCTGAGATTAATTTTAATATCCGAGGCAGTAGTTATCAACTCTTTAGTGTTGTGAATGATCTTTATTTTTAAGGACATTAAACAAAAGATGCAAATATTGACTTAGTACTTTGTTTACCCTTCGTAAATTATACAGCCTCAAGGTTGGCTTCATGAGGACGGCCAAAATAACATTGACGTTACGGCAAAATCAGTTTCAGATATTTAACATAAATGTATTAACAACGAATTAATAATATCAGGCACCATCTCCCCAGATCAAAGATTATTTAAGCTTATTTTGTTTTTACAAAAACTGTTTTTGTATGTCGTTCTTTCAATCCTCCAAAGAGGCAGTGATAATTACATTCTCGTTTCATTTACTTTTAAAGGAAACCGATCCCTCTAGGTACTTTCTTCTTAGCTTTTTTGTCACTGCTGTTTTCAGTGGAGTCATTTTCACTTAAACGTTTAACGGAACAAGAGAACGTTATGACTGCGAACGACCATTAACTTTAAAACATTTAAAAACCATGCATAGCCCTCAAATGTTCTAAGAAGACATGACTGAGAATCACTTTTCACCCATCCCACCTCTGCGAAATTTAATAATTGTGAATTGTGATCTTCAAAACACATGAAAACAGTTTCCCAAAGCTGTGAGAATTCAAAACTGATGGTGCTAGGGAGCAAGGAGATAAGGCCATTTCATTTCTTTCAAGGTTAACTTTGTACGGTCTGTTGATCTAGTTACAATAGTGATTTACAATAAAGCTCTCATTGTTCTGTCACGAGCGCTTTTAATCACTAAATGATGACCGTGACATTTTTGAACGCTTTTGTTCTTATTGTGATCAAAGCGATGTCTCCGGCTCTAGTTTTGCAGTAGATATTGTTCCCGCAAGTGTAATTGATCTGAAGTCGCCAAGTTTTTTTTTGTGAAAATTGAACCAAAAAAGTTTTTGATGCGTGCGACAGAAACCCAGCAATTAACGCAAGCTGTTTGTTTTGAAACTGAGATTTTCTTTCAACTGTGTCTAACCAAACAAATTAAAACTCAATTAGTTTTATGAGGAGCGCAATAGTGTATAATTATAGTTCTGACAGCAGATGACAGCTCCTTGAGGTTTGAAGAGTTCTGCAACTTTTTTAGAAAGGGAGTTGCATGTTAACTAACTCACTCAATGATTGCAGGCTATAGTAACCAATTCTGCCACCCCTTGTCTTGTTAATAGTATTGCTGAACGTCTTTTTTAGGACGTGACTACTAATAACACAGTGCGTCTCTACATGATTGCAAATGTTGTTGAAAGGATCTTAGCAAAGCAGTGAATTTCAACACATGTAATTTCAAGGTATTACTCGAAGATCAAAATGTTCGTATGAGTGGAGTGGAAAACACAAAGAGTCAAAACTAGTCAGCCATGCCGCTAGAACTGAGACAGTAAAGCTAGCCAGTTGGATTATGCGTGGTAATCCTTCCACAAAAACATCTGTATTGACTAACGGTTTCACTTGTCGGGAGAGTTAATTATTTTCAGCATATACTTGAAACATACACGTATGCTACAAAACTTCAAACATCAAGCTTCAAACAAAATCTTTCGGACGATTTTTTTCTAAGAGTTCAGGAGAGGTTGGAGGATTTCTTCTCAATAAACTCAGACTTCACACTGATTGAAAAACGAAACTATTGTAAGTGAGAATAACGTTTAAATAAACCGTGGTTGAACTTTAATATTACTGAATAGATAGTTCTTTTTTTGAACACAACGAAAGTATTGGATATACTCACGAATTAGAAGCAAAACTGTTGAAACTGCCTTCCCCCAAGAAACTAATAATTACCTGAATGTTCGATGCTTTCCGCTATATTTTCCTTTCAATGATGTCAAACTATAGAGCATTTTCCTATTTCTAGTTTACCGTAAGATTGTTGAAATTAAATTCGATCAAATTTACACATTTGTCTTTAATAAAAATAACAATTTTGGTGCGTTCAATACGTTGTTGCGATGATGTTTGTTTGAGCCACGAGAGAAAAAATATTTAGGATATTTCTTCACGCGTGCGAAAGTTCATGTAAGAATTGTTTGGACGGACAGCTAGTCATCAAAACCGAGAGGCCGAAATAGAAAACAAACGTTTTCTTTCGAATCAAATATTTCGTGATGGTCTTGGTAAAATCATGTGCACTTTGACACTGACCTGTGTTCACATAGAAAATTTTTAAAATTAGTTTTCAAGAGGTTTATGATTTATAGACATTAACTTTCATGGAAATACTAGTTAAATTCACCTGTCTCGGAACTAAATAATTTGAAGAGGTATCTACAGTCTTTTTTTACATCCTGCCTTTCCACTTTGGTAGTGAAAACTTATTGTATATACTGTAACAAATGGTTTGTTCCACATGACCGGAGAAGCTACTCGCCGATCTGAACATGAACGTGAAGTGTATTTGTCAATTAATTGTTAAGATAAGACTGAACCGTCGTCATTTTAACAGCATCGGCTATTTCAGAAACAAATTATAAAAATTCGCAAAACGAAAAGAACCTGCTGCAAGTTATTGCAGTTGTATTTCAAAAAAACTTCACGGTCGCGTTCGCTTCTGTAAAGTCATGTTTAGACAGAGCAACTCAGTGCTTTCCCAATCACGGAACGGACTGAGATGACGAAAAATTTTGCACAATTTGAGGTTCAGCCTCCCCACCCTTTCATTTCGACCATTTTTGACAGTAAAAAGCGCACCTTTCTTTTACCTTCAACTTATGATAAGTAGTCTGACCCATTTCACATACCTAAAACGGAACACAGTATCCCCTTTAACTACTGTAACCGGCCCTTCTTTAATTTTGAACAAATCAATAAGGCAGGATGTTTTGTTTTTTCATTTCCTCGCCCAGTTAAGTTAAATCACCCTTTATAAAAACTAAAATAACAGCTAGATTTCCCCACCATTTAATACACTTCAACTCGTGAAATTCCTGACTGAGAATTGAACCCCTTTCTGGCGCAGCCTCTCCGTATTGGCCATTGTAGTGAGTATCTCCCTCCCCTCGCCCTTATTTCACCCCCCTCCCCTCGCCCTTATTTCACTGAAAAACAAATTTACCTTTTCCGTCGAAAGAATATACGACTTGCGTACTTAGGTTAGCTTCAAAATCTGTAAACCACTAAACTGGATGACTCCAGGCTTTTCAGGATACTTGTAAGGTAAAATTAACGAAAATACGCAATGTGATAAAATTGACAAATACGTCAGTGGCATTTGCGCAAGATCAACTTTTTCTTTGTGATCACGTATAAGTTTTAATTTAGCTGATCGTGAAAACAGCATATTCAGGGTATAAATAAAATTATCATAAAAAGGAACAAAACTAATAACTTGACTGATCAACTTTTTCTGACATAGAAGATCAACAAAGCAGCAACCGGAGTAACTTGGGTCGTAAACGATTAGAAGATTACAAAACGTAGTAAGTGGGCATTGGCTGAAAGAAGAGAATAGGGTATTAGACAACATATAAGACATCACTTACTTTATTTTCTGTTCCTGATGACGAAACGACCATAAGACACAACTTCCCGGGTAAATTTGGTTCTTTAACTAAGTGGATAGTATCGCAACGCAATAAATCACGAGACGTAAAAGAGAACACGCGCTATCACATGAGAATCACGGTCCTTTACACAGCATAGCTAGATATCAAAAGCCATCATAGTCGGCTGCATCACGAGTTATCGGCCAATAACTTCATAGCCATTCAAATAAATAACGGGAAGTATTAGTTAGTAGAGTGTCTATTGAAACGGCGACTCACGGTACACATGATCATGTTCTCCTGTATTGACTCCTACGCTTGAGTTAGATCAAGACAGAATGGTTTAGATTTAACTCCGTCTTAAAATTAGCGGCTAAAACATAAATTGCATTGACCGCCAATAGACACATCTCAACACAAAGAGAGCAAGCTATGTTATTCAGTTTATCAATCTGAAAGCCTGACACGGTGCGACCACTCCCCGTTAACTATGTCGAAAAACTACAACCTCTCTTCCGCATTTTTCTATATTTAAGGTGATGTTACACGGAACGATTCACAGCTACGACAACACAGCGCAACACTGCGATGCAATGTTGGAACAATGTTGTAACCTTTCGAAACAATGTCGCAACAACATTGGAACGATGTGTTGCGCTAAAAATCGTCGTTGCGAATCGTCTCGTGTAACGTCGCATTTAATTTAAGCGTAAAGAACTAAGAACTTCACCATAGTCTCCTAACTTTATGGCACTTATAACTAAAAAAAATTAACTCTGAGATCCCCTCTCGGTTTCATTTTTTATGTATTGCAGCTTACTCAATGCCGGCCGATCAGTTCTGCTACTATGATAGACTGAAATATATTTTTTTATGCAAAAAATGGGTAAACATTTACGTTTTTGTACATTTAACAGAGTAACAACAACCAACTGTTCAATAATTCATCATTTGATGAAATTGAGAAATGGCTTATTTGACTAATGAACTTGATGAAAAACCTGTCAGTATCAAGATTTAATCACTTTTTTTGTCGGAAGAAAAAAGTTTGTTTCTTTTTTAAACAGAAATTTTATCCTTGACTAAGGTGCAAAACATGAAAAAGTGGCCCAATACTTCTTGTAATGCACGTTTATGAAAAGAAAGTTTTCATAATGTTTACTTTAATGCTCGTAACAATATATATGACATGTTACAATGAATTCAAACCAGTTCCTTTGGGTTTTTGTTTGTACTCAGTGTATGCATTAAATGCACCATGTACTGCAATTAAAAGAAACGATAGGAATAGAGAGAAGAAAGTAAAAAAAGGAAAAAGAGGAAGCTTTGAGATTCGATTATGAGTTGATTAAATTTAGTCAGCGAATGAGTGAGTGAGAAAAAGTCAAGCTTGTTAATCTCCTACCGGAGCTAACAATTTTATCGATGGTTGACAGGAAAGTTTTAAATTTACAGTCCGACCAATAATACCGCTGTTATCGGATACATAGAAGGCTGGGTTTTTATTAACGAATCCATAGTTGACAAACAATATCTTATTGTCAGTGTCCAGGTGATATAAATCTATTTCCAAAAATGTTTTATTTCCAAAAACGTGAACTCAAGGAACATTGTAGAAATCACAGTAGGTTTCCACGACTGGATCAAGTCAAATGGACGAGAATACTTTATGTTTTCAAGAGGCTTTGTTTCTTACGTTGCCCATTGTTAAACTCCATGGTGAAGAAAAAAGAATAATTAATTTGTCAGAATCTTTGTTAAATTATACTTTGCCTTTTCCGTCTAAAAGAAAACTCAAGGAGGACGATGGCAAAAGAAAAAGACTAACTGTGCAATATTTCCGGAGAAGAAGGGAAGATGACCGGAGAAGACAGTCTTTCGTCTAAGGCTGGAACATTTGGTTTGAAATTTAAAACAATATGGTTTCTTATTTTCTTGTTTACGGCGTGTTGTTCACAAACAAGCCACAATGTCACTGTGTTAATATTGTTTAACACACATTGCAATCAATACTTTTACGAGGAGGCTGAAAAAGTGTTGCGCCAAGACATTTTTTCACGACCGTCTGAACTAATACACTTGAAGCTGTTAAAAGCTAACGTCTCTCAGATTATAAACCGCAGCAAATCCGGCGGAGTCCTTGAGGCACTTTCATTTATAGAAAGGAACTTTGACAAGATTGACGGGACAGTATTTGTGGACGCCACGAAGGAAGATTTAGTTTTCTCCTCAGTGCTAGAAGATCTCAACGTCTTAACGGTTGGATTATTTCAAGACGAAAAGCTCCTTCAGACTCAGGTAAAAACGATGCCTGTCTTAAAAAGAACATAAAACATAACTATATTTCCCGCTTTTTTGGTAATGACTGGCACAGAAACCTAAATATTATTAGTGTCCTGAAACATCTACGCTAATCGCAAGGGTTTCTTCAACAGAAATGAATAATTATTTGGTGATTTTCATAAATATTTAATGATTTATCATTCCTTTTAGCCTTACTGAAAAGACAAACTATACAAGTTCTGTAATTGTATTTGTATCGCCTTTCAATAGTCATCTCTTTCCACTGGTGTACATAGATGCTAAGAAATGACGACAATTTGTAGGAATGCTTTTAACAAAAACCGTTCATGTTGTGAGAGGAAGCTTTTAAACTTCAGAAATTTCGCACCAAGTATTTGTTCATCAATAGACCTATTCGGCTAACTCAATGTTGTACCCAATTCAAACCCTTTGGGAATAAAACGTTTTGTTTCAGGAATTTCCATATCATTTAAATGTGAATGCCACATTATAATGCAAATGCAATACACAAAGAATCTTATCCCCGGGAGATTTGAATTGGGTACAACATTGAGTTAGCCGAATAGGTCTATAGCTTTGGCTTGTATGTTTTTTTTTTCCAATGCAGGTCACGTGATGATACTCAAGAGAACTCAGTGTTTCACATCAAATTCCATCTTATTCCCTTGCGTATGTACGCATAGAGAAAGACAAAGACTAAGACCCTGTTTACATGGAGTGGGGGACCCCGGTTTAGTGGGGTAGGTTTCTTTTGTTTTGTGTCCCCCAGAGCGTGAAAACAGAAGAAACCAACCCCACTAGACCGGGGTCCCCCACTCCATGTAAACAGGCCCTAAGGATCAAATGCCCCTGGAACTTCATAAAGAAAACAAAACATAACAGCTAAAGAAAAAGTCGCCTGTATTAATCTTGTTACTGGATGAAATTCAATCAAAATTGCAAAACATTAAAACCAATTCGAACAGAAACTATTTGCAAAAAACGAAGTTGCAATGCAATAATTAGAGTAACACGTAAACTGAATTTTTCTATTATTATCTTCAGGAAAGCATGGCCGTATTTTCAAGAACAGCATCTCCCTCAGTGTATCACTATGTTACGTCAGCTTGGAGAATTATCAATAAACATCGATGGCACACAATTTGCTTAATAGTGTCAGCGAGCTTCGAAGGAATGATTTTTGCAGAGCAGATGAAAAAATTTGCTCTAAAAGAAAAATGGAACATCCGGAAAATAATCTGGTTAATGGAAGACACAATTATAAATGAAACAATGGAAGAAATCAACAATGCAATTACGAACAATAATACTGAAGCTATTGTCATGCATAGTAGGTCAGGCAACGAGGAAAGTTTATTCAAGTTAATTCAAGAGTTAGGTATTGACAAGTATAAGACTGTTTGGATTATAACTGACATTACCACCCAATTTGTCAATGAATTAAGCAATCTCCCACAAGGACTATTAAAAATCAGTCTTAGAAGGCCAACACGTTGTCATGACTACGGTATCTATGACGACGCTCTTCGCGACATAATGTTGCTGTTTCAGTTGTCTTTTGAAGAAAGTTTGAGGGAAATTTTCAGGAACTCAAGTGTAATAAGTTGCAAAAAAGAAATCAACTCCCAGGAACTACGGCTACTTGCCAAGAGGTGAATACATCTTTGACATCTTTGCACATCCACAAAGAGTTAACTCCACTTTGAAAGAGTTTTACCATGAGGACATGAAAATTGCTTTTCTTAAACCTGTTTCATGCTGAATTCAGTATATTTGACGATCTGATATCGAGAGAGGTCAAACTACAGTTGCTCCTTCTCTATCCTTCGCATTCTTACAGGGTATTACTAGCAAATCCTCTTTCTTACATTCAAATCCTTGCACAGTTTTTTAATGTACACCCCCTGTACATCATCTGTTTTTCTTTTGATTTCTTCCCTTCAACCTCGCTCTGGTTTTAAATGTTGAAAGATTCACTGAACGCGCAACTAACCCTTTTTCTCAGTCGTTTTTAGTTTCAACAGTTCGGCACCCATCGATCATCTGCCGTCTTTAAAGAAGGCGCCTGAGCACATATTCGGGGAATGCTGCACAGTTTGTTCATTCCCTAACTGTGGATTTCTTTATTGCACTAATTTTATATTCCTTCCTACAGGAAGATGGCACAGACTTCTGTTTCAGAAAAAAGCATGCTATTCAATACCAAACAAGCCAACAATAGGAATTACACCTTCATGATTTGGAATCTGAACGAAGATCTGCTTGGTGAGAAAAACTGGTTTCCTGTCGGAATGGGAGCATCAGTTGGCGTTGCTATGGAAACCTACAAATCTCCCGACGGAAAATCTATCACACCAGTTTTTCAACATCCAAGACCTGTTGTTCGTGTTGTTGTGAATGAATACCCGCCATTTGTTTACAAGGTGAATGTTGCTAGAGAGGAGGGTTGCGTAGGTCGCCTTTTGCCTTGTCATGGGGTTGAAAAGATGTTTTGCTGCTGTGGAGCGTCGCTGGATTTTCTTACGTTTCTCATGAAAGATTTAAACTTTGAAGCCTACGTTTATTTCAACCCAGATGGCAGATTTGGGGTAATTGATAACGTTACTGGTCATTGGAATGGAATCGTTGGTGAATTGATACGGCACAAAGCACAGCTTTCCCTGGAAATGGGGCTCACCGAAAGAAGATCGCGTGTGATCAGTTTTGCGCATCCAACTCTGCTGTTGGAGCTAGGAATCTTAATTAATAGAACGGAAATACGCAAAGGTATGCATTATTCTTGATGCTTAATGGCTATTTTAAGGTTGAGATGGGTCTGGGTCGGTGTTGTATCGTATTGTCCCATGGGACACTTTGAGGACGGTATAGCTTCTAATAGCTTCTCACTAGCAGCCATTTCGAGTTTGCGCAATGGACGGGGTTCCATTCCCCTTCAAACAAAGGTGACATATATTCACACTTGCGCGCTTTTTTCTACGGCGCACGATTTTCGTGCGTTTAATGACTTCCTTTTCATTCAAAAAACATTTTGACAAATTATCACAGTCAATATGTATCTTAAACTTGTATCAGTTGATATTTAAGTCTCCTTTTTACTTTTACTAATTAAAAATATAATGCTGGTTTGTCGAGTTCCATTGGATTACATGCTGAATATTTTTTTTCTAGATTTATTGAAAGATTCTTGGCTTGATCCTTTTAGTAAGAGTTTGTGGATGACACTGTTGGGAACATACTTTGGGTTAATCATCGTAATTTGGTGGCTGGACAGAAAGAGTCCACAGGGACATCATCGCCAACTTCAAGAAAGTAAAGACCTGTATGGATTCACCTTGCTAGGTACGTACCCCTTTACCTCTTTGGCAGTTTTTGTTCAGAGTTAGTGGAGTGATAAACACGCGAAAAGCGAGAAACGAGGGTGGTGGCCTCTCACGTCTCGCGCCCTCCATGTTCCTTTGCTCGATGGACTAGGAGAGACTGGGAGAGACTAATCCTGATCTACAATTGAGCCTTCCCAGTTGTATCACTCGTAACGTCGGACTTTGGAAGTCTGACGTTCAGCCCAGTCAAGACAGTCAAACTCTTTATTTTAACGCTAGCGTTCATGTTTTCGTCTGACGTTAGGTTTATGTTGACGCTGCAATATAATACCTGCAACTGCACGTACGCTTGTTTTCCCTGCGGGACGACGCGAATGTCACTTGTAATGAGGACGGTAAACAAACGACGACGACTTTCTTTTTTCTCTTTTTAACCTTGGATACTGTCCTTGAGATCCTACTCCAAGACGAAGTCAGTGAATTAGAATAATCGCGATGAAGTTTGAAAGAACGCAATTTCACCCGTGAATTTTCATGATACCTTAAAGTCAATAATAATTACTGTATTTACTCGAATAAGCACCGCCACCGAATAAGCACTCGGACACTGATATAATCAAAATCAAAAGACGTTAATTCTGTTGGTTTAACACGGAAAATAATTACACTATAGTCAATACCATTTTTTATCGCGCGCAACCCGCCCTCAAATACGCGCCGCACGTGGGCGTGAAAAATTCATAAAGTGCCACACTTTTTCGGGTAAATACGGTTCAGTTTTTGTTCGGGTCATAGGCTCCTGATAACGGCCAAGATTATTTACCTGGATCATTGTTTAGTCAAAGTTCTCTTGAAGGCAGCCAAATAATGTCAGAAAATTGTAGATAAACCATGAAAAAAAAAAAACCCATGAAATTCACTAAGCGAAAAAGGCAACCTGCGTTTCATTCTTTGTTACATTTTTGTACTCCTTCTAAAAATAGTTGTGATTTTGACTTTGCTCAGTTTCCAACAACTGAATGTCAGTTTTAGGCCCTGTCCAAACGTAGCCGGATATTTCTGAAAAAAGGAGATTTTTTCTCCGTTTTCAAAAAATACGTGTCCACCGTAGCGTATTGGAATCGTTTTGGCCTGTCCACATGAAAACGCTAAAACGATGGAAATATGATAGCATCCCTTACAGAGCATGCGTAATGCTAATTGTCTTGTTTTGTAGTTGTATATGATGCATGACATCATGACCTTTTCAAAAAGCTGGCGGTTTCAAAAATCTCCACTCTGGGGAAAGTTTTTGAAAACCTGCGTTTTTGATACCCGAAAAAGACGTTTTCGTGTGGACGAAAGGCTAAAAAGAGGAAAAATCTCCGTTTTCAAAAATACCTGGTGGACGGGGACAAAAAGTGACAACTGAGATTTTTTTTAGATTCCGTCAGCTATGTTGGTGGTGTAGCATTTGGGAAAGACATCGGACCAGAGAGGACTCCTCTTAGCACCAGCTCTAGAACTGTAGCTTATGTTTTCTCCTGTCTAGCTCTTATCATCATTAACACTTACTGTGCCAACTTGACGGCATTTTTGCTGGTTGAAACTGATCACTTTCCAATAACTGGAGTTAACGATCCAAAGGTGGGTAGTATTGGGTAGTACTAGAAACTCTTAAGGGGTTGAAACGTGCAAATAGCCTTCAATGCTCGTGAATATTCATTTTTCTAAGCACCATATTTGGAAACCCTCGCTAGGGCCTCAAAAAACCATTAGGTTTAACAACAACACCCATTTTTGTACATTTCTTTGCCGTCAGCGCACGATTCCGACGTGAAAGTGCCTATTTTCACGTTTTGTGGAGGACGTGAAAAAAGACTTTCTTTTTTTTTTCCTGAACTTAGATAAAGTCAGTCAAGAATTCTACTCCACAAAAATTTGCTAAGATTTGACGAACTATACCAAGGTGGAAAAATAAGCGCGATAAGGTTTGAATTAGCGCGAAATCACTTTTTAAGAGACGTTTTCGTAGCCGTCGCCGTCGCTGTCGTTGAACGGGTGCGAGAACGTGGAGTAAAATTACATCAAGTCGTTCACGAAGTTTGATTGGTCAGTTATCATATGAGAGTTACACCTTCAAACCCCTAATGAGCTTCTGGTAGTACTTTGTACATCACGTCACGTTCCAAAACAATGAAACTGGCGGCCGAAACCTCTTTCCTAGAGTTATGTCCCACTGATCTTTGCGGAACGAGAGAAAAGCAGTAGAGAACACTGGGAACGAGGTTTTGAAACAGCCACGTTGGTTTTCAAACCGTAGTTAGTAGAGAAGACTGAAGGCGGCGGCAAACATCAGAGATACAAAACAACGATGCTGCACTGCCAAAACAAATTCCGAGGGACCTCGACCTTTTTCTTGAGATAACACTTCCATTTGCTCAAAATAAGGAGACATACTTTTACCATGTAACTTTTAACACCAAGAAAATAACCACAACTTTTTTAGGTATTGATCGAGCATTTGCAGTAAAGATCCACTAAAAAGTAGTGCTGGAAACCATTCTAAGCTACCATAATTTCTGCTTTCACTTTTTAGCTTATATCAGACCCTCCACTGTTTATGGCAGCTGTTATTGGAGGGTCAAGCGAGGAAGATTATTTCAAGAACCACGTTAAATCGTCATTCCGAAAGATGTATGAGGTTAATCTTCGAAGACACAGAGTGTCAAGCATGGAAGAGGGAGTCGAACTTATGCGGCAAGGGTAAGACAACTTCGTACAATGTTCAAATTTTGATTATTTGATGCTTATCTAAACTTTAATTGGCTCCTTTCGCTCAACTACGATATCCTAACTTCTTTTAAACCCTCATTGTTTTCAGGGAGATCCACGGATTAATTGGAGATTATTTATCGCTCAGTAAAATCGCAAACACAGACAAAAACTGTAGTTTCAAATTAATGAAAGAGGCAGCGCCCAATTCCGGATATGGCTTTGCTCTCCCCAAGAACTCTCCATGGCTGCATGAAGTCTCACAGTCAGTATTAAAACACGAAGAAAATGGAACGATAGCGTCAATAGCGGATCGATGGTTTCCTAAATCAGCCTGCAAAGGTTTAGATTACAGAAGACTGGAAACAACTGACTTTATAACTCTTTTCTGGACGGTCGCAGCAGCATGTGTATTTTCACTGATCGTTTTATTTGCGGAAATGATAACGTTTTTTGCGTTGGTCAAATTTGGTAGAAATCTTGGGCCATTGGGGAGGTTCTTGAAGCGATTTTTGCTGAACGCGAGGAGTGGGGAAGAAGATCAAACCCCAAAACAGCAAGGAGGGCCGACAGTAGACAAGGCATGTGACCTCACAACAAGAGAGACTGGTTTAGATAACAGCGCGTATAATGATATTTGTGAACTGGAAAGAAAAATCGCTTCTTTGCGATAAAAAACCGTCACGTTTACCACAAGTCTAGAGTAATTTTCGTTTACCTATTTATCTCCAGTAATTGCAAGGGCGTTTATTAAGATTTTAGGCTATCAGGGAAGCACCTCACAAACTTAACAGAAGAGACATTTTTGAATGTCGTTAGTTTTTATTTAAAGTGTGAAACCCATCAAAGAATGCAACATTTGATGAATATTAAATAAGTTAAACTCTTTTTTAAATACTATCGTAATTCCTCTGACCAGTTTCTGTACAAACCAGTTGTACTTTTCCTCTTAAATATATTATATTAAATTATATTTCATTTTGGTCCAGCTTAGGTAAGATCACCCTTGCCTGGTCTCTAGACCCCATTATTACACGCGGCCTATACGTTCCGGGCCACGTGGTCCGAGTGAGTTTGTCCGCCGTTCGTCTCGGTTACGTCACTAAAATACTTCGACAGAGAAGGCCTGGGAAGAAGTCGTAAGGGACAAGGCAAAGATAACCCTAGTCTCCAGGCTGAACACTCGAAAGCAAACAATTCAGAAACTCGTCAGGAAACAACCATACTTTTAACGTAGCTAAAAACAAGCAAATTTGTGTAGCTGATATTGCTAAGTTGCAGAAATTGGATGAAGTAATACTATTTCCGGATTCCCATTTGCGGGGAAAGTTTCTCTGCTAAGAAAATATTATAACAATAGCTACTAGTCACTTAAATAAAGAGAAGATGAAAAAGTAACAACAATAAAAATGCCATATTTAGGTTTTCAGCCCACTGTACCTAAACGACAAAGACTAAATAGAAACAACGACGGCGTAAAAAACGTTTGCGTAAAAAAAGCAAATGACACACTGTTTTTCTTTTCAAAGCTTTAGAACAGTAGATCCAACTGCAGTTTATTGACAGCCCTGAATACTCGCCTCCAGGCTCTTGTCCGAGTTTGAAATGGCGGTGCGTATTGTGGTAAATAGTAAATCAGCACGTCAGTTAAAGATTATCAAATAATGTCCTTGCTACACAAGGAATGAAACACAAATAGGCGCAAGATACTGAAGTAAGACCATTTTTCGTCATGGTTTCTCGACAGAATATTCCAAGGCTTGCCGTATCTCGGTTGCGTTGTAAATAGGTTTCCACGGACACTTTGAACGCGGAGAGGACCTGGCGACGACGTTACGAGTCTCCAGCCCGAAAACGAGCTACGCAACAGTTATGTCCTTTTTGGTAACTAAATTGCACTAGCCTAAAATAACTTTTGAATCACAGAGGTCGATCAGTACGTTTCTACATTATTGTGTTTTGTTGGAATTGCCTGCACTCGTCCCTAAGAAGCTTTTCCGGTAGAATCTGGGAAGCGCCCAAAGTCAAAGCGAAAAAGCCCTGGGGTAGAGGTTGAACATCCCCCCGCGCCCCCCAAAATAACAATATTCACTCAACTCAAACTCAAAGTTAAAGAATAAGGACTACGACAATTGTTTACGAACTGGACCATTTCATGGTGAGATTTGAATGTTTGTCATCCGTTTACGGAAATTTTAGACAAATGACAAATGAAAATACTTAAATAATTTTATCACTAAGTGTAAACAACAACGTAAACACGTGTATAAAATTCCTGTTCAAATGGTACTATACTATAAAACACCAAAATCTTGTACAAAAGGTTTTCAATGAAATGTGTTATTAAAAACTGCTTTCGCAAAAGAAATTTGACCAGGTTAACCCTGGGTTTAACACTATCTATACAGCCCCTTGTGCTCTCACGCGCGCGGGATTTTTTTCTCTCCCACCGTTTTAATTTTTCAGTACTAGCGCCAATCACCCGGGCTGTAATTTGAAATATAATGTGTGTTGTCACTCCTAACTACCCACTAACACTGTAAATATTCTAAAATAAGGCTGCTATCAAAATATATTTGTCTCACAATTCGCCACTTGAGCAACCAGATAGCCTGCGAGCAAGCTCTCCTATTTGGACGAGTGAAACGAGTCTCGCAAGAACGCGCGTTCTCGCGAGGCTCGCTTCGCTTGCCCAAATAGGAGAGCTCGCTCGCAGGCTAGCAACCAGAAGGGAACTGGACCCGAAATGCGCCTCGCAATTGTTTCTGGGATGGTTAGTGGGGACGCACCAATCATTTTTGCCCTTGTCCCTAGAGACAGTCCCAGAAGACTTTGCAAAAGTTAACTCGGCTCAGTATTGTTCTCGTGACGAATGGATCAACAAAGGCGGATTAGCGTATTTTCTTTTGGATTACTCTGTGTGTCTTTACACTTTGTATTTATCCAGTTCTGGATCTGAATGTGCAAGTACGAAAACGAGATCTGTTTGTTGGAGTATAAAGTGATAAGGTGGAGAGCAGATGACATATCGCTTAGATGAAGGGATTCCTAATTGCACCTTGTGACTGTCTCGGAATCTGTACAAACCCAGGCAGATCTTAGATGAGGTCCGCAATGCGTGCAAAAACATATCCCCATACTTGCCACCATCCTAAAAAAGACATTCCAAAAAAAAAAAGAATTTGTAATCTGAGAACAGTCCTTTGTTGGTTAGTCAGACGAGAGAGAGCTAACGAAACGAGAAGGAAACCGGAGAGAGAGGGGTGTGTTCTCTCGTCCGCTATCAGGTATAAACACGCTCCACCGCGTGCGCGTCAATCCTTGGGTAGCGCTAGTAGCGTATAAGTTTTTTTTTTTCATATTGCACATCTTTATCTTCCTCTATTTGTTTATCTGTTTATTCGCTCATCTACTTGGGCAAATGCGATAAAGTAACTGTAATAAAAGTTGACGAAAGCGCATAAACCAATAAATTAACAAACAAAACATAACATTAAAGTTTGTCAACTTTGGATTTGAGTTTCTATCTGAATGACGAATGGCGAACAAGTAGAAAAGGCTGCTCACCTTTACCGACGATAACCAAAAGGGGAACCCGACCCTTGCCTCAAAAACTCGATGAAGAAAATTTTCTCACATTTTGCCCTCTTTACCTACAGTTGTGTACTAGTTGGTACACTACTTAGAATCGTATTGGGTTTTGGACCAGCTGTATGCGATAATCCCCGCTACGGATTTTTAAAAAAGGAGCTTACCCCGTACTGAGAGAGAGGTCCATCAAACAAAGACATTTGTATAATTTTACAACGACTTCTTGTGTCTGCAGTCTGTTCCGCATCCAGTCCTCCTTTCAGTTCATCCCCTTCAGCAATGTGTTCTTCCAGGAACTGACTTACTCCACCAGTTACCAGATGACGAACTAATGTCAAAATGTCCGGGTTGAAGTACGTCTGTAATAATAAAGCAAAATAGTGACTTACAGAATTTTAATAGATCTAAGTCACCTACAAACCGTTACAAACTGTGAAAAATGTGTTTCCGCACCCACAGGCCTAGAATGACGTCGATCGCCCAAAATCTGGTGCAGTAATCAAATTTCAGCTGCACCAATTACAATTTTGTTACCTACGGTCAAACAGATGGGCTCGATTACCAGCCGCATTTCGGGAAATGAGCCCGCGCTCCTCCCCCGAGATCGAGCCTATCAAACTGGCGGAGCGACCCTAAGACCCCGGATTGCCGAACTGAGGCAGGCATACCGCATCCAACGCAGCCAGAAAGCAGTACATAAATGAACTAACCGCGCTCATAAGCGAATCCAACATGGAAACTGTAAAGGCTGTGCCACAGGCAAATGGCTGAGTCATGTACAAATCTTGATCTTCATCATCTTCGTCATCGACATCCAAATACTGCACATTTTGATCAAACGCTGCATGAGAGAAAGACAGGAGATGAGTCAGCAGCGTTAACATCTTATCTTTTGTTCGGGCTTAATTTGCAATTGCTTACTGAATTGCAGTTACAACTGTGACGGTCAAATCTCCCGGGCAGAGTTGTTCAAAGCTGAGTTAAGATAACCCAGGGTTAGTGCGAGATTTGAGTTCAGATTTGAAAGCTTAAAAAGCATTTCAGTTTTAATTCTTTTTGTCTGCAAGTTGATGATTGGAAGCTCTAAAAATTGCAGAGAAAATTATCCGAGAAAATGCTTTTGAACACAAGAAAAACAAACACGGGTTAAATTTAACCCCGGGTTAAGCGCTAACCGGCCTTCGAACAACTGGGCCCCGAGTTCATGTCATCTTCATTCATTTAACGAGTTGAGATGAACTCAATAAATTGACCTCCTCCTTAACTTCTTGCTAGCAGAATGTTAAAAGTTCAAGACCCTACGGGCAAGATGTTGAAAGTCGGGTTCATGATTCTACCGGAAAGAAGTGGAAATTTTCAAGCATTTCAACAATTTGTTACTCATCATATCAGTAATATCCAACGGTGGAAAGTCACAAAGGATAACTAACCAAACAAGTGATCCCACACTCAACCTAAACCAGTTTTCAGATCAGCAAGTAAACCTTTTGCTTAGCTACCTCTGGACCGTTGGCTGGCAAACAAAAGGTAATATACATACTGTCCTGCATTAGCTCGCAGCCGCGTTTCAATGCGTTTCACCTGATAATTTTTGATATTGTCGATCTGTACGAAAAATCACTCACCCACTTCTGTTATGATAGGAATATTGCAGCCATAGGCAGATCCTCTTCTCTCCACTTGTGGTGTCACACCAAAGTCAAGCCCGGCAAAAGCATTCCTTGTACTTTCACTCAACATTCCAACTGCATCATCAAATGACATCGCCTTGAGATTCAGCGAGGCCAAAACCGATTCCTTGTCAGCGAGCTTTGGATCATCAGCTTTACTAGCCGTTGAAGGTGACAGGAAAACTACCATGTCTGCTAGATTAGCATTAACAGCTCGTAGATCAGCCCGACAAAAGGGAGAACCCTGTGATGTACGAGAAAAAGACAGAGAAAACAAGTGATTGGTCAGATCGTTGGACTTGCAATAGGCTCTTTGCAGCTGGTCCCTCACGTGGCACAAAACCACCTTGCTGGAGAGCACGTGACGCACTGGGATCAGACAAACAAACAATGGAAATTACGCTCACCGGTCAGCTCGCCCCCAAGTCATTTCGCCCCGGTTACTTAGCCCTTTATTCTAGAACGAGGAATATACTATATTTGAAGCGTGCTTGTTTTGCTTTATGGCTTATAGAACGAGGAATATTTATTTATTTATCAACATAGTTTATTTAGTTACTTTACAATATTTAACAATTATTCCTTGAGTCCGAATGGGCTATCGACTCAGAAGCCATGAGGGCGAGAGGAATAATTGTTTTAGTCGTACAATCCAAACTAGTTGGTAAAAAATATCGAGACAAAACAACTTAAAGCAAAATTTTAATCCTTTTTTGCAGCCAAAAATCCGGCGCTTTTTGCTACTAGAGGGCTATAAAATATAGCCTAGCAGTATAGACCACTAGTTTGATTTTACTAATATCTTTTATGACTTCTGTAACCTTTCCTCTTCGCCCGCCTCCTCTAGCTTTTGATGTTTGCGGGCGGAGATGGCAAAATGATGTGTATGAAAATAAAGTATAGTGTATGTAGTGTGTGTATATTACATTTGAAGCGCGCTAAATGACTCGAAAATAGGGGGCTAAGTAACTGGGGCGAAATGACCGGTTACCGAACTGTTTGGGTTTCTTTAATTGTCTTGTCCTAAAGTGCGTCCCTCGTTCTCCGCATGGCGGTTTTGTGCCACATGAATGACTAGCTGCAAAGAGCCTATAGAGTTACCCCAGCTGGTGTCCTGTCCTCGGTCGCTAAGTGGATCAAAATTTCTCTGTAATCCCGAGTTTGGGTAGCCTCCCATTTTGACGTTCATGGGTCACGTGTCATTTCCCCAAGTTGGGGAGGATTGCGTGAGGAACCAAAAGAACGACTGCGTGGGTAGTCTGCTACAAAGCCGTTTTTAGTGTCGTCACGCAACGCTCCTGGGGAGGAACGTTGCGTGAAGACACTAAAAACGGCTGTGTAGCAGACTAGTACGTGAGAGGCTCGAGTTGGGGTTTTTATACATGTCACAGTTTGATTTGGACTATCTGTGAGAATTAGTGTCTGGAAACAAGCTGGAGCAGCTGAGTGAAGTTTTAAATATATGGGGTTATTTAAAACACTGACGATTACGTTGCAAGGAAAATAACGATAAACAACTCCCTGAAAATTGAAAATTGACGTTCAGAGAAATGTTCTGAACTCTTGTGTTGACTAAGGCTCGTTTAGTTTCCACGGTTGCAAAGCAAAGATTGTGCCACGCTTTTACGTTTCACGCATTTTGAGGTGTTTGCAGAAATTCAATTCAGGAACTCCTGAATATACTTACGGGAAGCACATATACGTCGTCAAAATTACACAGCTGATGCCACTGAAAACAGACGCAAAACACAAAATCTAAGCAAAATTACATTGTAAAAGTCAAGAGGCCATTAGTACTGAATGCATGTAAATTAAAACGTAAGGACTAAAAAAAATCGCAATCGAAATATACTAGCATTACCTCTCTCTCCATGTAGTCTTTATTTCCAAGAAAAACGATCTTTTTCAGTTCAGATTGTAGCAGGTTGCTGGCTCTTAATGGTATGACCTGCAATTAAATGTTGAGTAGGATAAACGTTAGTTTACGAATCCAATATGTACATAAACGTAATAACTAAACAACAACAGATTTTGGCAATATCTGTCAAGATGGATCTAAGCGGACAAATGTTAAACCTGAGAAACACTGGAAATACATAAAATGATAACAGTAAATGACCAAAGATTACATCATACTAACCAAAGGTCTTAATCCCAAAAGAGGCGAATCCTTGTCATTGAAGAGACATACAAGTATGTGATGAGAGAACACGATTTTCATCGCTTCTTCTCGGTTCTATTAAAGATACATAAAGCAATTTTCAGTAATTCACAAAGAAATTATAGTTTATTAATTACACGATCATTTATTGTAACTAGGCACAACAGAGTTTGTTTGCAAATGAAGCGTAGAAGAGAAAGCCCCTTTTCCTGTTCGGAAAATTCCAAAAGCAAAGTTGTGTTCAATTTCTTCAAACACATCTTTGATACCAGCTCAGGCTTTCGCGGCCGTTTCTCGGCGGTAAATAGAACAACCTCGTTCCCAAGGTTCCATACTACTCTTCTCTCGGACCAGGGCACGAGAAAGAGAGAACCTTGGTAACGAAGTTATAATTAGGGTTGACGTGCACAAATTGCCTTACTTATGATTGGTTAATGGTTGCCTTGAATACAACTGACCAATCATAACCAACGCTTATCCACCCAAACGATCCCAGAAATCACCGCGGTCAAAGCTTGTACCCATTCTCCCAGAGTTTCTGAAGTGAGGAATTTTGTCACTTGGTGCCATGATACACAAGAATGCGGCCCACGGAACAGTCTACTATCTTTATTACCGTAGTTTAAAAAAAAAGAAAAACAAATTGTTAGAAATAAACAGCATACCAGCAATCGATCTTCGAAGCGTGTCGGTTCACACCAGTAAAATGTTCCCGAAATGTCGAAGCATGGTTTCAATTCATTCCCTTGCGACTGCTGTTCTTTGAGTCTAAAGTGACCGAAACATTTTAAAATCAACATATTAGTTTTTCTTTATCTTAGGATATTCACCAGTGAATGATTTGCTGAAGAAACAGTTTCTTTTGTCGACTCCCTGAATATACTTACGCTTTTAGTTTATTCAGAACCTTGTAGGTACCAACTTTTGATTCCCCAGAGCTCTTTTGAAGCAAAGGGAACGTTGCTTTGGCACTCACTGTTTTGACTGAAAACAAACAAACATTATGATTGAAATCATAAATTAAAGATAAAATTGGTTTTACGATAACTAGCAAAATTAAGGAATGCACTGCATCAAGACTTTTTCAAGGATTCAAGACTCTGTAGGAACACTGTTTTCTATACTGCGGCCACCTCCCAGATGGAGACACAGTGCCCGCTGTCAGTCTGAACAGTGGTTGTCTTAAATAGAGTTAACTATGATGTAGCCATGCTTAGAGTAGCAAACAGTTTTTGAGCGAATCCATACAATCAGATGTAAACGGATTTTTACAAACCTATGATGGAGCTTGCATAGACCCTCTACGGTGTCTTACCAGGCCTCCCTCGCTCGGAGCACGTGACCCGAAACGCATAGCCCGTGCGCAATATTGAAGCCCTAGGGACTAGGCAGGAATGAAGCTATCTTGAAGCTTATTTGTGCGTTTATTACTTATGTCATTTTTGGAAATTACAGTGCTACCGGGAAAACCGTGAACACTTAAAATATTCCAAGAGAGTTCATTGTGTTGTGACCAATCACAGCAAAGATTAGGACATGCGAGCAAGCCACAAAACCACAAACTAATTAACGTTCTTGCTTGCGGTTTAGTTTTCTCACCCCTGATTGGCTTTTTTCTTGCAACACAATAGAGTACCGAAGTGTGACGTCATAGAAAATGAAATTTGTGAAATTATGGGATTTGTTAGGATATTCTGAAAGAACAACGTCCAAGACGCTTACTCGCCAAAAATTAGCAATTTGGGGCAGATTGTCTCTGAGATATTAGAGACCTTAAGATACCCCGATATCGGTGTACGGGTAAGGGTAGTGTACCCGTACACGTAAAATGTTCATGTGCGTGACTATTTCGATTAAGATACCCGAAGAACAAGCACGCAAAATTAACTTCGTACATGCATGTCGCTTAATGCATACAAAATCTCCCTCAAATTCTACACTTCATATCTTAACAACAAGCTGCAACAAATAATTGATTCATACATAAGCTTATTGAAATATCATGGAAAGATTTTAAGAAACTTGGCGGGACTTGCAGCTACTCGTAAATCTTCTACGGGTAAACTGGTGTCTACCCCGGAAAAACGGCTGGTTCTACAAGGTTCTACCGGGTAAGGTCGATGACGTCACCACAAAATGGAAAAAACATGGCGCTACCCGTTACCCGTATACCGATTTCGGGGTATCTTAAGGTCTCTAGTAGCCCAGTTATGCTCCGATGACTCCATACAAATCCTTCTAAATTTTACCTGGTTCCTAATCTTATGAACCAAGCCAAATTTAGAAGGATTTGTATGGAATCGTCACAGCATAACTGGGCTAATATCTCAGAGACAATTTGCCCCGAATTGCTAATTTTTTGGCGAGTAGGCGTCTTGGACGCTGTTCTTTCAGAATATCTTAACAAATCCCATAATTTCACAAATTTCATTTTTATGGCGTCATCACTTCGGTACTCTATAACATTCCGGAAATGATTCTGGTGTTCATGGTTTTCCCGGTTTGACTGAAACCAGTAATGAAGCTAAAAGAATTTTGAAAAATGAGAACCAGAGTGACCAGAAGAACTACGATCAAGCCACAGCTTACACGTGTCCATTTGCACAGTGTTTTCACTAACAGATGCATTTTCTGAGTTCCAAACTGCTTCCACCAAGAGAACCTCGTTTGTTCTATTTTTACGTCCAGGGACACCAAGAAAGTGGTCTACAAAAATCAAATAGAGCAGAAGACTTGCTCAATTGTTGACTGCTCTCTTAATGTGCACTTAATGATTGTGGATGACATGGTGTGAAATTTGATTTCCAGATGAGACAGCAGCTAGTCGGCTTCATGGACGAAAATGCAACTGTTGGTGAATGGAATGGACTGGGCTGGACTGCAGGCAGGAGTGAAAATGGACTGACAAGCTTGGCACCGATGCAAGTGATGAACAGATCAAGAAGTAACCTGAAACGCAACTTGACTTGTCTAATTTAAGAACCTGGTCTTCTAATTTAAAGCAGTAGTTAGGTTTGTATCACCCCGTTGTATGAGACGTTGTGTACCAAATGGGCACAAGGTAATGAAAACTGAGACAAAGGGCAAATTCCCCATGACAAAACGAAACACAAAACATACAAACTTAAGTGATCTATTGATCCTTTTTCCTTAAGCGATTCCCATTCCAGATGCCAGCAATAAACCATCTTAAATTTGCTATAATTCTTATCAAACACCTACACGGTACTGTATATGCTACCACTCAGGATTTTTCAGACTCACTTTACATTACAGTTAAGAAATGGTAAACGTGCAGCGTGCAACCATGAAGTTATGGATGCACGCGGGAGGTTGCTACGCACGAAAGAAGCGTAAGAGTCGCACGAGGCGATAGCCGAGTGCGACTCTAGCTTCTTGAGTACTTAGCAAACCTCCCAAGTGCATCCATAACTCCATGGTTGCACAGCTGCAGCGTTAACCATTTCTTTTATAACATAATCAAAAGAGAAAAACATTGTTTTCCATTTGCCTTCAGTTGAGTCATCGGTCGGAGTTCATGTATGTCTGCCCGCGCGTAAACAAATTATGTTCTACATAGTGTTCTATGTTTTTCAAAAACTTGCCTTTGAGTTTTTCTTTCGCTGAATCAGCCGTTCTCCGTCTTCAGGTAAATTGCAAAACGTTTTTTGTTGTTATTGTGAATGGCATCTGTCTACTTGCTCTTAATATTAGGGTAAAAACTTTGAGGGAAAACTATATCTGCAACTATAAACACCAACTAAAAAGACTAAAAAATAAGCTAAAACTAAATAAATGAAATAATTATCAAGCTTATTTATGTGACAATTTTTGAAATAAACGTAAAGTAGAAATGAGAAAATTTGACAGTAATTCCTTTAGAATAACAGGTAACACTATTTTTAAAAAGAAATTAACTAGCTTTGTATCGAAATCTGTCTGGGGAAATCCAGCTATGAAAGTCAACTGAAATTCGCCGACACACAGCCGGCGCTAAAGCTGTTGTTTTTCGACTATTCCCTGCACGACTGTTATGAATGAACACTGAGGAACAAAATAATACACACAGAAGTTATTTTTTGAAAAATTTATTTGAAAACCCAAATGTTTCTGTACTCAAATGAAATTCGCTTATTCCAGCGTTATGTGCCCGTTTAAACTCAACTAAAATTGTTAATCGATGCGATGAAAACTTCACAACAAAGCTGTCTCGAATTTGAGCGTGTTTCCTAAAATATTTGCTTGAATTTAGCATCAGTTTGACCAAAAAGTCAATAACACAATGGTAATTGATAAATTGACATTTCAAACAGACTTTCTCCTCTATAAAAAAAACACACAAAATGTACCTTAAATCTTCGCTCGCTCAATTTTCCTCCAGCCGATTCTAGCCGCGAGGAAAACAGTGATTAATTCATCCAGGGCAAATTTGTCGCTTGATCTTTTGTCTTTTTTCCTTCAAAACGACAGCTTAGTATTTTCTTCACCTTCCACTTTTCATCTGTGCATTTCATCGGTGTATTTTACCGTCAGGAGAGGAGATTTGTTGAATTTGCCTAAATTTTACCGCGCTAGCTCAGTTTCTTAGCGTGCACCCACGGGCAAATGGTAGTGGCTAACTGACCAATCAGAGCGCGCGATTTACTTTTGTTATGTTATAATAAATACTTAGAGAAATAAGAAATATTGGATAAGATATTTAAAAGCCATCAATAGATAAATCTCCTAACTTACAAAATGTGGATTCAAGCGAAATTCTTTCAGTCTCGTAAACTTAAATTAAACTAAACTAAAACTTCTTGAATGTACAAGCTGTTAGCCACAGTAATAGCACGTGGTAAGGAATTTTTTAAGGGTAATAGCCCTGCATAAAAAACGTGCGTTGTCCAAATGCTGTTTGACAAACTGAGATATTTAAACTGTCCTTCTTTTAATTGGTACTAATACGGCAGTATAGGTAGTAATAAGGTAGTTAATATTTGGTTGTAATATGGTAGCTGTAAATAATAATAATAATATTTTATTATTTATAAGGCGCAAAATAGCATTTAAATATATGATCTAATGCGCACAAATAAAAAAAAACTACTTATCCCCATTGCAGTGATGTGCATGGTTGATGTGAAAGGCCGTGAGAAAAGCATAAACAAACCATTGCTTAAGGAAGTCATTTCAGCACACATACATGCAGTGTTATTTGAAACTTGCCTCCACAGCTAGGTGCAGTTCCGTTTCTGAATCTGTCTTTTGGTGAAAAACGCAAATGCATGGAATTCATGGATGAATCGTAATTGTAGCCGAGGTGAGGAGCCAAGTTCATCAGATCATCTGAGTGCAGTGCTTAAGAGAAGGAAGAGTCACAGTCAAGATGAAAACATTTGCAAAGCCGGCAAAGAAGTGTATCTCTACTAGCCTCCTGGGTCTGAAATCCTGTGGTTGGATTGATCCATTGAAACCTCTTCAGCGTTCATACAAAAAATTGCAACCATTTGTTAAAGACTTTTCAAGGACCTCATTCGATTTTCAAGGACAACCTACCAGGAATGTAAGTCAGATTTGTACATAAAATAATGCCCATTCCCAGTCCAAGCTTACAGACTTTAAGCCTTGAACTATTTGCTACACCAGTTTCTCTACATTTTTCAGTTCACTTGTCTTAAATTGATAGTTAATTCTCGCATAAAACACAAAACGCGTTATGCAAATCACCAATAACTTCTCTGGGCTATGATTTATATTCTGTCTTGGACAAACCAAAAAGCATTTAAAAAACAAACAACTTTTCAATGTTAGACAAAATTTAAGGACTAAAACATAGCTGAAAACAGAAATTTAAGGACTTTTCAAGGACTCACCCTAAAATTCAAGGACTTTTCAAGACTGTGGGAACCCTGCTCTTAGGCAGCGGTCAATTTTGCGTGGTGCTACAAAATTTGTTTCAATCTGTAGATCTCAAAAATCCAGCTAGATATTTTTGGGATCTTTTCGCAGGTTCTTAATGACTTTCACCGCTCGATTTTTGACTAACAGAGTTCACAAATGATGCCTTCAACGAAAGTAACGATTCTCGGATATTCCGCAAAGCTGCAGCAACAGTAAGAAAACAAAAGCGCGCCGCCATAACTCAAAACATTGATAGGTTGCCCACAAAAGTGTTTTTATACATGTGTAAATGGCAAGAAAAAGGGAGCAAGAACAGAATGCCTTTCAATTAGGTGAGCATAGTGCAGGAAGATGATACAATCCAGTGCAAGATCTTCGGCGAGTGTTCATTACGGTGGCTCTGATTCACAATTAAATAATGATGGCATACAAATTAGACGCCTTAACATAAATTAAGTTTGTGCCTCAGAAGAGAATGAAGAGCAGTCTAGTTCACTCTTAGCAGTGGTTTTTAATTATAATTACCAAGAAGCATTTATGCACCATACTATATATATGCAGAGGACAAGACAAGCTAACAGGAGTAAATTTAACATGAAATAACTATAACTCTTAAAATATTGCAACATTAATTTTAAAGCCCCCATTCGCTCTTTATACACATAAGTTTAAACAGCTTTAACTTAATTTGCACTTATTTAGTTTAAAGTTCGAGATTTAGGATAAACGTTCAGTTTACATATTGACTTTATGGTAAAGAAAAGCGTAACGTCAGATTGAAAAACCATTTACACAATTTCATTTCTGTAAAACCAACACTCTACATTTTTAACGTGATTTACCAAAATATAGGAGAGAGAAGCAGTAAAAAATAGGATACAAAGATGACATCTTGAGCAGTCAATGAGAATTAGTGTTACAATGGAGAAATGTTACGTCAGAGTGTTATGTTAAGAGTGTTCTAAAGGCACTGAAGAATTATACCATAACAGAGGAATAATGTTTGTTGATTATCAATAATACATGATATGTTGATTATCGTTCATGACAGGAAAAAGCCAATTAGAAGTGAAGTGTCATAGACCACCAAAAGCCAAGTTTGATGGGGGTAAATTAAACACCTTCTTTAATTGGCCAAGAGACAGGATGGTAATAATAATAGAATGAAGAAAATGATACAGAGTTTAACAAGATATTTATACTAACTATTGGCAGCTGCAGTGATCAGAACCGCTTTGCCTATTCCTCGGAAAGTTAGACTTCCTTGGAAAGAGAAGACAGTATAAAAAAGATTAGAAAGATTTATTGCCCTTAAATGTATAGTAACGACTTCATTACAGAACATCAATATCAACGATGCATTAGTGAATCAAGGTTAAAATCTGTGGAGTGTAAAACGAGCCCTGCAGTGTAAAAGGTGTAATTGCAGACCAGCTGTTTGAACCTTTTAAGCCTCAAGAGTAACTAACATCAATTTTCACCCAGCATTAGTAATTGATTTTCAAGAGAAAAGGTTATGAGAAAAGATGCTTTGATCTTTTATCAAACTCTTCCAAAGCAATTCTTAAAGGAAATAAATGGAGATCAATGTGTAGAATGTGTATGAGGATATTGAACAGATGAACAGCCAGGCATGGTGGGTGGGTGGGATCAACCAAATGCAATGTGTTGTGTTCTTTGAGCACTTGAGCAGAAAAACTAAACCAAGACCTTATCAGAGTCCCATAAAACAAACTGAAATATATATCCAATTTTCTGTTTAATGTAACCACTGGAAATTGAAAGCCAAAGGCAAGATCTTTCATCCTGGGAAAGCTTCTATTGTTCACTGAGTAACAAACTCTCAAGTTTCATTTAGGGACTGATGTCATTCTGGTAGGAGTGACGCTAATTTCTTATTGGCACAGCAACCTCAATCAAAGTCAAATTTAGCAATGTCTGTTACTTAAGAAAAATAAATTTCCCAAACTTGCAGAACTAATTTTCGTTCTAGTTATTGAACACTTGAAAAACAAAACAAAAACAAAACAAAAAGAAAAAAAAGGAAAATATAAAAGCTATTGTAGATCAATACCTTTGAAGCATTCACACTCTTTGACAAGTTCTGGTGATACAACATTTTCGTGACAAGTCACACAATAGTGGTATGCCCTTACAGAAATAAAAAGCATTTCAAAGAATAATAATTAAAGCTGTCTTTTTCATAATCATAAAAGTAACTGAAAGAACTGTTGGAATTTGTTGCATAGGATTAAATTTAGTAAGCCATTCATTCGCTATTGCTAGGCTTAAGAACGAAAAGTACTTTAAAATTCAACGTAATTGAAGAGACATTTAATGTGATGATGTCATCATCTGTTTTATCCTCTTCTTCTATGTGCAGCTAACTGCTGTAACACCAAAATCTTGTCTGCCAAACACTATTGTTGGAAAATCTTGACCTAAAATAACAGTCAGCTTTGGGTGATGGTTTTAAAATTTTCATTGCTTTTAACCCCCTATAAGCAACTGCTTGATGCATGGTCTGATCCCTAAGTAGTGCACCACTCAAATTGGATCCAATAAATTTTCCTCAAATAATAAGAAGACCACGCCCTGGAAGGGGTCCCTTTGGGTTGTGCAAGTGACCAAAATATTAATATGACCTCAACAGATAAACATAGATTTATTGTTCCATTGGCAAAAAAAAAAAAAGATAAATTTCCATTAATAATAAAAGGACCCACTAATTTCTTGTACCTTTTGACTTCAGGAGAAGATCCTGCAATAAAGTAGCCCCTTGTTCTTTGTTCAATGATCTTGTCTCGAGGATTGATGGTAAATCTTAACAACAAAATACAAAATCAAGCAATTTATACAAACCATTGTTGTTCAGTTGGTTATATTAAGTTGAGTATGGAGATTAAAACTTCAGCCGGCCATATTTGAAATAGGTTATAGCTGACATTTGGTATCATCTGATCTTGTACTTCATAGTCTTCCCTAGCTAGATTAGTATTTAGTCTTACTCTGATGCACCTGCCAAAGCTAAGATTGTCTCATTTGCTCATTGAGGGGAAAATAGAAAATGCATTTAAAAACATAAAAATGGAGAATCCCACATAATCCAGTTATTCACAAGAGAGTCAACATTATCATCTACTCATAAAGGCTCAGCAGAAACAACTCTCCAATGTTCATAAAAACTAACCATTTAACGAACTTGTTTGATTACCATTTACATGGGAAAAGTGGTTGGTCCACGGTTTGGGCAAATGGTATGTAAAATTCAGGACTGGTAAATTTCTGGCCTGAAACTGGTATCAGAGATAGCTTTGAAGAAATGGAACAAAGATTTATTCACGAGTATCCTAGTGAAAAGCTCAGGGTAGCTTAACAGTTTGAGTCTCTGGCAAGAATAAAAGAAGACTCACTATTGATCTGCTATTAAATACAATTTGCACTACATTACAGTGTGATTGTTAATACACTCACATAGTGGGAATAATTATGTTATAATAATACTTACATTTTCTCCCCATCAGGTTTGATTGTTTCTATGGCGATCAGAAGAAGACCGAGCTTTTCAAAACAAATCCTGTCACCAAGGAAATAATATTCATTTGAATTTAATATGTAATCCAATAGTGCTGTGCCGACAAGTCACCTAATAATTAATGCTCCCAGTACTTGAATGTTCTTTTGGCTAGTTAAAAAGCAGTGTGCAACTACTTCAATTCAACCTCGTTCCCAGGGGTTGACTTCAATTGCCTGGGGTAATTTGGTATCTCTGCTCTTTTTTCAATATGTAATTTAATATCACCTTTGTTTAAAGTTTTGCCCTGCCTTAAGATTAGCATAATAGCTATTTGTGGGGCATACAGTATATTGTAAAACTATTGTTTTGTTAGTAAATACACTGTTGTTATATGCCATGTGCTTTCTAACTGGGTTCATTCTAACTCACTAATAATTCATCAGCCCTTTAACTTATCAAATGGTCAATAATACATCATGTGCAGTGACTTCAAATTGATAAACCTCCTCCTTATTAGTATGCAATATTTTAAGACATAACCCTAACCCTAACCCTAATAAAGTTAATATTAATACACTGTCGCGTAATTTTAAACAGAGACAAGGTATGAAGTGTTGCACTTAAACATGAAGTTAAGCGAGGTTCAACATTTGCTTTTACGCGTGATCTTTTATATATTGCCTCTCTTTTATTTGCGATGAAAATTTTACGTGCAGCATATGCACGTAAAAATTTACGTGACAGTGGAAATCCACCCTTAGACACAACAAATTAAACTGGCCTGACAGTCATCTCAAACAAGCGTTCATTTTTTGAAACTAATAACAGTTATTATTCTTAAGTTTTAGCTTATTTAAATCCAAGATAAAATTTTTAATTGTTCTGCCATAATTAGAAATATTGTTGGTCTTACTCAGCAACTTGTTGGAAGTTCATTCCCTTAAATGAATTGGACAGAGTTTCAGTGTACATTTCAAGGTTTGCACCCTCTATGTAAAATGTCTTCCAGATATCGGCTGAATCTTTTCTGGTTTCCTAAAATGGATGTAAAGTATATTATATTAATGCAAAAGTACACACAACCCTGTCAGAGATGCATCAAAGTACTGTATGCACATGCTTTCAAGCCTACAAACATTTTGATCAAATTCGGTGAGGCTTTTACAGAAAATGAATAGACCAAGGTGAGATAAAACTCCAAAAACAAGATAATGTGTTAAAAGCAGACAGAAATCATAATAAGGTTTTATAGAAAAAATAACCAAAAGTCCTCTTAGGGATGTAAGTATTTTCAAAATCACTGACATTTTATTTTGAAGAGCACTGTATTATGTATATATATTTGCAGAAGGTACATATACTGGTATTTTCTTAAAAATTCTTAGTTTATAGTGTCCTTACTTAGTGCTATTCATGTTTGACACTTTGATTAAGTTATCTATCTAAAGCTGTCTATTATAATATGACCTGTATGGCCCCATGTGCAATTTCATAGGAAAAACAGATGAAAAAGTCCTTTTGAGTGGAGTACATGTCATTAGCGATAGGGCTGGAAAAACGCAGCCCTGCTAGAAAAGCGAACTGATCAATGCCGGTTCGCTCCGTCAGAAAAAAAAACAATGTTCAGTCATATGATGAAATTCTTATTGACTGAGTTAGGTAGGATTGGACGGGAAAATATTTGGCTCTCGATCCGTACATCCGTGATTTTGAGTCAAATATTTTCCTGTTCGGCTCTCCCACTCAGTCAATAAGTACATATTTTGTTTCCGGTTCTGTGAAATGATACTGCAGCTGCAGCAAAGAATATGTCTTGCCGTAATGAAGGATAGAATAATAATAAAAGCTTTATCAGGAAAACAAAACTTTTGTGAAGTACCTTCTTTATAGTGACAATGACATTGGATGAAACAGTACAACTACTGTGTGTTGTGCTTGATATAATATTTATTACTTGAAAATTTACAATCTAAGGAACTAGATACCAGAATGTGGACTGTGACTAAATATGCTCGGCTAAAAAGAAGTTTGTTTGAATTAATCTGTGTTGACAAGGTGATGGGAGTGATCGCTAAATTTTTTCTCAAGGAAATATACTAACAGAATTTCCGTTTTGCACAATTGATGCCTGATTTGGAGTCTGACCATTGGATGCTTGATTACCCATGACACCTGTTGGCTATAACATACGACCATTGGCCTTGTTGGTTTTGGTATTAACCTTGTTGGTTTTAAATCGAATAAAATGTAAATGTGTTTAACATCGGGAAGAATTTTTCCTTATTTTTACCCTTTTTGAACTTGAAAAAAATTGTTCTGACACAAAAGCTTTTGTAACTTTTCAAGGACCCGCAAAATTTCAAAAATAGGCGAATCTAAAAGTTATTTCTTTCGGATGGACCCATTTTTTGACCAGTTTTTCTGTGATTTAAAGTTATCTTTTTGTTGAAGTGGAGGTTCCCTTTAAGGGACTTTTCAAGGACTTTCAAGGACCCATTTCCCATTTTTCAAGGACTCCATTTAGTGCAAAAACGAGCCTTGAGTCTTTTTCTTTTTTAGTTCTTCCACATGACCAATTTTATCCTGAAGGTCTTTCTATATTAGCTCCTTTTAGGCACTTGAGAATCTGGGTTGCATATACTTATAGCACCGAAATTCAATGACTTTCCAGCACCAGCTTAAATTTTCAAGCACTTTTCAGACTAAAATTCAAGGACTTTCAAGGTGTGTGTGACCCCTGTGCAACCAAAGGAAAGCAAAACTGAAGTTTATGAAGGAACGTTTTTCATTTGCATGTTTTAATCAACAGTGTTCAAAGAATTTACCAGTAACAGCAATTAGCTGACTCACACACACCCTGCAAGTATAGTGCTAATACAGAGAAACTGAAAAAATCTCAGTCAGTTTTTTCACTTTAACAAGATCCCAATTTTAATTATATAAAATAAATTGTTATAAATTTAAATTTATCATGTTCCTAATCAGTAAAATTTATTAAAAACAGTAATAACTTTATAACACTTACTGTATCACTTGATCTCATGGAAAAAATGTTTGCCAACAGTGTAGAGAATCCTGGAGACAGACAACTTTGTGCCATAAATCCCAATTTGAGCTGCAAAAGGAAAGGAGCCTTAATAATACTGTTGTTCCTTTTTTATGAGAACAAGAACAGAATATTCAGCATTACTGATTAATCAAACACATTGATTTACAAAATATTTTACCTTCCAGTATTTCATTAACTAATAGTAATAATAATAATAATAATAATAATAATAATTTTTTAGTGATAATGATTTCAAAATACTTTATTAAAATAATGATAATGATAATAAAAATAATTCTTCAGCAAACCATTCAGAACTTGTGTTCAATGAAGATTATAATGATAAATTATTGTTATTATTATTAATATTATTATTAGACCTAAGTTTTGACTTTTATAAGTCCATTGTACCTCACTGACGCAGACCACATCATCTCCACATTTTGGATTCCATGATGGGATGTTCAACAGGTAAGACTGCACACAAAAAGAGAGAAGATATTATTAAGGACAAATCATTACTTTACTGTGTTCAACAAAACATGCACCACGTCTCTGCAACACAATCATGTGATATATACCAATTATTTATTAACATGGGCCCAGTTGTTCAAAGGCCGGTTAGTGCTTAACCTGGGGTTAAATTAAAGCATGGTTTCTTTTTCTTGTGTTCAAAAGCATTTTCTCAAAAAAATTTTCACTATTATTTTTAGAGCTTCCAATCATCAACTTGTGGACCAAAAGAATTAAAACTGAATTGCTTTTTAAGCTTTCAAAAGTATTCATCCAATTCACACTAACCCTATACTAGTATCTCATCTAATTTTCTTTTTACTAGAAAAATGATCTGATGTATGTTTCTCTTTTAAACTGTGGCCCAAAAATGCTGACATGTTTCCAGTTTTTACTTCCCTCTGCCAAAATGAGGGAATTTGCTTTTAGTTTTCATGGTTTAGGAGCATCCATAACTATTAATGATAATAATATCAATAACAAAAATGATGGCAGCTTCCACCTCACCTTGTTCATGTACTGAAGTAGTTGAATAATAATTCTTATTTCTGGATAATAATTTTTTATGGCTACAACCCTAAGGAAAAAAAAATAGGCTTACTAGAAGAGGTGTTTTGTGTGGAAGTACTTTATACATTAAAATGAGTAATTTTAACAGAACTTTACGCATCTAAGCTGGTTATTTTAATTTCCAGTGCATGAGACGGGCTGCCTAATTCTTCTTCTTCTTTTTTAAATGCTTTTTACATTCTTAAGAATTTGTTTCTTCCACTGCATAAATACCAGACCTGACTAGAGACTGCAGTATATGCCACGGTCACTTAACACAATCACTGCTGGTTTTGAGACTGGGATTAATACTATTATTGTTTAGACCTTTAAGTGAGAAACTCAGGGACTCACGATAATGAGATGGAGCTGATAAAGTCCGAGTTCCACTTTCAACAACTTCTTACTAGAGGGTTAACAGTTAAGCTGCATTAAAAGAGGTTTTTGGAAGTCTTTCCAGGGCTCCTGGTTGCCCCTGATGACTTACTTTGAGTTGTAGGGCACCCTGGATTTCACATGTGCAGAGAAAACAATAGTTTTAAGCTTGCCTGATTTCTCATTACTTTTATACATTACATTTGCTTTGAACAGGCAAAAATGGATTGCTAAATATACATTTAATTTTGTACAGCACAGGTGCAGAGCACTGCGGGTGCACTTTCCTTAGACTGCACAGCCTTGTCTTTAATTAGCTAATCCTGATTATGATGCAACAACTATTTTAATACCTCATGATATTCTCTGCATCCTCTTCACCTGGATCAATACACTCTTTATTGCACAAGACAATACAGCAATCCGCCAAGTTCATCTAAAAATTGAATTAAACACAAACGTTAATATTGCATCGTATGCTGTGTGGCTGTTGCAAAATGCATAATGCTGAATAGCCCACACCTGTTTTCATACATGCTAGCTACAGCTTGCCCGAATGGCACGCTGTGAAACTGACTTTCTTTACACCCTGACAACACGAAGGCACACCAAGAAGAAGAGGATGGCAAATCATTTGTGTGAGACAAACATGGCATGGCTGTTACTTATGAGCATGCATGTTTTGTTATGATCCTCAGTTTTTCTCACTGTGTTCAGGTCTTTTACAGAAAGACGTGTTTAAAGGGAGGCAATGGTTTGGCAGAAACGTTTTTCAGACATAAACATTATTGTCACGCTTGTCACACAGGGTTTGCTGTCTTCTTTCCTATGCCTTCTTGTGGTGTAAGTTTGTTTAAACAATCCAAGAACCCACCTTTACTCGTTGGCAGTCATCTCCATTTAAAACAGTTCCCTTGAAAAATGATACACTAACAAAATGTTTTTTGAACAATGATTCAAGCTCTGCATCTGGCAAAAAACTAAAAGGAAACACAAAAAATGTGACTTGCATACCAGGTGCATTTCTGATGAAAAATGACATCAGACTGAAGCTGAACTTGAGTTTTCTATACATAAGACAGTTAACCAGGCACTTAAGGACTAGTGGTCCAACAGGTCTCACTGTTTTAGAAATTTTTGCCAGTGTTCTAGCTAATCCATTTTTTCATCCAGATGGGCTGATAATTTCCACTGCAGTCAAATATGCAAGACTTTTTATTTTTCATTTTATTTTGGGAAATAAAATTTCAGATGCGTATAGAGTGAGTTTGTGTTTGCACAAAATAGTAAGTGTAACTGTCTTTTCCTCAAAACAATGAGCTTTTATCTTTAACAAATCTTTGCACCCTAGCAAAATTATGTTGGTAAATCGCACTGACAATTTTAAAGTTTCAGTCTTCAAATGGGCTGTCATATAACAGTCTCTGGTGGCGAATTAATTTCTTTTTTTGGCCACAACAGAAACTTTTTTAAAACAATTACTTATTTTAACTGCTAGGCACCAAGCATATGATGTGACCTGGTTACGTCCTAGATTCTGTAGGGTATGACCTTAAGATTGCACTTAATACAATGTCACAGTAATACTCACTTTCCCATGATGACTGCATTGATTGAAGTATTAGATCGATCTTTATGGAGAAAGTCTCTTAGAAAAGTTTCCACACTCTGCTTTGTTATATATCCACAAAGAATAATATGCCTGGAATAAATTACACAAAGAGGAGATTGCTGATATCATTTACTGTACAATTCTGTTTTACGAGCTAAGCCTTTCACAAGTATACCTGCCCATCTAGATGCAAACAAAAATGACTCTCCTTGAAATCCCCTATCCCAGGCCAAACACCAGATATAAATTATCCCTTCTGTCATTGGATACTTAGCCTGCGCGCAGACGAAATTAAACTCTGGTTAACTCCGTCTGCGAAACAGCGCCGAAATCCTTGTTCTGGACTTCCAGCTGTGTACCCAGATTTGAGTACGCGCCACGATTGGCCAGTTAAAAAAGGCCTTTGTTTTGTTTGTCGTGATTGCCAATCAGGTTGAAGGGGAATTCGAAATGCACTTCCGGTAATTCGTTGAGTTCGTTGGGGGTCCAGAACAAGGATCTCTGCGCTGCTTCGCAGACGGTACTAATCAGAGTTTAGTTATCGTCTGCGCGCAGGCTATTGGATACTGGGTATTCTTTTAATGTAATAATTAATACTAAATATTTTTTTGTGCAAAGTGCTTATTAATACTATACCTCACAGCATTTTTAAATAATTATTTTTCAGTTTTAAAGCCATCCTGTTTATAAATAATCCACCCAAAACCTTACTAGGCTTATTGTTGAGTCAGTAAGAGTATGGGTGCACACCAACAAAAGCTACATGGTTCAGAGTACAGTAGAATCCCGCTCGAGCAACCCGCTAAATCAAACTAAATGTCCTTTCCCTGGATGAAAATTTCACTGAAATTTGCCTCAATAACTTGAATTCTGGCTCTTGCAACTCCGCGCGGATGACATCCCATTAGCTGTTCTTGTTGTATAATTGGTAAAAACACTATAGTGCAGCGAACAGATCACGTTTTATAGTAAAAATGCATAATCATGTTACCATTTCTGATGAAATAAATAATTTGAATTTGCACTGCAGTAGATACTATGCACACTGATGTGGTAAAAAACAAAATCAGTAACTATTAATTATAAACATGGCAAATTGAATATTCAATTGACCCCAATAACTCAAGCCCAACTAACTAGAACTATTTTTCGCTTCCCTTCAGAGAGTTTGAGGTACCGGGGTTCTACTGTATATCGAGCAAGAAAAGCTACATCCAAGATTGTCACCATTTCAGGGAGAAGACAGCAGAAAGAGGCAAAATGTCCTGTCTAAGGCAGCCCCCCTGCAGATCAGGTGCATTGATCTCTATGAGCATTTACAGTGTACATTAATGGTTCTCACTTTCTTCCATCTGGTAGTTTGTATGATCCATGATAAATTGTGTGACTTGATAAATATTCCAAAATTGCTGGTATATATGTAGCAAACATGCCCTAAACAAAAAATTTGACATAAGTCATGCAAAATAAAATTTGTTAATATTAACTTTTTATTTTAGTTCTGTCAAATTTAAATTGAAGAATTTAACAGTACTGAAATAAAGAAGTTAAGAGTCCTATGGTTCATCAAATGCTGATTAAGTCCATGATATTATATTTGACTATCACAAATTAAGAGAAAAAACTTTCAGTCATACATTAAGCTTTGAACAGTTACGATTAAAATTGTAAGCAAACTACCTAACTGCCAAAGAGCTTTGAAGTCATCCCATCCACAAAACTCAAAAACATTTCAAAGGAAAACTGGTACTATGCAATATTAAGTGCAGTGAATTAAGCATCCACTAGCGAAAAAGGTTTCAAAGAGGAAGCAAGTCATGTCAACAACTGGAAATAGAGGCATGCTAAAATCACCAATGAACAGATTAGAATACAAAACAACATACCAGGCCAATTGAGATAAAAAGCATCATAAATGTTCTACCAAAATATGTTACAGCAGATATATCACCAAAACCAACTGTGGACATGGTAACCTGGTGATTAAATTACATAATGAAATTATGAATCATAATTATGAATTATACTAGTTTTGGATAAATCAATAACCTATTCTCAGAGGATATTTGCAGCATATGTTGAGTCAGGTAATTTTTTGGTTGACCACTATATGGCCAAAAAGAAGCAAAAATGCCCAAACACTTTGACCACTATCCCACAACTAACTAACCGCCGCCCGGTTAGCTCAGTTGGGAGAGCGCTGGTCTGCTGAGCGGGAGGTCGCGAGTTCGAATCCTGGCCGGACCAACACTCAGGGTCTTAAAAATAACTGACGAGAAAGTGCTGTCTTTGTAATGACATCTGCAAATGATTAGACTTTCAAGTCTTCTCGGATAAGGACGATAAACCGGAGGTCCCGTCTCACAAACCTTGTTCACATATAACTCTGTGGGACGTTAAAGAACCCACACACTATTCGAAAAGAGTAGGGGACGTAGTTCCCGGTGTTGTGGTCTATCTTCAATCACTTACATCATCACTCATCATGGGTTGGGAGGGTTCAGGGGGCTCATAAATGGACTGATAGCGGCTGCCACCGGCGCCCTTAGTATGCTGATGTCCAAGCCCACTGCAGAAAGCTATGTAAAGAGGACATGTATGTTTGTCCTCTCAATCGCGACATTTACTTACTTTACTTACTTTACTTGAATTGTTTGTTTTGAATTATGTACCACATTACAGCTTCTCAAATTCAGGCATGTGGAAAGGACAAAATAGCCCAGTATGTTTTACTGCCCTCTTCACTGCCTTTTTCTTTTGCTGGACATTTCCTACATTTCATTTCAGTGGGGAAGGCTTTTTTTGCCAACCCTGAGGATGGTGAAATTATTTTGAAGGAAGTACAGGTGTGGGTACCGGTGAAACAAGTTTTCATTGGAATTTTCTGATCATAATTATTACTCCGGCTTGTTTGACAGAGAAATGACAAAATTGAACCACAACAGATACGCTTGCGGGAACAACAGTATACAGTAACATATGTCATAACTATTACAGGGTTATGCTCTATCATCAACCAGTAGCTTCTGGTCACTAACTTTCAACACTTTGGGTGGCAAGAAAAACCTTACTCTGTATTTTACTAAACTTAAGTAATTAATAGCTGGGTCTCTTGAATTTCACAGGATCATTGGAAACTACAGTTATTTTTGTTTTTAATACTTGCAATGTAAATGTTTTGTACACGCCGATGAATTCATATAAGACAACATTATTTTGACATTACAACTCTTAAAACCTACCACAAGGGTGTAAAGACAATCAAAATAATTCAGACTTTGTCCATTGGAGAAACTCAAAGGATCTCCACTGTTCTCCACCTAAAATGGAGCAAAAGTAACAATATTATAAGGGCACATTAATTTTACAACAGACTTCTATTACTACTTTTATTACTAAGTTTCATCAAGAAGTTGAGTGTTTTATGAATAAGTAGACATCAGTTAATTAACTGATTTTTATTATCAGGTATTATGTTGTTTGCCTCAAGATGCGGTCACTTGCTTTGAACTTATTTGCAGGCTCTTGTTCTTGTGAATGAGCATTAGAGACAACCGTACCACATCCAACTGCCATTATATTAGGAAACAAAAAGCAAAGCAAAGTAAAGTAAAACTTTATTGAATCTTCCAATCAGGGTTTTTCAGACCCAATGTACATAAGCATATAAATAATTCATAAAGTCAGTTTGAAATATTGAAAAAAAAAACTAAACGTTAAAATATTATAATAATAGATAAAAAGATCAATAGGTAGCTCTCCTAGCTGACAAGAAATGATTCAAAAAGGAATTCTCTAAATTTCTTTTTGAAAGTATGCAGGCTGTCCACAGCAGTGATCGCACGTGGCAGTAAGTTGTAGAGTTAAATTGCTCTATATAGAAAAGTTCTTTGACCGGCAGGCGATTGATAAGCTGGAATATTAAGATAGTCCTTACACTTGCCCACTGGGAAAGTTAGGAACAAAAATCACTAGCCCGATAGCAAAATCCACTAGCCCCGGGCTATCAGACACGACTTTCTTTGCACGCTGTATTAGATAGTACAATTTATTTATACTGACTAACCAGATGAAGTATTCCACCAGATGTGAATAGAAGAGCACATAATCTTCCTACCATAACTGTCAGTGAGACGGTACCACTAGAAAAAATTTTTTTTCACATCAGACTATTAAACTAATTATTATTTTAAGTACAATAATATGCACATTGAAAGGATCATAGAATAATGAAGTGCCAGCTTAACCAAGATTTCTAGCTGAAAAATCAGTCAGTCATCCAGGACAATGTGCAACTGAAATATGCCCACGACTGACATAATTCCACCTAAAATTTAAGTAATTTGTGAAGCACAATATTGGTACTAGCTGTGGCAAAATCACCTAATCTTAGCTCACAAACCTGGAGTGTATAATGCCCATATATTGAAGAATGTCTGCAAGACTTGTGAATTGCAGTGCACGAAGAAATCTTAGCCCTGTAAAAAAAGAACAGGAAAACTTCTCTTGCAGTATTGATTGATGAGTACTGTGCTTGCCAAAACCCCTAGCTCCATCAACTCCCATCTTGTGGTTTTGTTTCCATTTGCCATAAAGTACAGTACAAGCAATAAGTTTAACATTACACATATTTTATTTATTGTAGTAGATTAAACTACAGAACACTAATCAGATGGTAAAGGAAGACTAACCTTGAAATTAATGTTTCATTCAGCTGCCAAATGATTTATTCAATTTTTGTCAATATTTTTGTTCTAGATGTACAAATCAATTTCTTACAGGCTACCCCAACCCTAGTCTACATGTATTCTAGTCCCGTTCACCTGGAATAAATTTTTGTTTTTAAAATTATAGTCAATAGTTCCTTAGAGTATTTTAGTTTAGTTTTAAACACCATTCCTAGGAAGACCATGTAAAATGATACGATTTCGTGTGTAAATAAAGATTGATGATGATGATGATGTTTCCCCTTGGACATAGAGACAGCAAATTCCTTAGAACTGTAGGTTATAAATGGTTTATGTAGAGTATGACAAACAGATATTTCTCTTACCCAGCCAGTTTTGTTGAAAAGCAATGGAAAGAAAAACATCTGGAATGGTAAGGAAGTCAACCAAGGACAACATTTCAACCCATAACATCAGCTTATCATTTGCTGCCAAAAACTAAAATTAAAAAAATAAAGAAGATTTAAATTACACAGTGTAGATTACAGTGTACTACTATTTAAGGTACTTCATAAAAGTTATTTGTAAATTTCTCTTTCATGTCAAATATTTACCCAATTTGGCAGAAGAATTTAGCAATCAATTTAAAGGTATTTGTCATGAGGCTTTTCCGACAGCATTCCTTACATGATCATAAATGATCATAATTTTTTATCATTTGCACTTGGATTTTCCTGGAAACAAGGCAAATTTGTTCCAGTAATCTCTGCTTTCTTTGATAATTACATTGTAATCCAAGGTGTAAGCATGGAGACACTTTTATAATAGGAAAAACCTTGAGAACACCTTGGTTACGACCACATGGAGAAAAATGTTTGGCAAGTAAAATATTGCAGTGAAAGTCACTGATATAATTATTTGCCAACCTGTGTGGGGTGATCATGTGCTAATTAAGCCAAACATAGTGTTTTTATTAGTCAGAGTTTATGGTATTTTCTAAGTTAAATGGAGATAAACGTTTGCTTTGATTATTATTTATGCTCTGTTTCTTCCTAATTTGCCTCTTTCACCCAGGCCCTGGTTGTTCAAACATTGGATAGCCCAACCCACCGGATAAATTACTATCCAGCAGATAACGCAATTGTTTCCCGTAATAGTTATCCGGTGGATAGCGCAATTATCCGACTTCGAACAACCGGGGCCTGGCTGTCAAGGAATGAAACCAGCTGCCCTCAGATATATCGAGTGCAACTCCAATATTGATTGCAGTGGTTAAGTTTTCTACACTATTTACACTATACAGCATTCTGGTGGCCAATATTTCATGTGTCTCATTGCAAATGTTTTATTTACGGTAGCCAAAAGGGAATTTTGAAAAAGGTTGAGTTTGGGACACTAAAACATATATGATGCTTACTCGGAGGAAGAAATAAAACAAGAAAAAGAGGTTGAAAGCAATGTCAAAAAGCCATAATCTTTGATTTGCCATGTCCAAACAATGTTCAACAGGACTGAAAAGAAAGAAGATCACATGAATAAAAAAATTAGCATTTGACATCAAAGACATAATTAATTTGCAAGAAAAAAAAGAAACAATTTGGCAAAAGTTACAAACGTTAGAAAACTGATTCTTTTAAGAGAGGAACAAAGCCACACTTCTACATCAGTATAACCTGAGTATACTTACAAACTTGATTCCACTATATACAAAATGACATACGATATGCTTAAAAGGAAATGCAGCACAACCTATCAACAAACAAAAAAAGGATGAGTTAAAAAATTTCTTAACTAATTAATTTTAAGACTAAAAATTACCAAAAAATACTTCCAAGAGGATTGAAAGGTTAAAAAACTGTCAGTACAAGTTTATTGTTATTATCCACTGGTTGCTGGTGCATGGTTTGAACCCTTTATTAGAGCCAGTTAAAAAGCTAACACTCATAACTAAATCCAAATTTCTTTAAGAGTATAAAAATAGATGCAACATGTGTCTGGTAGCATATTATCTAAACTAGAGGCTACAAATTAAAGTACATATTGAAAGTAGATGCTGGGCAGTGAAACAACATCTGAGAAATGATCAATGAATTAGAGTCAATTAATAGTTGTTAGGATAAATGACTACAAGGGGGTCCTACAATCACAAGTTCTTTGTGATTTTGGTCTTTATTAGCCAGTTTACAGTCATATGAAAATAATTTAAATGATTTGAAATTAAGTTATGATGACACCACTAGACATAAATTTCTTGCTAAAAATCAGCATGACTAGCATAAATCCAGACTAGCTGTAGCGCCTAAATAGCAATAGGATGTCCAAGGAACTACAAGAGCCTAAACATTATTGTGCTGCTTGCCTGAGGGCTTGCAGCAACAACACATACACCATGATACACTGCAATCCAGTTATCATACCTTATACCTGTATCATTAGAATTACAGTTTGCTTCTGTAGAAGACGTTAAACTACTACTATGGGGTTGTACGGAAATCTTTAATACCACGCTTTGCATGCATATAAGGATCAAAAAAGAGGAGGGGAATCGTCATTTTAAGCTCTTTTGAAAATAATAGCACGTCCCCTGTCCCCCTGTGTCCTTACTTACTTACTTTATTACTTAATAGAAGGTCTATGTCCTGTCATCATACAACTTTTTTCATCCACGGGAAACGTTATAACCATAACATTAGCCATGGTTTTCAAGGGCTAGTGTTGAAGCAAACCGCGGTATAAACCATAAACATACTTGCATGCGTATACTTGTTCATCTTAATCTGAATGCGACCATTGCATGAAACTGCCTGATGAGTCCAAGTGAGAAAGTGTTTCATACGGTTGTGAGTGATCCTAACTAAAGAGGAACTATCATTTAAATCAACACAGTAAACAAGATGACAAAGGCCACCAGGGAAACGTCGATCCATCAGCTGATACATGTTCCAAAAACAAGAAAAACGAAGAAGAAGACAAAATTTGAGGTCACGGGCTACTTGGCGCGCCAGGTCACGCAGGCGCACAGGAAAATAAACCAATCAAAACGACGGAACAAAGCCGGAACAATGGATCACACGAGTAAAGCAAGGTGCGCGGAAAATTCAAAATGGCGCCAGATAAGGCAAGCTCGTTCTCGTATTCCAAGCACATTACGAAATCTTTCAAACGTTTAGATGTAACAGAGTCCAAGTAGGGAACAAAGCCTCTAACCAATGGTGTCTCGAAGTTAGGGATGTCGTGTACAGAGAATTCTCCAATGGATACCGAGAGACTCTGAAGTTTGGTCATTTTAATATATTGTAAAGAAACTGAGTGAATCAAGGCACAGTGTATAACAATCCTAAATGGAAGTTGATTCGACCAGTTTCAAAATCCTGATCACCAGTCTTCTGAGGATGACCTTGCATTCGGGGTTAGGACATTAAGATTCAGTTTCTTTGTGCTCTGGTGATTGCATGGAAGGACCACACTGTACACAATCAAACTGGTGTTTGTACAGTGTAACCTCTTAGCGGTAAGAATAAAATTTAAAAACGCGCATTTAATGCAAGCTATACCCACAAATTAAAAATGGGGACGAGTGTATTAAAAAATGTTTTGACCAGCATCCCACTATATAGTTTTATGAATGCTTCATTTTATAGAAACAAATGGACTGTGGACAGGCAACATTGTTAATTTATCTCTTGTTTCTGTGTTCTGAGATGTACTAAAAAGTCTATTAATCCTCACGCATTCTACCCTACTTTAATCTATTATAAATTTCTTTTTTAGAAGGAGTTACCCCTTTTATTATTTATTAATCTATTTCGTTTTTATATTATTTTTCCTTTTTTATTTAACCCTGTGAATAAACGTCATTGTTGTTGCTGTTGATAAATCTGAATAATAAGAACATTGACCCACTGTTATCCCCAGAAATATTCTTCTTATCACTATCTTGAACATAGTTTCTGGCTTTGAAAGAAAGATAATTTTGTATATTGTGTGTCATTGCATTATTTTCTAAGTCTAAAACATTCCGACCTAGTGAGTGGTATGTAACCAGTTGTGAATCTGTTTTATTAAAAAATGCCCTACAAGGGTCTTGATAATATTAATTTTGACAAGTGCATCAAATCAGCGTGCAAAGAAAATCGTGTCCAATAGCCTGGGGCTAGTGGATTTTGCTATCAGGCTAGTGATTTTTGTTCTTAACTTGCCCGACAGGCAAGTGCTGTTTTTTGGGGAAATTCAAGTTACAGAAGGATTGTAATCAATCCTGCTAATCAAAAAGGGTTTTGGGCTAGTTGAAATGACTTGAGGGCTAGGACATGCTAGCTACAGTTCGCTCGAATGGCAAGCTGTAAAACTGACTTTCTTTGCATCCTGATCAAATCTACTGTACTTCTACAGCTATGATTAACCCTGCTATAAGTAAATGTTCAATTTTTTAAATTAATTTTTTAGTACAGTGAAACCAGGAATGACGTTCTTTGCCTTCAACATTATAGTAGAAGGTACAGAACAAGACCCAAAAATAACACAATCCTATCATAACAAATTTTTTTCTAGCCCTAGGCAGCACTTTGTTATATCAGGGTTATCTAATCTGCACTGCATCCAAACATGACCAGAATAGCTGACCTTCCATTTTTTTCCCTCTCCATTATAGCAACTAAAAATAAAGTAATTCACTTTTGGTTTATTCAACATAGCAATTAATAATGAAAATTTTGTTTTTAACCCGCTTCTAAGTCTGTAAAACTTGTGGGAAAACATTGAACACCTGTGGTGGATGGATGTTTTCACGCAATATCACTTACATTTCTATGGCAACAAAAGGAAGAGGAGTCTTATTCAATTTGTTCGCTGGTTGCCTTGGAAACTTTTTGGAACATTTGTAAAGGGTGAATGAAAAATGTAGATCACATTTGTTCTATTATTAATGTATACCAAAGTTATGCAACAGTAATAATATTAGTTTGCATTGCATTTATGATCTTCACAAATGAATCAGAAGATAGTAATCATTATTGATCAACAAATATTAAGGAATATCCATCACGTAAAAGGGAGAAATTCATACTAACAAAATGCTAAAAAAAAAATAAATTTCCCCTCCAAATTACCAGGGGGTATATGTGGAACAGACAAACGTCGATATATTCCTTGAGATCGATTTGATATCGGGTTACTTGTAATTATTAAATTCATCAGACACCACTCCGATACGACAGAGTTTAGGTCTTGTTGAAGGAAAAAAAAAAACTTGTCCAGTCGAGTGTGTCTTCAGGTTCATAGGTTATCTCGGAAACACGTTTGTTTATATCCTGTAATTGTGTAGCATGTGAGATTGTTGAAACACGCGCGAACTCGGTTATTTCAGTATCTTAAAACTGCCTTAGTTATTGTCACGCGATTTATAACAGAAGCACAAAAAGATTTATGGCAAAGCTAATTTACATTTCAGACATTTTCCGACATAAAAGGTGCATCACTTAAATTAGAAAAACGGAAACAGACGCGCACGACTTATTTACAATCTGACCATGTTTATTTTCCATTGAACGTTGAATGCTACGCCCCATTGCAAATTGTCAGTGGCTGTTGAAGATGTAGAACACGAGTTCCTGGAGGAACAACTCCTACACACAAAATGGCAGCTGTAATGATTGACAACGTTGCACCACTAATAATTATGATGCAGAGGAACGAAAGATACCTTGACGGGTGTATGTATCAACTGACTGAAGTGTTTGAACTCGGTGCAAACTTCACCCTCAGTTGTCAATTTCAACGCGAACAAAAGAAAAAACGCGCACACCGTTAGGCACATTTATAGCGTTTTAGTTTTACCAGCACAGACCCATTCTCGAAAGTATAAACTATAGTTCTTCCGGTTAATTAACAAAACAGCTGAAAGCCTCCTCTCGATCATGCGTTATTTTCATTACAGTACTTACCAAACACCGGCCTTTAAAAGTCTGGGCAGTTATCAGAGTTGCCGCTTGTTCCTTAAGCCAAACATAAATTCCCCTTTTTGAAACATCTGGCCTTGACAATCCGTTAATTTTCTTGTTTCCATCCTTTTTAGTCGGGTTTAGTTTACTTCGTTTTGAGTCACAAATTCTTCTTATTATCCTTGAAATTAAGATGCTCACCAATCCGCCAAAAAATATTGCCGCACTGGTTGCAAGGAAGTAGTACCATATCCTGTCCTCAGCCGCAACCAAGCAGTTTTTGTCGCAATGGACAGACAATTCTGCCCGAGTACACGTTTTGTCAGTCATATTTATCGAGTTCGAAAATATTCCATTTAAATTTCTGTTTCGCCATCTGCACTACAGGCAAAAACTTTTGCTTTGCACTACTGACATCTATGTCTCGACGATTTAAAATTATTGAAGTAGGTAGTAAGAATATCACAAGATGATCAGCAATAAATCAACAGCCACTGTAGACTTTAATACCAACATTTTGCAAAATATATTTACAGAAACCTATTACGTTCTAGCTCTTTTGCATGAAATTAGGCTCGTCCAGTTTTACTGACATTGTAACTAGACAGAAGCTATAAAAAAGAAACGAGGGGCCTGGATTAAAGTACATATTCTCATTGCTTCACGGCAGATGGCTTCATTGATACGACACGCTGCTTGGCAACTCTCTTGTTTTCAGTTATTGTAAATTTGCACCCCCTTTTAAAAACGTAAACACGATTTGCACACAAATTTGAATTTTTCTCTGGAAATTCACAAACAGCTGCTTGCCTTACAGTAAAGCTAGCTTGTTTAAGTAAAACTATTTGTCAAATCATTCGCTGTTGTTCGCAAAAGCAAAACGTTTAACTGCTACTTAATTTTATAATCTTTTCCCCACAGTATTGCTTTATTCCTTTCCCCTCAACTCGCCTCTCCTGGTCTGAGGCCCAGATTCTTTCGAAAAGAAATAGTATTTTATTTTGACTGAAAACTATAAAATAATTTTAAAAACGCCATGGTCTGGATGAACAATACCCATATATTTTCCCTATTTAGACCCCTGGGGTTTTCCTTTTGCCTCTGGACGGGGGGATTAAACATTCATGCCCTTTTTTCTAAAAAAAAATATCATAATTTTTGTCTTTTACTACCGGAAAAGTTCACAATTTTTAATACTTATGGGTGTACAAGAATAACGATGTGATGGCCAGGGGTATTATGGGGGACTGAAGGGTACCTGGGACTTTTGGACAAAAGCAGAGTTAAAAGGGGACAGGGAAGGGAGAATTTGGGTGCACAAGGGAGAAAGGAAAGGAATTCTCCTCCCTCGCACCATAATTCCCTTCCCATTCCAACGCCTGCCATACAGGCTAAAGCAGAATAGGCCCCTGGAAAAAGTTCATCAAGGTAGTCAAACTTCAGCTAATGAACATCTCCTGCCAGCAGACACCTTGTCATGGTCTCAGCCACATATAGCCTGTGTACAGCCACCCCCTCCCCAGGCTACAGATACCTCCCTTGAGCAGACACATTTTCTGGTTTCACTGGATGGTCTCAACTTTTAATATTGACAGTTTGAAGGTAATGTATTTTTGAAACTGAAATGCTGGTATAAAAATGTAGTTGTCTGTGACATTTAAGTCAAATGGTGATATGTCTGTGAATCCACAGTATAGACAGTATTAGCAATATGTGTTGCAGAAGTAATCTAACGTTGGGTTAGAAATGTCTGCTAAACAGTCCCTTGATCCTTGTTCCAGCCCCCCTACAGACTTAATGAATTACAGGAAGTGAGTTTTCAATCTTTGACCTGATTGGCAAATCAACAGGGATCTTTTAACTGGCCAATCACAGCACATATACTCGAATACGATGCTGGCTCACAAATGGAATGTGCCAGAAGTTTAGTTTCATCCGTGTCAAAGGCAAGCAGGCTACATAAAAACACAATCTGCAACCAACTTCCTGGGCTCCTCTCCTAATTTTTAGCATATTAGAATTCCCTGTATTTTTTATTTGTTTATCACCAAAATAAAGATTATCTTTTAACCAATTTCCATGTTAAATGAATTAAATTCCTGCTTTTCACCATCACATTAGAAAAAATAATGAATTTTGTTCAGAAACTGGGAGCTGAAAGCCACACAAGGCAGGGGTGAGGGAACTTATGTATGGGACATATGGAAGCTTGCCTCACCGCATTCCATTGTTTTTTTTAAAATCTACATTGTTATTTTTGTTTCGGTCTTTATCCACCGTCATCGACCCACATCTATTTTTATCTATGAGTTGTTTTACTAATAATTATTATTTCAGACTCCAGTTACACAACATCCTCTCACTTAGGAGTATATATGATACATTTTCACATTCATACCACTGAATACTCAGGGTTAGCTTCAACCTTAACAGAAATGTCATCACTGAGTTTTGCTATAAACATATTTTAAAAAATCTTTGTCTTTGAGCCCATAAAAAAAACTTAAGCCAAAACTTAAACCTTAGTAACCCACTGTTCCCCTAGCCACTGTCCCTCATTCAATATTTACCTTATAATCTCGACAGATTTTTGAAGAAAAACTATTTGGAACTTTTGATTGCAATTGCAAGTGATTAACAAAAACCTTTAAAGACTAAAATAATCATTGTAAAGTGCAAATTTGAAATATCTGAGTGATGAATAATGGAATATTGACTACATAAAAGACAAACACAACAAGTAGTCAAAAGGCTTTTTTGGCGATACTTTGTGACTCCTAGAACATACTACAAGTTCCCGTAATATTGTGCATGTATACACCTCTGAAATCACTTAATAATTAATTTTTGTTTGTGCCCACCACAGAAGAGTTTTTGTTTGGCTCAGGTAACAGCTACTTAGACATGTGACTTTCCCTTCCTTTATAAAGGCCAATAAGCACGACTTGGAGTTGAAATTACAAAGGAACGTTCAGTATGGCAAATCAGTTGGAAAAGGTACAAGGTTACTTATTCCAATATTATTGCAGAGTTCTGTTCTGGCAGGTTTAAAGCATTTGACTATTTTCATTGTTTTTGTGAAAGGAAAGTCACATGATACAACAGGAAGCTCTGAATCATCACAAGCTCAACTAATATTTTTAAAAAAATCATTTTTGGGGTGCTACAGCTTGGTGATTTTGGTAGAACAAAACGAAGACAAAACTTCCAGTTTAAAAATCTCAAATAAAAGTCTTTATTTTAAAACAGCTCCAAACAGGAGGATTTTCACAAACTAACATAACAAAAAAAATATGTAATTATTTCACATATTTGCAAGGAACCACAAGTTAAAAAGTGAACAGTTGTGATCATTTTATTGCAACACACAATAGAACATTTTATGTATAAATACAGGGAAACGTAACATCTTATTACTGACAAACAGTTGTGACGTAACAGATCTAATAAATTGTTTGCAAAATGAGTGTGTAAGAAATAATGTCTTGAAGTCCCAATGAAACTGTACAGAGAATATAAAGTAAAATGAAACTTGTTAAAATTAGAACTTATGTTGGCTTATTGGCTCCTTTCTTGCCAATTAAACTCTTGTGAATATGTGGGATAACACCTGTTGAAAAAGGAAAAGAATTATGAAAAAAAGAATGACAGACAATTTTGCAGTAAGGTTGCTTGGGACCTTACTGCTGTCATCACCATTTACCCTATTACTGACACGCTTGCATTGTATCAAGTTCAGCATTGTACAGCAAGTGTTTAAAATCGAATATCTGCAAAGCATCTTTACAAATGCAGAACAAAGAAAACTAAAGCTTTTAGGACACTAACTACCGGAAAAAAGTATACAAGAAAGCTACTACGAAAATCTAAACAAGGCGAATTTTATGCTATTCAAGCGGGTAAACAATACCATTATCAAAGCAGCAGATGGAAAAGACTAGGCGCTTTTGCAGCGCGAAAACAAAGCAATTTTATGGCGGCATGGAGAAGTTTTCAAACGCTGGAAATCTGATCACAGAAAGACTGTCGCAAACAACTATGAATTACCACTCAATTCAATTAACATTATCAAGAAAGGAACACAAAGAAAGAATCAAGAAAAGAAGCAGCAAGATTTATCATTACAGACTGTGCCTTGTATAAAATTTTCACCGTGGAAGGATTTCAAAATTGAACTACACAATTAACGACCAATTCTTACCTCCACCAGCGATCGTTGCTTTGATTAGCGAGTCAAGTTCTTCGTCACCTCGAATTGCGAGTTGAAGATGGCGAGGTGTAATACGTTTCACCTTTAGATCTTTAGAAGCATTTCCAGCTAACTCGAGCACCTATGTAAGGAAAGACACACATGTAAGCCTAAAAAGATAAACAGAGAAACAAAATATCTAGCTTCTACAGCATAAGTGATTCAGTTTCAAAAAATGAAATACTATTGCAGACAAGATGGGCTTAATTGTAAGAAAAGGATCGAGAAAGTTCATAAAATTTAGCAACAAAGCTTGCTCTTCAAACAAAAGCTGGACGCTTGAAAAGGACGCCATTTGCAAATTTTAAATATGGCGGGAACTGCCGTTAGAAGCAAAACAATCGTTCTCTACTATTAAAGATTTGGAGATCGTTAATAACAGTAGATACATACTTTCTGTCACTGTGACCGAAGAAGAGAGAATTTTGGAGGGTGGAAGACAGAAAGTACGTGAAGAGTTTTGCTCAAACTCTAAACTTAACCGCCCAAAATAAATTACAAAGGAATGAAGTTTTCGCTCCAGAAAACGACTTAAGGCCATTTTATTTAGTCAACTCAACAACAACCTGCGAAACCCACCTCAGCCGTTAAATACTCGAGAATTGCCGCGCTGTAAACAGCCGCTGTAGCTCCAACACGACCATGACTCGTAGTTCGGTTCTTCAAATGTCTGTGAATTCGACCTACTGGGAACTGCAACACAACGAATAGAGTCAGAAATACAGCTATGTCTGCGAAAAACTCTGCATAAAATATTTTTTATAAGCTGTACAACCAAAGCGCTACTATACCTGGAGTCCTGCTCTTGCTGAGCGCGACACGGCTTTTGCCTTTGCCTTGGAATCTTTACCAGCTTTTCCGCCTGCCTACGAACCCGACAGAATAGTCGAAGTTAGCGTTAAAAATATGACACGCGAAAGACGCTACTGGTTTGAATTAAGGTTCAATTGGCTTAAAACGAAGTGGAGCTCATTTTCTGGAGAAAAATATGATGAAATTGGTTTGAATTACGCGGATGGAAGCGGATTCACATATTCAATCAACCTACCATTTCGATCGTCTCTTTGCAAATTTTGTGTGACGCGCCAACAAACGATAAGTGAGGAGCGCCAAAATTTAGCAACTCAATTTGAAACTGGAATAGCCAATCAGATGGCAGCTTTTGATCAGGAGCCAATCACAAGATTTCACAAGATGCTACCTTCCCGCTCGACTTTGATGTCCAAATATGGTAATGGTTGATCTGATGAATAAAAAAAAATCAGCAGAAAAATACATTTCCAAGGATGCATTAAACATTTATTAATTCTCTAGTGTAAGCGCCTTTTAAGTTAAAACTTGTTTTCAGCTTTAGCTGGAAGGAAAATTACCGCCCTTGCGGCAATGGCGTAAGAGGGGAACGTAATTCAATCTTCTCAAGTCTAACCAAAAAAATTATGGAAACTGTTGTTTTAAATCTGTCAGTACATTTAAATTTTTATCAAGAGAACTTTTCTTCAGTTTTGTTTTGTTCTTTTTTGGCAGCTAAAAGTTATCAACCTCGTCCCCAGGGCGCTTTTTCCGGCTTTTTTTCCCGCCCCACCTCCAAAGCCAGGGACTGAGCGCCCTGGGGACGAGGTTGAAAAGTCATACATTTTGCTGCAAAGCAATACGGAAAAGTATCATGGTTAGTCAGACATGACCGGCCTGCGAACAAACGTTTCTCCTCGCGCGCCGCTGAGGACGTTTCGAGAGAGAACGGCCAGGACAGAAGCGAGACGGCTGTATTCACAGGCTAAGCAGGACGGTGTATATGGAGCTTCTTAGCTAAGGGGAAAATCTAAAAGGAAAGTTAAGGTCAAAAAGTTAAAGGTGTACGCGTGTCTTCTTGGTTGAAAAGAATTATTAAAATTCACTCTGGCAGGTCATAGGCTCCTGACTCAGGCAAAACTGTTTGCTGCGCAGGCTAGAATTCATTTCGGCATTTTGTCCATTCTCGGTACGCTTTCAGGCTTTCCCTTTTGACCAGTTCCTCGAAAAAAATTTCCTAAAATATAGAGGCAGTTTTGTAAAACCAGGTATCAAAAAATATTCCTCATTTTTTGCCCGGGGGGCGGCGGTACTCCCTTGTATAAGCTATATAGGTATGTGACGCCCCATCGGGTAGGGTTTTTACGCCGTTTTGGTCTGAAAACGGGTATAAACTTTGCCATTTTGGTCTGGAATCGAGTATGGTTTTTGAGGGAACTACGGAATTGTATGAACGTCTTTATCGTTTTAATTCCAAATTAGTAAGAAAGAAAGAAACATATGCGAATTCGAAATGGATCACTCAGAGAAGACCCGGGCGGCACACCCCCACCAAGAATTCCGAGGAGTATCCCCGGGGTTTTTTGATAGTGCCCACTTAATTGAAGGTCGCTAGCGCCAACCATGGGTTAAATTTTTGTATCCGGGTTTCTTTTTCTTTTGCTCTAAAGCATTTTGTCGGATAATTCAGTCTTTGATCTTTTTAGAGTTACCCTGCGTGGCATGCGTTTGAAAGGGAAAGGGAGTTTTAGCCGCGAGAGAAACGCGAGGGGCGCAGGCTATTTGAGAGTTTACAAGCAATCATCAAAAACTACATTTGCTTTTAAGCTTTAATATTTGCATTCAAATTACCCACTAACCATCCACTAACCATGGGTTATAACCCGGCATTGTACAACCCAGTCCAGGTTCCCAGGGGGTAGGGTTTTTGCGCTGTTTTGGTTTGAAAACGGGTATAGACTTCGTCCATTTCGGTCTGGAACCAGGTATGATTTTCGAGGGAACTACTGGAGTGTATGAACGTATTTGTCATTCCTTTCCCAAATGAACAAGAAAGAAAGGGAAATACACGAATCTCGGCGAAATGGACTTATGAAATCGTCTTTGTTGGTGTCTAATATAGGTAATGATGACATAATTTCATGAACTCCTGTTAGAGGTCAGGTCTGAAAACGGGTATGGGTTTTAAAGGCAGGCCAGAAAAAGGGCGTGAAAAGTGACATTTTTTTGGTCTGAAATAGGGTCAGGATCTGGAGAACCGCGCGACATACCCTCACCAAAAATTCCCAGGAGTACTCTAATACGAAAAAACCGTTTGTTGATCGAGTCCTTCCACTGTTTTCGCAAGTTCCCCTCATTAAAAAGAAGTTTTCAGAGTATATTCAAAGATTCCTCAACTGAGTATATCAGTGTGTTAGTCACAGGACTGCTAGCCTGTCCGCTCCACTTAAGAACCTGTTCACAGGCTATACAGGATTGCTGAAATTGACACTCCCGTTAGGTTCGATTACTAGCCGCGCTGTTCGGGAACAAGATCAGATCCGAGAGAGCGGCAGAAATGGAGCCTACCCTTAAGTATTTCAGTGACGATGGAAAACGAGAGTGCACGTATAGGCCTTTTGGAGCCTTAAACCGGCGATCGCGAAAGAAGGTGGGACCGCTTTCTTATTAGAGGCTTTGATCGTGTACCCTACGAGCAGAGGCCTTTCGATCTTCCTAGATAAGTCAGGAAGACGAAGGACTTATCTAGGAAGATCGAAGGGCCTCTGCTCGCAGGGTATTGATCGTGCAAATCAGGCACATAAAAAATTCCCCCGTAAATCCTCAATAAAGTTACCATCGACCCGGACAATCAATACCTTCAGTACGTGAAACACGTCAGCTCTTTTTCTTAGAATACTGTCGTGAGTACCTGCCGGGGTAAGAGGCAGAAGCACAGCCTTGCCCTGGTCAAAGACTTAGTCGGGAATATATGGGGGTCTTTTAGCCTGTTACAGGCTCTCAGATAGTGGGGATGACAGGTAAGTGAAGGCACGCGAAGATTTTCGTGTTCGCGCTTTCTCAATTTTGCGGAAAGGACCATCTCGGAGCCTGCTTCAATTCTGCAGACCCAACTATCTCGGAGCCTGGAACAAGCTAAGCGTCTGCCTATTCAGCTAGGAGCGACGCTGAGAGTCTAACTGTTCCAGGCGTTCAGATAAAGGGCTGTGGCGCGATTTCAAACTCCCTCGCTGTTTTTCCCTGCAGTGCTCAGTTTTCTTTGCGTTGTCACTATCTGAAAACCTGGAAGACTAATATAGCGTGTCATTTATCCCACAATTGCTGAAAGAACACTTCCAGTTCCCTTGAGAACATAGCAATTAGTTATTTTATACCTCTGTAAACTGATTAGTAATCCCTAACTATATATTTAATGTCCGTTATTTCCACAGTAGATTATTAAACCTGCTTGATTTGTAAATAAATCAATAAAAAAGGAAAACAAGGTCTGACCGTTTTTGCCATGCTGGTGAACCCCAATGAAGGCATAACAACTGTCCATGGCTGCCACTGCCAGGGTAATATGGCTGTGCCCAGCATGTGTAAGGTACTGGCCATGCTGTAAAGTTTAGAAATGCTCATGGTGTGCCAGGCATGGAGCAGGAGGGTACTCCCTTATATAACGAAAATAGGTATGTGCCGCCCCAAAGGGTATGGTTGTAGCAGCAATTCAGTCCGATAACGGGTATAGACTTTGCCCATTTCAGCCGTGAGGAAATGTGCATGGTTTTCAAGGAAACTACCGAAATGTATGAACATATTTGTTGCTTCAATTCCAAGTGCATGGGAAAGAAAGAGTAATATGTGAACTAGAAATGGATTTTGAAAAATCTTATAACTAATCTAAGTAATGATGGCAAAATTTCTGGAAGAAAATGGTTATGGATTTCAGGGGCCAGGTCTGAAAATTGGCATGGTAAATGACATTTTTTGGTCTGAAATAGGGTCAGGATTTAGGAGAACCGGGCAGTACACTCCCATCAGAAACTCCCAGGAGTACCCCTCCACCCCCTCCTGTCAGATGAAGGGATTCTGGTTACTTTTTTCTGTGATAATAGACCTTATTTACAATAATTGCCATCTTTACATGCAGTTTTTGAGAACTGATGGGATAAAAGTGAGGCCACATGGTTTCTCAGGAGGCACATAAGTGATAAAATCTGCCAATAAAAGAAATCTTGGTCAAGCTTGTTTATTCTATACAGAAGAAAATACACAAATTTTCATCTGGAAGACAATGACAGCAAGTTATCAGTGGAATTCACCACTGATACCTTTTTGGATGCGGTAGCAACTGTAGATGTTCTCACAGAAAGCAATAAAAAAACCTGTCTGTA